AGCAATTTTGTATTATTTGTCAAATATAGTTATACATCAAGGCTGTGCACTTGCATTCTCTCCAACCCAATGGATCTTCAGAAATATACTTAATGTAATTTTTTGTGTCTCCTTCAGAACAGTCATCATTATAATTGAGTCACCTGTCATCCAGACCAGTTTGGGTAGGACTTTTGCTTTGAAAATGCTGTAGCCCTGGCACTTAACAGTGCCTTGCATATGGGAGATGTTCAATTATTTTGCTAAATGAAGTTCTTACGGTTGTTGGGGTTGCATGAGATTCTTTGCAAGACAAATTATAGCCAGAGTTTAAACTCACCATCCATGTGTTGGGATAATGACTCCCCCATATAGTTTTAGTATGCCTGGCACAGACACTCAACTGTTACCCCTTTCTGCGGGTTAGGCCTAGTTTACCAGGGATTTAGAGAATGTTTTCCATTCTCCAAATGAACACCAGTGCCTTGAGAACTGTCACTCACCTCTGCTGCCTCAGAGCGGTCAAGCTATCCTCTTTTCTTTTTCCCTTGTTAATTTCCTGGGATTTCTTCATCTTTTTCTGGTGGGCAAGTTCCCCTTGATTTCCTCCTACAAAAAGAAAGTCATGCTCTTTTCCCATCTCCAACATTGTCAATAATTCCATTATAGGCTCTTATTTAAACGTATCTGAAGTTTGCTTTTTAATAGATAAGCCAGCAGAGTACTACACTGAATGGTGCACAACTGGTGACAAGAAGGAAGCTTAAAGGTAAACACTTAAGGTCTTAAAAGTATTATCAGGGGCCTGCCCGGCAGCTGGGTGGTTAAGTTTGTGTGCTCCACTTCAGTGGCCCATGGCTCTGCAGTTGGGATCTTGTGCGTGGACATGGTACCATTCATCATGCCATGCTGAGGCAGAGTCCCACATAGCACAACCAGAGGCACTCATAACTAGAATATAAAACTATGTACTGGGGGGCTTTGGGGAGAAGAAGAAGAAGAGGAAGAGGAAGAGGAAGAAGAAGAAGAAAGAAGATTGGCAACAGATGTTAGCTTAGGTGCCAATCTTTGAAAAAAAAAAGTATTATCATACCGGTCTCTCTCTCTCTCTCTTTTTTTTTTTTGACTGAGGAAGATTGGCACTGAGCTAACATCTGTGCTAATCTTCCTCTATTTTATACGTGGGATGCTGCCACAGCATGGCACGATGAACAGTCTGTATGTCGGCGCCGGGATTAGAATCTCCAAACCGAGGGATGCTGAAGCGGAGCGCACAAACTTAACCACGAAGTCACGGGGGTGGGGGGAGGGGGGGGGGCGCCGGCGGGGCTTAAATACCAGCTCTCTTAAATCGTCTGACTCCACGGGCCAGAATTCCAAAACAACTTCTGGCTTAGAGGGTGTGGGTGGAGAGAGAGACGATACACAGGACCACACTTCCACCGCCGAGAGAGCAAATGCAGACGCTTGTGAAACGTGACCTGCGAGGGCCAACGACAGAGCTAGGTGGCACACTGCGTCGGAGCCCCATCCTCGAGGGGCTTTAGGATTCTAGGTACAGCTCCGACCACGTCCAGACCAGCACCCCCGCCCCCAGGGCTCTGTCCCCACAGCTCCCCTCCGGGGAAGCATTCCTCGCCGTGCCAGCTGGCCCTTGACGGCGGCGGGACCGCAGCCCACCGGCCCCCTCCCTCTGCGACGGCAGGCGGGATCCCCGCCCCGCCGGACCCATGAGCAACCACCGACCCCATCCCCGGGCCCGAGGACCCCAGCCTGCGTGGCGGGGTGCGGTGCGCAGCCGGGCGGATGTGCAGGCAGGGAGGCGGAGCCGGGTCCGCAGTTCCGGAGTGGTCTGGGCCCGGGGCCCTCTGCTGGAAAGGGGGTCGGGTGTGTGAGACCCGTGTGGGCGTCACCGCTCCCACTTTTGGGGACCGACAGTAAACGGTGCAATGTCTAACCTTCCGAGGGAGAATGGTGGCTTGCTTACTTCATCCCCTTGCAGAGGCGGGAAGGGGAGGAAGGGTCAGGACAGATGGAGGGCTAACTCTGCGAAGGCCTTTGCACACATTCCTTCCTTTTCTCGCCTCGCCCTGCAAGGGGAGCTCGTGGTTGTCCTTTGCAAGAAGGGGAGTTGAGACCAGAGCGACCGACCTAACAGGCAGGGCCGCAGAGTGGACATGCAAGTCCACCTCGGACTCCTCCCGTCTTATCCCAGGGCCTGTCGCGGGCACAGGCCTGAGGAGTTGTGGGGGTGGCTGTGCTTGGGTTGTGACACGGAGAGGGGATGGCCGGGGATGCAGTCAGCACGCTGTCGGAACAGCCCGCATAACCTGTGTTAGCTTGAAAAGGCTTAAAACGAGTTTATGCAAGAATAGCCCAAACGACGACAACGCAAGAAGCTCACCTTCTGGAGCACCAGCCGCAAGACCGGAGGATATAACCTGGGAGCTGCTTTCATAGAGAAAAAGGGGAAGGCGGGGCTGTCCTAAAGGAAAGTCCATTGGTTGAAAGTAACAGTTCAGAGCAGCAACAGCTTCTCATTGGCTGAGCTGCGGCGTTTCTCATTGGCTGGGCTGTTGCCCCTGGGAAGAGAAATCTTCCCTCCTCGTCAATCTATCTGTACTTGCTGTGGAAGGTGCCTTTGTATCTTCCCGGTAGGAGTAATCGACGACCTGTGATGGGGGTGAGCGCTGCCCCTGCAGGCCTTCCATACTCCAGTTTAGTTAAGGTGTTTTTCATTTATTTCCACACTTGAGAACCTGTGTAAAGACTGTGGAGCACCTGCCACTGCCAGAAGTAGATGTGTAAAGATGCTTGATGGTTCATTTCGTTGATACTTTCTTCATCTATTCCGTTAATTATTAAAGACTGAGAAATCTTTGGAGTTAGTCTGAACACTGTAAAATTACCTTATTTCTTTTAAGGCTTTTATTTTGGAAGATTTCAAACATATACAAAAGTACAGAAAATACTATAATGGACCCCGAAGTATATATGACCAAGCTTTGACAACTTTTATTTTACCCTATACAAATCGCCTATTTTAGAGAAGGTAGGAGAAAGTGGGGAAGACACAGGGCTCTCAAGATGGAACGTCTGGGTTGAAGGCCCAGCTCTACCAATGCGTAGCTGTCTGAACTTGGGCACGTCACTTCATTGCACTAAAGCTTCCTTACCAGAAAAACTGGGAGGTAATTGTGCCTCTGATTAATTGTACCTCCTAAATTAATTGAATTAATATATGTGAACTACTAAGTGCCAGCATTTGTCATTTTCACTATTCTTCCAACTTCAGATGGCCTTGCATGCTTGTCACTCTCCCCTCGCCCCAGCCCTCCTCCTCGCTACAGTTTATGGGCCAGGTGTCTGTTTCCACTTAGCCAACTTCTTCCGGAGTAACCTGGACAGGGGGAAAAGATTGACTCTCTGGCCAGGCTCTTTGAAGAGAGAAAGAGCTCAACTAAGGAGGAGGGGAGGGACGAAATTTGGAATTGGAAGGTAAGTGGTAGACTTGTTTCTGTATGTGGTCTTCATTTACAGTCTGAGATTTTTCTTTGCTGCTGAAAATATAGTTTTTAGTTGTAGGGATGTGCATGATGTACACTGTGTACACTAGAAATGTTAAGTGTGTCTGCCAGAGAAAACCGCAGACTTTTAAAATTACTGTGATGCCATTAAGAATTTACTCCACAAACTTGGGTATGTAATAAATATTTTATGACCTTATATTTAATAAAATTAAATCTGTCTCCATTTCCAGCCCTTTACTAATGGGAAATTAAATCTTAGTCATTATTGACTTCTTTACATACAGAATTGTGGGAATGCCCTAGACTCTTAGGTGGAACAGAACATTTGGGGAAAGGCCTTGGGTCTTCAGTTTATACCAGATTATGCTGTCCAATGCTATGTGGTCCTGGCAGTGGCTCCAAGATTCCTGAGACATCTTCAGCAGGGGTTTCTCTGTTGAGTTCTTGGCTTCCTTAGGTGTCTCTGAGGTCCTCCTTCCCCAGAGTCCTGGAGGGAGCCTACAGAACCCACACATCTCTATTTTCTTAAGTCTTAGAGGGATCTCTTCTCCCTTCTGTGCTGTCAGCCCTGCCTTCCTATTCTCAAAAACACTTGCCTCTCTTCTCTTTCTCCCTGTGGATGACCTAGCAGTCTGTTCAGTCAGTTCAGGATTTTATTCCTTTGACATTTTGCTATTAATGTAGCAGGATGTTCTTGTGGAATCCTTTTCTCCTTCCAAGAAGGAAGTCAGGCCTTTGTGTTGCCATGAGTCAGGGGATTTGTATTACAGGTTCAAACACACCATACTCTGTGGAGCGTGTCCCTAACGTCATGTCTGGCCATTTTTCCTCTCACCAGAGGCCTTCCCTAACCACCCCACCTAAAGTAAGCCAGCCTCCCGTTAATCTCTGTCATATCACCCTTTACATTTCTTTCATGGCATTTCATGGCATACATTCTTAAATTATCTCGTTCATTTGTTTGTTGTATTTTTTCCTCCCTAGCCCAGAGCGCCTTGTTTATTGCTGTACTGCTACTTCCTGAAGCAGATTAAGAACGCTTACATTAATTTAAAAGTTTGATTATAATAATTTTTGAGCAGGTGATACATTCACATCAAAAGGTACACCCGGACATACAGTGAATGGTCTTCCTCCCCGACATGTTCCCCAGAAACCCAGCTCCCTTCCTAGGAGGTAACTAGCGCCAGATTCTCCACACCTGCATCTCTAATCCGCCTTCTACTCAACGCAGGCTTTCTAAGGCCTGGGCATGTGCTGGGGAACAAAGTCGGCCAGCATCTTCCTGGTCCCGTAAGGCTTTGGGCCGAGGGCTGACCCCGGCCCCTCTTTGCGACCACTCCCAAGGGCGCGCGGAGAGGGACAGCACCCCGCCCCGCGCCTCAATTTCCGCTTCCCAGGCATCCGGGGCTCCGCAGGTTGACAGTTACCATGGCGCCGGGCGCTGTGCGTCTTACGTCACTCCGCGGCGCTGGCTGGTGACGCGATCAGTCCCGCGCCCTGAGAGGGCGGGGAGCGAGGTGTCGGCGAGCTTGGCTCTTCGCGCAGCAGGGTCATGAGGAAGAGGCGGCGGGGGCGTGGAGCTGCCGTAGCTGCCCGCCGGGCTGGTGGCGTGGCTCTGTGGGAAGGGCGCCGTTCCTAACCCGCTCGCGGGGCGGCGGCCGGGGCTCGGGGCTGAGAGCGGCCGTGGGGCCGCCGGGCCCCCGGGCTCCGCCATGTTCCGAAGGGCACGGCTCAGCGTGAAGCCGAACGTCAGGCCCGGGGCCGCCCCCAGGGCCCCCGCCGCGCCCGCTCCCCAGCGGGGACGGGAGGCTGCCCGGCCTCCGGAGCCTGCCGCGGCCTCGGGCCCGAAGCCCGCGGAGTCCACGGCTGCGCCCCCGGCGGGTCTCGGGGGAGCGCAGCCCCCAGAAAAGGCTCCCAGGAGCAGGTAAGCTTGCAGAGGGCGGCGTTGCACCTGCCCCACCTCCGCGCCTGTCACCGGGACGCTGAGCTGGTGAACTTGATGGGAGGCACCCTCCCTCGCGCGCTCTCAGCTTCCAGTGGAGACCCGACGGACCCGCTCCAAGCTGCGGTTTGTCCCTCGGGCCACAGGGTGTGGCAGAGGTGGATTCTGTTCCGGTCTGTGGGTTCTCGGGGAGGGCACCAGCTCTTCGGTGGGAGGAAGCCCGGTGTAACAGTCTTCATTGAAGTGAAGATAGCCGCACGTGGTACTGTTCCTCAGAGAATTTAGGGTACCCTCGTTCTTCGGGACTCCTTTGTGGCGGTGAATAGTTTTTAAAAAAGACTTAAAAGCGTTTATTTTTAAAAGTAGACTATTGTTGCTTTGGATCTGCTGATTTAAGTCAATGCGGAGGAGCTCTGGTTACTTGCCGTCATTTGAGGCGTGCCCTTTAACTATGGTGACCATGTTTCCTGTACAGAACAGCACGTGTCGTGTTCCACGTTTGGATCAAGGAGTCTTTTACTTAACAGTTTAGTAGACTTTACCCAGGCGGAATTTGCCTGTCTGTAAAATGGGGATAGTATTACCTGCTTTGGAGAGTTGTTGTGGAGATTAGATATAACTGACGTAAACTGTGTTGCATAGGATATGGCAGAGAAGTTGCCTACGAAAAGTTATTTGTTTGTAGGTGATGGAGCAAAGTAAAGACATGTCGGGCTAATAATGGCCCCTTTCTATACTATGTAGGTGAGGAAACCAATAAAAACCAACCCTATTAAATGAGAGTGAGATGATATCAATTCTGTTTATGCTCTGACAGGGAGGTGAAATTTTCGTTTCTTTCTTTTTGGCTCAACTTCCTCTGTTGGCCTGAACAGGTGGTGGGTATAGGGTGTTATTTTGCTAGCTTAGTGATGCTTAGTAATGTGCAAGTTCCTTGTATAAATTTGTTTCAACATTTCTCCCCAAAATGGGGATACAAATACCAGTCACCATTAAATTAGTAAAGTTCACAGAGATCCTGTTAACTACATATGAATGTGTGGTTGGTCGTTTAATAAGTTACTCAGAGTCTGTAGTGTTGAGACATTTAATTAAGCTCAAGAATATTTAATTTTTTTCTTAGAGTTGACATTTAGGGAGTAAATCTTGTTTTTTATCATGTGTTTTCTTTTTCCTTTTTGTGAGTCTTTGCTAGTTGTAAAAATCTACGAGGTGTATGTTCTCTTCTTATGCATTCAGCATAACTGGGTGAAATGCAAATGGTGTATGTATCGTATAAGGGCTGAGATAAGAATTTAAATTGGAGACTTTTTGGAAAGGTTATTCTATAGGCATTTTCGGCTTTTCTATAAAACTAATCATAACATGAAAAAAGGACGCTTTTTAATTCTTGACTCATACCTCCTCTCTTCTTGACTTAATTTGCTTTCAGGCCATTCCTGAAATATTTATATCCAATCTGAACTATATCTAATGCGTAATTTGGAGTGACTGAGTACTTTTTTTTTTTTTGAGGAAGATCAGCCCTGAGCTAACATTTGCTGCCAGTCCTCCTCTTTTTGCTGAGGAAGCCTGGCCCTGAACTAACATCCGTGCCCATCTTCCTCTACTTTATATGTGGGACGCCTACCACAGCATGGCTTGATAAGCAGTGCTGTGTCCACCCCCGGGATCCAAACCAGTGAACCCCGGGTGCTGAAGCGGAACGTGTGCACTTAACCGCTGCGCCACTGGGCCAGGCCCCCTGAGTACGTTTTTGAGTGAAGAGTTTGATAGCTGTATAAATAGAGTGATACCTGACGAAAGATAAGTGATTTCTTCCTGAAACAGAATTCTGTTTGTTTAATGTAGCTAAATGTGTATCCTCAAATACTGCAGTACAAATGTTTGAAGTTCTCTATGTTTGGTTTGACTGATCTCAGGTTGATGATTAAAGTAAAATGCCGATAATTTAGATCAGTTCAGGGGGATGTCAGTGTGGATTATAAACGTAATTGAAAAAAACCACAACTCTCAGTTACCTAGTCATCAAATTAGGCTAATTAAGCTTTGTTTTGTATCTTAGGTTTTTTTTGGGGGGGCGGGAGGTTTTGGGGGACCTGGCATGAGCATAAAATTATGTGTTCTAATGTGCTTAGGGAAAATTATGTGTTCTAATGTGCTTAGGGAAAATTATCTGTTCTAACGTGCTTAGGGAAAATTATGTGTTCTAATGTGCTTAGGGACTTGAAGTTGGAAAAGAAGATCAACAGTCTCCGTTAGAGTTTACGTATCTGTTAAAAAGATTTGCTAAACAAAGTTTTTATTGCAACTTCTGTCATAATTATATTTCTAAAGTCATTGATTTTTTAGTAGTGAGACTTTACTGTTTTAGATTTTTACCAGACTGATTTTCAAAACTAGAATATTTAAAAGAAGATCTCTGGTGCCTTTGTTTCTCTTTTTTAAATTTAACAGTGATGAAAAGCCTGATGGTGAGAATGTTGTTGAAGAATCCGGTAAATCTTCCTCTACTGTTTCACAGAGAAAAAAGCGAGTATCACGTACCCCTACTCTGGTTAAGCCTAGTGTCAGCGTTCCTTCAGAACCTCACCCCTTATCTCCAGTTAATAAAGAAGCTCCTCAGCCAGACCCTGTCCCAGCAAAGGAGAAACAGCCATGCTCAGACAGATATCGAATATATAAAGCCCAGAAACTGAGAGAAATGTTGAAAGAAGAATTGAGAAAAGAGAAGGTAAGGGAGAAAAATCAGAATTTTGATGTTGCCTGCTAGATTTCTGTTTTTATGTTAGTCAAGCATCATTGGGAGGAAAAATAAGCATCTGTATCATTTTGAAGGGGACAAAACTGAGTAACATCCATTATGTTAATAGAATGTTCTGTTTTGTTAACAGGATGATTAAGAATCACTGTGGAGTTAATAAGCAATTTTTCCCATGATATTAATTTTTATATATTTTATTCAACTATGTCTTTCATTATTTTTGGTGCAGGCCAGAAATAGAAGTTTTATACACAACATGTGCACACGCACAAACACACAAGCTTATTTATAAAATAAACCTTCAGTCAGATTTTTCATGAGGATGTCTGAGTGACATGAATTATATCATTTGAATTAAGACAAGTACAGTTGAACAGATGATTTGGTAATGTTTTCTAAATTGACAATATGGAAAATTATAAATGGGAAGAATTTTCATGTATGTGTATAGTAGAGTCTGTGTTCTTTGTAATCTCGAAGATTGATTATTTTTCTGAGAGGGCAGTGTAGCAGTAGTGAAACACGCAAGGTCTGGAGTTAGACACTTAAGGTTTGAATCTTAGATTCGTCCCTTACAGTGTAACCTTGGGAAATTTAATTAATCCTTCTAGGTCTACTTCCTTGTCTGTAAAATAGGACCAATGCTAATATCTACCTCATTGGAGGGTTGTGAAGATTAGACGAGCTAATACACGTAAAACACCTTTGGAGTAGTGTCTGGCAAATAGTAAGGCCCCACAGATGGCAGCTCTTATAAGTAATTATGGAATGCTCTTTTTTTTTTAATTAAGAGGAAGGCACTTAGCTTGGTGCTTTATATTCATTATCTCTTTAATTCTCTCAACTGTGTGAAGTAGATATCACTGTTTTACACAGGAAGAAACAAACTCAGAAAGGTTATGTGCATTGTGTCAAACATCAGTGGAGGATATAGGGTTTGAATTCGTATCCTCTAAAATCTAAGCCTGTAAAAATGTTCTATGTTTTATAGTATCTGCTTCATTAGATTTATTTTGGGAAATTAAAAATTAAACATTTGCTTCAAGAGTTTTTATAAAATACACAGAATTCCGATTCAGTACAAGGTAAACAAAAGTATGTATTTATAAATTTTAAGTAAACTATTGTAGTTAGAAGGCATCAGTAAGCATGATTTTATACGTTGAGCTGTTATCCAGTCCCAGTCACGGTAGTTTTTAAAATTCTTTAATGTGTTGCAACCTTTTAATATTCAGTTTATGAAATTTTTCCTAAAATTAGGCATAATTGTGATAGCAATGATAGTCAAGCACTTGACTGCATCAGTGAGTTGTATTGGAATATGGTACATCTGAAATGCTATATTTATAAAATAAAAGTGGATCTGTGTGTATGTTTGTGTATCTAGAAGCAATGGAAAAACAAGTGTGCCATAAATGAAAGTCAGAGGCCACCAGATCGTTCAAAAATGACTATGAGAGACTTCATATATTACCTGCCAGATAACAATCCAATGACGTAAGTAAACTTTATTTCTGTTTTAGTTCTTTGAGTATGTAGTGATTTAAGTATCACTTGTAGAGTACAGTTTCGTGTTTTCCAAAAGCACGTTGACAAACTTTATAGCACATATGAATGTCCTTTTACATAGAATTCTTTAACACGAAAGAGGGTTATTTCAAGTAACTGCTTTCTTGAGATGGTGAATGATGCCCTTTACCTCTGAGATTAAAAATAGTTTTCCTTTGTTATCGTACCAAGATGTAGTAACACCAACTAGACAGCTTTTCTCTAATCAAGACGGCAGTTTCTATTTCATGTACACTATAACCTGATTTAGAGGGGTGATCTAATTTTTATGCTCTTCCTTCTGATTGAATACAGTGTCATTTATTAACTAATCCTCCAAGAACAAAGCTGCTTTAATCCAGGTTAGCCTGGGGAGGCAGAGTTATGATAAATTTCATTGTTGTGGTGGTGGTTTAGCAGGTGGATGTGGAAGTAGTGGCACATTTTCACTATAGCCTTTTTTAGCTTCGCCAGGTCTTTGACTAGTTGAAAGAAGGGCCAGAAACCTGGGTTTTGAGCTATTCAACATCTAGGAGTTGGAGATAAGCCACTAGGCTGCATCATGCCTCAGGACTGGGAGCCTTCCTTCACTGAGGAGTCACAGCAGAGATCATTCTCTGCTAGGGCCTAACAAATTATCTATACTTGATGACACAAGTTTTTGACTGAACAATTGACTCTTGGACCACACCATCATTAATAGCAGTGTTACGGTAGATCGTAAAATGTAAATTAATTATTTATTAAAAAGTACTCTGTTATTTGTGTTTAATAGTTCTTCACTGGAACAAGAAAAGAAAACTGAAAAATCGTTGACACCAGTCCAGACAAGAGAGTAAGCATCTCATCTCATTCTTTTTTGAATATCTTCTGTTATGGGTACGTTTAAAAAAAAATGGAATCAAATGATGCTTCCTGTTATAGTCAGATACATGTGATAGGAGTTTTTAAATAGGGTCACTAACAAGAATAAAAGTTACTGCCTGATTTAAATCAATATGAAAGACCACGCTCTTTGTGCATTACATGTATAAATGGCCAATGTTATGATTTTAAATTAAAGCTTTTAGGATTAAAAAGAGTTTTGTTTTATTTTAGAATAATAAGCTAGTCCCACGATACAAAATTCAAAAGAAGCAAAAGTACCCTGAGAAGTCTCCCAGCTCTGTTTTTCTCCCGTCTGGTGCACTTCTTCTCCCTGGAGGCAGCAGTTGTTAACCAAGTTTTTAGTATATCATTGTAGTTCCCCTCTGTGTCTATCCCAGCAAGCGTGTGTATATCTTTCCTTTCTTTAGCATTCCATGTCTGCTGTCCTGCAATGGGTACAGTTTTGATGCCACTAGCCATCTTTTTTTGTACAAACTCGCTGTCGCTTTCCACGTTGCACTGTCGTATGTTAGCTTACTCCCAAGAAATTCCTCCAGGAGACCTCTTAGGAAGTTATTGTAGCCTTGTAATTCAAGATGAGGGATTGCGGAAAATTAGCAGAAACATCGGGATTTTTCTGATTGTTACTTAAAGGATTATTAAGTAATGATCACTGTTTTGCTTAGAATCCACATTGTTTTAAAGCAGGACTTTAGGAGTTCTAAAAGCTTAAGGAGATAATGTAATTGAATGGAAAGTAAATGGGATTTGGAATCTTTATTTGGAAAACCACATTTGGCTTTTCGGTCAAGACTTACTGTTGTGAAATTTAGAGCAAAAGTTATTTATCTTCTCCAAGCCTCACATGATTGTGAAAATTCTAACCCTCAAGGGTTATTCTGAAGAGTTAATAAAATGATCTGGAAACAAATGCTATGTAACTGTAAGAGTTATTTTTGTTAATTTCATAATTCCTGGATGGTTTCCTCTGACACTCTATTCAGATAGAAAAGATGAGCATTTGTTTCTCTTTATTTTCAAAGAGAATAAAGCCTTCTTATTTAATGCTACTAGATAATATTTGAGAAAATCTTATAGCCATGTCATAAACAACACATCACATAGTATTTTCAGTTAGGTTATAGGGAAAGTTGCAAATAGTTAGAAAGTTGAATTTGTTTCAGAAGTTCATAGTATTGAGGGAACACTTGTCATATGTGAATTAATCTGTCTTTCCATTTGGCAGGCAAGAAAGTAAGAGTACTCCTGAGGCTGAAGATGAGGATGAAGTCGAGGAAGAGATGGACGAAGGACCATTGCTGGTTCCTCGAGTGAAAGTGGCAGAAGATGGTTCTATTATTTTGGATGAAGAAAGGTAAGTTAAAAAAAAGATTATGGTTTGGTGAGATCAAACATGCTTTGTCTAATGAGAGAGATTGAGTTTCCGTATCTGTCATTGTCGCTTAGACTCTGATGTTTATATTTGCATAATGGTTGTTGTAAATAGAAAGGTGGGTTAGATTCGTTTTAATTTTTAGCCATTTTTTTAATACTGTGTATTGTCTGAGAATATGGTACTATTGACCTATCATGTGTTAACCTACCATCATGGTTACTAACTTTACTGGTGATTGGGACCAGCTATTGAAATAATTGCGTGCTGTCCTCCACCGAGGATAGATTTTAAAGATTGACTCAGTCTTGAAGTCAATATTCAAATTTGCATATTGTTAACTAACACTGTATTTTTGTGTCTGGTAATAACTAATGAAAATGCAATGAAATGGTAGGTTTAACATATTTTAATTCACTTTTTGGCTTAATTTCTCAGTTATAACATTAAAATTTCTTAAATTTGGCATTGTGGAATTTGGTTGTCTTTCCAAAGTATATTTTTAAAAAAAGAAGATGAAATAGTAAGTAAATAAAAAAGAGGGATGGAAAGTCTTCTGACAGTTTAATTAGTAAAAAATAATTTTATAGCATAGAAATTCTATGATAATTAAACATAAATGTAATACTGTCAATAAGAATTGCTATTACATGATGTTTTCCATTATTTTATGATAAATTTTACTGGTCGTTTAATAGTTAAAAGCATAATAAATTGCTTTGCAGGAATGTAAAACTTAAATATAAAATGCTTGTATTTCTCAGTATCCCCTGTTGGGTCTAGAACAATTAGATAGTATGTATACTGAATATAGGAGACATGCAGAAGACCATAAAACAAATGATGTTTTAGATGGCCCAAAAATATTTTGTGAATTTTATATTGCTATTAAGGATTTTGAAAAAAAGGTTGGCATTTATTCTTACTCCCTGGCAATCACATTTTAAGTGAAAATGAGTGGATTCTTGGAAGATATGCATACCTTCAATGTACATTATTATACTTTTCATATCACTCTGTCATGGTAAATTTCAAAATATAGCTATTCAAATCTCATTTACTGTTTGTTTCCTTACTTGTCTTTAGTGTGAATCTCTTTAAAACTGTTTCTTTCAGTTTAACTGTAGAAGTTTTAAGGACAAAAGGTCCCTGTGTTGTTGAGGAAAATGATCCTATCTTTGAGCGTGGTTCTACGACTACATATTCCAGCTTTAGGAAAAACTATTATTCTAAACCATGGTCAAATAAAGGTAACTAATTTTATTTTAACTTGTGTAGATTATTTATTTGAAATGAAGTGAGTTATTTTCTGTTTCTGAATTGAACCAGGTTTCCTCTAAGTAAATAAGATGCAAACCACCATGTTGTTTCCTCTCTGCCTGATTGTATTGGCACCTCCCCCTGCCCCTGCCATGGGATTGTGTCTCTGACTTCCTCTTAGAAATCTTCTTAGGAGTTAGCATTATGGTCATTTTGGCTGGAATTTTTCTCTCTGTCAAATCCCTGTACAGCAGTTACCATTTTGATGAAAAATTAACAATATTTCTAATGCTCATAATGTTTACCTCAGATAATATAGTGTAATAAAGTTTCTAAAAGGTAAAATTTATGCTGTTAAAAAAGTATATAATACCTATTGCATATTTTTGCTTATTTTTATTATAAAAATAATTGTTTTGGGAAAAAATTCAAACACAACAGAGTAACATAGAGTGAAAAAAAGACTGTGCGTCTCTTCTCTGACTTCTGCAATCCTGTTCTCTCGAGGTTACTTCCATTAACAGTTTCTGGTGTATTTTTCTAGTTACTTTGTTTCACATACTGCTTAGCATATCTTAGTTGCTTACATAACAGTAACATTGTGCTGGCTATGACTGACAGTTTTTTTCAGGGCACTTTGAGACCAGATAGGCAGAATGTGGTTTTTTGTTTTATTCTAACTGCTTTGGTAAGAGCATGCCAATTTTTTATACCATGTTTCTACATAAAAGTTTAAAGAAGATGTTTTTAGATTCAAGAGTTTCTTGACAATGAAATTGAAATATGTTTATGTATATGTACATAAACATTTCTGTGACTAAAGATTTACCGGACTTTAATTAAAAACAACTACTGTGAAATTTATTTTTAACTCAAAATATATACTTATGTAAATTTTTTTCCCTCTGAAATATTGAGAAGATTAATCTTCAGTCTCTCTACATCTTTTATTTTTACAGAAACAGATATGTTCTTTTTAGCCATCAGCATGGTGGGAACTGACTTTTCTATGATTGGACAGCTTTTTCCTCACAGAGCAAGGATAGAAATTAAGGTAAAGTAAATGCATTATATTTGTTGATTGGAAAGAGACCCAAAATTCCTAATACTGTGTTGTTAGCCTTTGGTTTAAATCTCATCCACCCTTTTCCACTAGTGTGTTTTGGTACGTCTATACCTCTTTGTAGCTCAAAAGTAATGTAGTGTTTCTCAATTCTAATGAGTACAGTCTCCATAACTTGAATGTTGTATTTTCTTATTTATATCTTGCCCACTTCTAAGATGGATCTGAGGGAGTGCCAATAAAGCCACTGAGACCAAGATAATAGAAGAGTTAGATAATGAAGAAGGAGTACCACAATATTTGGGTTAAGGGTAGCTTTTTGGATGCAAAATCTATTTCTGAATTTCCTCGGAAGGCTTGAGAGAAGCATGCCGAGCTGCACAGTTCCGTTATCTGACCTCCTTGACTCTGGGGACAGCTGGTGACGCTGTTAGCAGCACTGATGGCAGTGATGCTTTAGTGCTCCAGAGAGGATGAGCTCTCTCTTTCTTTTTAAAGATTGGCACCTGAGCTAACAACTGTTGCCGGTCTTCCTTTTTTTTTCCTGCTTTTTATCCCCAAATCCCCCCAGTATATATTTGTATATCTTTTTAGTTGTGGGTCCTTCCAGTTGTGGCATGTGGGACGCTACCTCATTGTGGCCTGACGAGTGGGGCCGTGTCCACGCCCAGGATCCGAACCCGTGAAACCCTGGGCTGCCGAAGCACAGCGCGGGAACTTAACCGCTCGGCCACGGGGCCGGCCCCAACTTTCTCCGTTTTATAGTTCCCTCTGCTGAGAAATGTCATTACGTATTTCCTGGGTTGGAGTGCATTTGAGTGCACACAATGTTGCTGTAATGCCTTTCCAGTTCTTAGTGATGAGATCTTTGTCCAACCACGGGCTTTTTCCTTCATTAATTAAAGGGACTGTTAGGAAAGATAGATTTTTTTTTCACTAGGCTAGGCATGGATCATTCGCCTGGGTACCACTGTACAGTGTAATAGTTACTGTATTTCTGCAAAAAATGAAGAATTGTTTATATTCTTTATGTTCCTTTTCTAATATTGATCTTTGATATAAGGAGAATAAAATGTTGAAGTTCTGTGAAGCCTAGAAATTGATTGTCTAGGAGAACTCCCAGATCTGAGTAATTAATGATAGGTTTGTAACTAGACTGATTTCTCTTAAAAATCATTTAGGGCCAGCCTGGGTGGCCTAGTGGTTAAATTTGGTGTGCTCCACTTCAGCGACCTGGGTTTGGTTCCTGGGTGCGGACCTGCACCACTCATATGAGTGGCCATACTGTGGCGGTGGCTCACATAAGGGAAAAAAAGTGAAAGATTGGCAATGGATGTTAGCCTAGGGTGAATCTTCCTCAGCAAAAACAAAGCAAAACAAAACAAATCATTTATATTCTTCCCTTAAAAATTTGGTGTGGTTCCAGCAAGTCTTTGGAGAGATTGTAGAAAAGTGAATATGGACTAGTGAATTACATTGATTTTTGAATGTTGAACCAACCTTGTATTCCTGGGATAAATCCCATTTAGTCATACTGTATTATTCTTTTATATATTGCTGAATTTTATTATATTTTCCAGAGAATTTTTTGTATCTTTGTTCATGAGGGATATTGTTTGGAGTTTTCTTTCTTTTTTTTTCATAAGAGACAGAAATTTATTTCTCACAGCTCTGGAGGCTGGAAGTCCAAGATCGGGGGCCAGCATAGTCAGGTTCTGGTGAGGGCCCTCTTCTGGGTTGCAGAGTTCTCACTGTATCTTGCCATGGCAGAAAGAGGGCAAGAGCTCACTGGGGTCCCTTTTATAAGGGCACTAATCCCATTCATGAGGGCTCTGTCCTCATGACCTAATCACTGCCAAGGGCCCCACCTCCTAATACCATCACATTGAGGGTTAAGATTTGTTTTGGGGGCGGGCCTGTGGCAGAGTGGTTGAGTTCACGTGCTCTGCTGTGGTGGCCCAGGGTTTCACCAGTTTGAATCCTGGGCCTGGACATGGCACCGCTCATCAGGCCATGCTGAGGTGGCATCCCACATAGCACAACCAGAAGAACCTACAACTAGAGTATACAACTATGTACTGGGAGGCTTGGGGGAGAAGAAGAAGAAGAAAAAGAGAAAATTGGCAACAGTTGTTAGCTCAGGTGCCAATCTTTGAAAAAAAAAAAGATTTCTTTTAGTTTTTAATTTGCTTACCTTTTGACTCCCTTCACCCATTTCTTCCATCCCCAACCCGCTGCCTCTGGCAACCACCAATCTGTTCTCTGTATCTATGAGCTTGTTTTTTTATTCATTGTTTTTAGATTCTACATATAAGAGAGAGCATATGGTATTTCTCTTTCTCTGACTTATTTCCTTAGCATAATGTCCATGTTGTCTCAAATGGCAAGATTTCATTCTTTTTTATGACTGAATAATATTCCTCTGTGTGTGTGTGTGTGTGTGCGTGTGCACCTGTGCGTGTTTGTGTGTGCATGCAAAACTGTGTAACACACACTCACACCCCTACACCAAGTTTTCTTTATCCATTCATTCTTCGATGGATACTTAGGTTGTTTCTGCATCTTGACTATTGTAAATAACACTGCAGTGAATATGGGGGTACAGAGGTCTTTTTGAGTTAGTATATTCATTTTTTCCAATCTTTGTTTTGGTTTGGTTAGTCTCTGTCACTGTGGTCACAAGTTCACTAACCCTGTCTTCTACTATCTTCAATCTGCTATTATGTCTATTCAATAAATATTTCATTTCTGATGTATTTCTCGTTCCCGTAATTTCCACTTGGTTATTTTTCTTAGTTTCCGTTCCTCTGCTGAGATTTCCCTATCTGTTCATTTCATGTTTTCCTTTAATCCTTGAACATATTTGTAGCAGACGCTTTAACTTTCTTGTCTCCTAATTTCAACATTTGGGTCATACTGGGATCTTTAACTGACCTTCAGTTTATTTCCTTTACTGTGCATCACGTTTTTCTGTCTTTTCTCATGTCTTGTGTTTTGTTTTTTATTGCATGCTGGACAATAATGGATGATGTGTGTACGGTGTCTGGATTATGGGTTTTTTTCTTTAAACGTGAATTTTGTTCTAGAAGGCAATTAATATGCTGCCATCTCTCCTCATTTCTGTCAAGGCTTGGTTTTAGGCTTGATTAAGGCAGCTCTGGACTGGTCTGTACTCTAGGTTTCTCATGTGAACCACAGAAAACAATTTGAGTTACTGTTTTCTAAGTTCTCCAAGGATGGTCATCCGTTCTAGATGCATAGAAGAGAAGGTAATTCATTACACATAGGGGATGCCTTAGGGCAGTAGGGCTTAATTCTCATGCTAGAACCCCGATTGAGAAAGGCTGCTATGAGGTGTGGTCCTTATCTCTAAGTGGTGCCGTTTTTGGTGTCTGAGCTGAATGTCTGGGTGTTAACAAAGTCTTTCCATTCGTATAGGCTAGAACTGTCATCTCACTGTGTTATGTGACTTCTAGTATCTTTCTTCTGCTCTCATCCGTATGCTAGCTGTTCTCCACTAGGCCTCGTGCTCTGGGCATGTGCAGCCCAGATGCAGCCCAAGGCTCAGGGGGTACTCCCACCAGGCTTGTGAGGCTTTCCTTCATAGCTCTCTTCCCTCTAAAACCCTATCCATAAAGCTTCTCTCCCTCCTCAGCTCAGTGGGATCTCTATGCTCTGATTGGCCTTTATCTCCTTTTCATCGGTTGGGAAATTTAGCTCAGGCAAAGAACCAGGGTGAGCGTTGGTACATCTTGTGTGTTTCCCTTCTCTCTGGGATTGTGGTTTTCCTCTGCCTGTTGTCCAGTGCTTGGAAATAGTTGATGCATTTGTTTTGTCCTTGTTAAAGTTATCTATGGTGGCCTTGAATGTATGGATCCAGCTTATAACCAGTTACTTTGTCGGGGCCAGAGGTAGAGATTTTGAAATTTATCTTACGATCATGGAATTTGGCCTTACAGTGGTTCTTGCCTGTGAAATCAATGACCAGTATCAATACGTTCTTCAAAGAAGTTTTCAATTGTTCTGAATTATATTCCCAATTAGGTAAAATATGCTGTAGCAGTGTTTTAGAATGGAATAATGCCTAAAGCCTATTGGCATTTCTTTCAGGATGTTTGATTTTGTGGTGATGGCCTGTCACTTATTATGGAGGTACTTTTGTTAACTTTTGAGAAGATGTTTAAAGAATAATATAATCTTTTAAGGGAAAAAGGTGATCATCCTTGAAAATTTTTCTGTTACTCGGTAATAAGTTTTATAAAGAAAAATAAGGAATGGAAAAGAGGGGTAGCTTGTTGATTAAAAGATGTTAAAGTCATATGAGGTTTTTAGAACATTGGCAGGCTAAACTGTCGAGTGTAAGGCTGTGGCCTTGAATGATGCGCAGGAGATGCAGCAGAGCAGCTGCCGTGACGGTCTGCTCAGTGCTCTGGCTCTTTCAGAGGGAACAGGGCGTGGGGCCATGAAGCAGGTCCTTTGTTTTCTGTGATTTTCTCTCTCTTTTTTTTTTTTTCAAAAAAAGTTTTATTTTTGTATTTTTTTTTTTTTAAGATTTTATTTTTTCCTTTTTCTCCCCAAAGCCCCCCGGTACATAGTTGTGTATTCTTCCTTGTGGGTCCTTCTAGTTGTGGCATGTGGGACGCTGCTTCAGCGTGGTCTGATGAGCAGTGCCATGTCCGCGCCCAGGATTCGAACCAACGAAACACTGGGCCGCCTGCAGCGGAGTGCACGAACTTAACCATTCGGCCACGGGGCCAGCCCCTATTTTTGTATTTTTAATAAAAGTTTTAGACAACTGATCTGTAGAGGGAGAGATTGGTGGATTGTTCTCTCTCCCAGGATGTATGCATGATTAGACATTCTCAGACACAGAGTTACGCCCTCAGGCTTCTTAATAACCTTAGGATCGATTAAGCCTTAAACCTTAACTGTCTCCATCTTATGTAGTTAATCTGGGTCTTAGGTGCTCAGAAAAGTATGGAAATGTGCCCAAATATAAAGAAGTTTCCAAAGGTAAACTTGGTCTGCTTCAAAACTTTGCTTGGTTGTTTCTTAACAGCCTCCCCTCCATGCCATGGAAAAACAGAATACTAATGTAAGAGGTTTGACTTGCTGTGACCGCATTAGTTTTTAAAGAGTTAATATAGTTAGCTTAATCAATGATCAGTTTGATTTATTTCCATGCTAGTTGACTTTATGTTTTTCGTCCTCTGGAAATCTAGCTTCCATTGCTGATTTGTGCTGTTGATCATAAGGAGGATCACGAAGCTCAGTATAAATTTTCATCCCTATTTTGAAAAAGCCAGAGGTTTAAGTAACTTGCCTATGGGCAAAGACATTTTACTTGTTAGAGAATCATACGTTATTATAAAACTTTCAGTTTAATGCTTATTGTTGTTTTTTCCTTAAACATAATCTTCACTTGTTTAATGGGAGAAAATTACTATAGGTTTTTTTGTTTTGTTAACAGAATAAGTTTAAACGTGAAGAGAAAACAAATGGCTGGAGAATAGACAAGGCGTTCCGTAAGTATTAAGCCTTCTTTTACGGTGTATCGTTTGGCGAGCCTAAAGCATGACCGTTCTTTTTGTCTCGGTTCCCATGTGTTTTCGATTTGTTCTGTGCTGTGCGTCACAGGCAGGGTAAGACTGGGAAGGTTTCTCTTTAGTGGCGTAGGTGTGGCAGCTGATACAGATCTGTAAGCAGGGGTTAGCTAAGATGTCAAGAAACAAGTAAGCAGAGTTCTGATCCAAGAAGTTTCGGATGGGCTGGAGATACCGTTTCCAAGTGCTCTTTATTCTGGGGGAGCTGTATTCAAGAAGGAGTTAATTGTCTCTGGAAGATACTGTACTCTAGCTGATTCCTTCCAGCAGTCAGTCAGTCATTCAGTCAACAGTACTGCCCACCTGCTGCGTTCTAGTCCCTGGTGTAGGCATTGAGTTTATAATGGGGAACGGGGCAGACGAGAATGCTGCTTTCAGAGCCTTAAGTCTGATTGGGTGGGGGAAGGGGTGTAGTTGGTAAGCATGATAATTTCAGATAGTGAATAATTTCTATGAAGAAGGAAAGAGTGAGTTAGGGGCTGGATGTTTAGATTGGGTGGTCAGGGAAGTTCTGTCTGAAGAGATGGCGTTTAAATTTAGACCTGATTTGACGGAGTGATGTATATATATCTTTCAGCTTCTACTAACCTCATTAAAATTAACATTTTTTCTTTTCAAGTTCAGAGAAAGACAAAAGGGATTTGTAAAGAAAAACAGAATTAAATGTAGTACTGTTTAAAGTAGTTCCTATATTCTTTGGAAGATAATTATCAACATTTCTTGATTAATAAATATATCTGTGTCCTTTTGTCATAGTGCTAATCTTAGGAAAAAAATCTGAAGAGAGGACTTAGGTTGTGTAGCATCTATAATTATTTTATGAGCAAACCCTAAGGCAGATGAGTGGGCCCTACGCCTGGTGTTGCACTGGGCCCTCAGGGAAACCACTTCGAGGAGTGGATCCGGGAAGATCTAGGTTATTGTCTTCCTCAGCCCTCTCCATTTTATTTTACTTTATTTATTTTTTCTTTGAGAAAGATTAGCCCTGAGCTAACTGCTGCCGATCCTCCTCTTTTTGCTGAGGAAGGCTGGCCCTGAGCTAACATCCGTGCCCATCTTCCTCTACTTCATATGTGGGACACCTACGACAGCATGGCTTGCCAAGTGGTACCGTGTCCACACCTGGGATCCGAACCGGCGAACCCCAGGCCGCTGAGAACCCACTTTAACCGCTGTGCCACCGGGCAGGCCCAAGCCCTCTCCATTTTAGAGAAGTGGTCCTGAAACTTTTCATTATATTTAACGCATTATAATCAGAAAAGAGTTTGTAAATCTATAAACAGTCTTTGTAGGGTGTGGAGCCATTGTTAAAACCATCATAATAGATACCTTTAAAATTCACTGATTTTGGTGCTTTGTAGTGGAAAAAAATTAAAATCCAAACGGTTCTTTTTAAAACTTGTATTTTGAATTCCTCTGAGCACCTTTGTGGATTATTTTAGTGCTGTGTTTTTCAGAGTCATTGTTGTGGAAGGTCAGAACAGATAAAGGCTGAATCCCCAGCAAACCAGGGCCTCAGGAATCCCAGGTTTGGGCTTGGTGTCCTGGGGCTAGTTTATTTCTGTTTTGGTATATACCTCTTTTTCTGAGGCGGTCTTGTAGTCGTGTTATCATCAGACCGACCTTGGGGCTTATGTGCAGAGCACCACTTTCTCTCCATTCCCTGTCTTTAGATGCAGGGCTCAGGCAGGGGCTTAACTCCTGTAGTGGATCCATGCTGTTTGCTCATGGACTGCTCTTCTGACAGAGTGCTGTGGTGGTTATTTCATGAGAGTGGTCCTGATCAGTATTCGTTTGCTTCCGTCTTTGCTGCTGTTTGGAAGAGTAGAGTTAGTAGGGAAAGGGTTGTGATCAGGAGAGGGCATCTGCTGGTGGGTAGGCTCGGAGGATTCCTTAGTCGCCCTAGCCTCATTGAAGAGCAGGTTTATAAGGTACTCACCATGCAATTTGTAGTCTGAGTTTTGGCAAACATGTACCTGTGGGACCACCACCCACAGCAAGACGTGGAACGCTTTCCTTCCTCCAGAAAGTCCCCTTGTTTCCCTTCCCGGTCAGCTTCCGCTGCTCTCCTGACCCAGGGCTACCCCTATTTTCACTTGAATCATAGATTCGTTTAGCTTGTTCTGGAATGTATTATTCATGGAATCATACAGTACTTACTGTTTTGTGTCTAGCTTCTTTCCCTCAACATGTTTTTGGGATTCACCTATATTATTGCTTGTATCAGTAGCTCCTTTTTTTTTTTCCTTTTTCTCCCCAAAGCCCCCCTGTACATAGTTGTGTATTTTTAGCTGTGGGTCCTTCTAGTTGTGGCATGTGGGATGCCGCCTCAGCATGGCCTGATGAGTGGTGCCGTGTCCGCGCCCAGGGTTCGAACCGGTGAAACCCTGGGCTGCCGAAGTGGATCGTGTGAACCCAACCAGTCAGTCACGGGGCTGGCCCCTCATTTTTTCTTTTTTTAACTAAAATAGTTTGTTTTTATTGCTCAGTGGTGTTCTATTGTGGACGGTACTATAGTGACTAGAGTTGTTTATCCATTCTTCTGCTGATAAAGCGCATTTGCTTTTGATGTTATGATACTTAAAAAAATAAAAACTTGAAAGTTCCTTTCCTTTTTTAAAAATAAAGATGTGAAGTTTTTTCTTTTTTTTTTAACAGAGGAAAAGCGCCCTTTTGACTTCGATTTTTTTGCTCATTTGCTTCAGAAAGTTCTTGCTGAAGAAGAGAAAAGAAAACAAAAATCCGTTAAAAATCAGAGTTTAAAGGAGAAGAAATCCTCTAAACCACGAAAAAATGTAAAAGGTATTTATTTTAAAAGAAAGTGTGTTATTTTACTTAATAGTAATGGACTTGCAGTTTTGTCCCTCACGTCTCCGTGTGGGTCAGCTTGTTGAGATCATCAGGGTATCCAGGTGGAGGAAAGTGATTTTTCTTCAGTTTTCCAGTTATCTGACCCAAAACAGCAGCTCCCTTTTAAATTTCACAATTGGTGCGACTGGGCTATTTGACATCGTTCTTGCATCTAGAACATAAGTGTAGCTAATAAAACAGTATCAGAATTTTGAAGTGTCATGTTTGGTTATTTATCATTTTCCTCTGTAAAACAAATCTGGGACAAAATCCTAGTACTTAAACAAAATGGAACTCTAATACTTTGGGCTCGTGGCTAAATTGTATTGTTTGAGCACAGCTTATTCCTGAGGGTCAGTGTCAACTTGTACCAGGTAGGAAATTGTTACGTGTAGGTATTTCTGTTTTTAGGCTTATGTTCTCTTAACTATTTGAACTCTGATCTATGAGGACATTGTTTAGCTGTAATTGGATAACGTAAAGAATCCCGGAACTGTTGGGAACCGTGTATGTCAGCACTCCACATCCCAGCCCCTTTCCATTTGTTTTAATCATCCAGAAATAGCCACACAGATCCTAAGTCACTTTTTTCTAAGATCTCACAGTGTTAGGAATGGCAGAGGCAGGACTCAAACCTAGGACTGTGAGAGCCTTTGTTGGGGGTCCCCAAGACCATGCAACCCCAGGTTCCGTGATATCTAGGAGGATTCATAGGATTCAACATGTCGTTGCACTAGCAACTGAAATTTATTGCAGCGAGAGAATACAGAGCAAAGTCAGCAGAGGGAAAATGCACACAGGTCAAAGTTGAGGGGAAGCCAGGTGCAGGCTTCCAGAGTCCTCTCCCCATGAAGTCACACAGGGCGTGCTTAATTCCCCCTTGCCTAGTTGTGACAAGATGTACAAAAACTTGTCTACTAGGGAAGCTTGATAGAAACCCAGTGCCCAGGGTTTTTTATTGGAGGCTAGTTGTGTAGATACCCTCTGGCTGGCAAGTACCAGAATTCGAGACTCCCAGAAGGAAAGCAGTTGTTCAGCATAAACCACCTTATTTGTACAAATGAGTTATGCACATGAGCCACTTTTGTCAGTTAGGCTGGTGGGAACTCTTCCTCACCCCGAGTTCCAGAACAGGCCAGCACCAGCCTCGTAAGCAGGCCTTCGGAAGACAGCAGTGAGGCCTGCTCCATTAGCCTGCACAGAGCCAGTCTAGCACTCTCTTTTTCTGGATCCTGGTGCCTGTATCTTTTAAAAAGTAGTATTGATAACTGCAAAGTTATTTCTTTTCTTTTTTTTTGGAGGAAGATTAGCCTTGAGCTAACTGCTGCCAATCTTCCTCTTGTTTGCTGAGGAAGACTGGCCCTGAGCTAACATCCATGCCCATCTTCCTCTACTTTATATGTGGGATGCCTGCTACAGCATGGCTTGCCAAGCGCTGCCATGTCCACACCCGGGATCCGAACCCATGCACCCCAGGCTGCTGGAGCGGAACGTGTGCATTTAACTGCCGTGCCACAGGGCCGGCCTAGATAACTGCAAAGTTATTTCATTCTGACTGTACCTAGCCCTAGGAGACTGAAATAGGTATATTAATCTTGTGATTGTCATGTCACAAGTGAAAGCACAGGGAACTCAGCCTATCTTATTTAATGTGAGAACTTTTCAGATATATTATTACAAGTCTCAGAATTTCAAAATTGCTGATTATTATTCTGATAGAGAATAAATCAAGTGTTATTTTCTTGGTTTTAAAATCTTGTTTTGGCTTTTTTAACAAAAGCAAATGACATTGAGTGTTATTATTTTTTAAGATTAGATATTTTTAGAGAAGATGTCTGATCAACATGGTTGTGAAGCTAAGTTTGCTTTTGGTTTGGATGCAGTTTCCATGGTGATCTCTGTGTTTTGGTTTTTTAAATTTAATTCATTGTTTTCATCTTTTGATATGGTTGGCTGTTAATATGCCTTCATAGAAAGGGCACTAGAAATTGTTTATAAATATTTCTTACAAAGATTGTTCATTGACAAACAAATGATACAGAAAATAAAATTCTTGAACTCTCTCTCCTACCCTGCCCTCAAATCAAATTCTTCCGATTCTTAGGGGTAACTATTACTAAACTCTTTTCTCTGCAAATATATGTGTTTGTGTCTTAGAGTATACGTAATTGTTTTTAATAAAAATGAGTTCAAGGCTGGCCTGGTGGCGCAGAGGTTAAGTGCGCACGTTCCACTTCAGTGGCCCAGGGTTTACCAATTCAGATCCCAGGTGCAGACATGGCACCACTTGGCAAGCCATGCTGTCTTAGGCGTCCCACATGTAAAGTGGAGGAAGATGGGCATGGATGTTAGCTCAGGGCCAGTCTTCCTCAACAAAAAGAGGAGGGTTGGCAGCAGTTAGCTCAGGGCTAATCTTCCTTAAAAAGAAAAAATAATAAAAATAAAAATGAGTTCATAATATATATATCGTTCTGTAACTTGACTTTTGATGCAACAGTAATTTTTGAAATCTTTTCTATTGCTACATATAAGCCTACCTCATTATTATTTGCTGCATGGATTTTTATAGTATAAATATATTATAACTTATTTAGTCGTTCTCAGACATTTTAGGTTGTCTTCAAATTTTTTTTTTTCCTGAGGAAAATTCGCCCTGAGCTAACACTGTTGCCAATCCTCCTCTTTTTGCTTGAGGAAAATTTGCCCTTAGCTAGCATCTATGCCAGTCTTTCTCTATTTTTTGTATGTGGGTTGCTGCCACAACATGGCTGCTGACAGATTTTGTAGGTCTGCACCTGGGAACTGAACCTAGGCTGCTGAAGCAGAGTGCACCAAACTTAACCACTATGCCACTGGGCGGGCCCCAGGTTGTCTTCAAATTTTTGCTCATAAAAATAATACTACAGAGGGGCTGGCCCCGTGGCCGAGTGGTTAAGTTCGCGCGCTCCGCTACAGACGGCCCAGTGTTTCGTCGGTTCGAATCCTGGGCGCGGACATGGCACTGCTCGTCAGACCACGCTGAGGCAGCGTCCCACATGCCACAACTAGAGGAACCCACAACGAAGAATACACAACTATGTACCGGGGGGCTTTGGGGAGAAAAAGGAAAAAATAAAATCTTTAAAAAAAAAAAAAATTAATAATACTACAGAAGACTCCTTGAGTATTTATCTTCTCTACCTTTAAGAATTTTTCTATAGGTTTATATATTGATAACCATGTGTCTTATTTTCAGTGAAAAAAGTTGCTAGTGAAGGAGTGAATGATGATGCAGCTGAGTCTGTGAGCACTAAAATTCCAGACCCAGAAGGATCTCAAAAGGATGCTCAGACGGCTGGAGAAGAAGAAGAGTCTCTGACTTTATCGGGACAGGATTCAGAACAGATTGTGTTAGAACCAAACTTAAATCAAAACAAAAGGAGAAGGAAGACTCAGGATGAAGTTGGTAAACAGGAAGTACAAAATCTTTCAGGAAATGCCACTGTTCAGTCAGGCCCTTCCAAAGGAGAAAAACACAAAGGTAAAGTTTCTTACATATTTTAACAGCCCCTGTATTACTTGAGAAGATATGTACAAGTAATGGTATATAACTTAAATGCCTTTCTTCTTGACAGTAGCAATTAATAATGCTTATTAATTGGTTCTGTATTTATCGTATTGTGTTAAACCCTTTTATTTTTAATTTAAAGAAAAAATTTATTGTAAAAAAAATGAAATGGAGAGTTCTTTTCTCTCTTGTTGTGTCTCTAAGATACATTACCTCCTAAGTACGCCCATTAATAGTGATTAGAAGTCACAGGTGTATAGCTTTATGTGTATTACTTGTGTCTGTTAATAAATCACGGGTTTTTGTGTTCTCCCTCTTCAGAGCCACTCTATGAACCCACAGTAAGCTGTTTAATTTCTTCTTCTTCTTCTTCTTTTTTTTCTTGATGAGGAAGTTTGGCCCTGAGCTAACATCTGTGCCAGTCTTCCTCTGTTTTTGTATGTGGGTTGCCACTGCAGCGTTGCTTGTTGAGTGGCGGTGTAGGTCTGTGCCCAGGATCTGAACCCGTGAACTTAGGCAACTGAACCAGAGTGTGCTGAACTTAACTACTGTGCCACCGGGCCAGCCCTAAGTTGTTTAATTTCTGTAAAAGAGTTACTGGAATAAGTATTCCTCCCATTTTTATTTTTTTTAATTCCCTTGGCATGCATACATATTGACAGTTATGAGTTACTAGGGGGTAGGGGCTGAGAGTTTAGGTAAGTCTTGGTCTCTTTCCTTGGGAGTTCATCTTTAGATTAATAAAAGCAGATGGTGAAATAAAGAGAGGAGAAAAAGGTAGTGTTAGATGAGAACAGCCTTTCTATAGAATTTAAATTTTATGTATTTCAGCTTCACTAACGTGATTTTAATAAATGAGTCCCGATAGGTAGCATAGTATGATTTGTAGATGTCACAGTGTTATGCTCTTTTGTGGCTTACTATTGAAGACATTACGTATAAAGCAGAATAGCTCAGTGATTAAGAAATTGGGTTTTGGAAATCAAACAGACCTTGGTTTAGATTTCGACTCTTATGTGCTAAATATAAAGTCAGTTAAGATCTTTGAACTCAGGTTCTTTTTCTCTATGCTGAGGTCAATATTAATACATTTTACAGGATTGTTTTGAATATTAAATGAGATATTCATCTGATGGGCTTAGAGTTTCTGTCACTTAGTAAGTCCTCAATAAATTATAGCTGTTACTTGTTATTAATTATGATGTTTAAGCAGAAGAATAGCCAAGTGCACTTCTAGTTTCCTAACTAGACATATAAAAGAAGTCAATTTAAGCACTTGAAATTTAAGCAAGATTGGGCCGGCTCCGTGGCCGAGTGGTTAAGTTCGAGCGCTCTGCTGCAGTGGCCCGGGGTTCGGATCCTGGGCGCAGACATGGCACTGCTCATCAGGCCACATTGAGGCGGCGTCCCACATCCCCCAACTAGAAGGACCTGCAACTAGGATATACAACTGTGTACAGGGAGGGGTTTGGGGAGATAAAGCAGAAAAAAAAATATATATATATAAAAAAAAAAAAAAGAAATTTAAGCAAGATGAAAGGAAGATGCTACAAACTGCCCAGGAAATGTGGGCTGATCCTTGAAACACAGTTGTAATTGATTGAATTTTCTTTAATAATCATTAATGCCTTGCATATAGGAACTTGAATCTTGAATGGATTAATAATTTATTGGAAAAGACAATGTTATATGTAAATACTTTTATGCTTTGAAAAATAGATGTTTTTGCTATAACTTTTTAGAATAACATGCATTTTGTATTCATAGATAAATGTCAGTCTTCAAGGCCTGAGATAAATGAAGGTGAAGGCAATAAGGAACAGAAGCTCTCCTGTGTACAGAACATAGATGATGTTGTGGATTTATCCTCCAGTGAAAAGGTTGAGGAAAAAACTGACTGTATCGTTTCATTAAGGTATTTTCTGTCTCTTTCCTGACTTTTGTCCACGTCTCTACCGATTACTGAGAGAAGAGTGTGGAGTCTCCAACTGTAATTGTGGATTGGCCCGTTTCTCTTTTCAGTTCTGTGTGTTTTTCTTGACCTATTTTGAAGCTCTGTTGTTAGGTGCACACCTAGCTGGGATTGTGGCATCATCTTGGTGAATCACCCTTTATCATTTGCCTGGCATTGTTCTGGGGTCACTCTGTTCTGATGCTTGCTCTGCACTACAGTTTCTGTGGTTAGTGTTTGCATGGGTTTATCATTTTCTGTAAAGATAGTCTATCTTTGGTTTTCAGCAGTTTGAATTTGATATATTCTGAGTTTTTTGTTGCTGTTGTTTAAATTGTGGTTAAAAAACACGGAACATGAGATCTACTTTCCTAACAGAGTTTTTAAGTGTACAGTACAGTATTGTTAGATGTCAGCACAGCATTGAACAGCACATCTCTAGAACTTCTTCATATTGCACGCCTGAAACTCCGTATCCATTGAACAACTGCTGATTTCCCCCTTGCCCTCAGCCCCTGGCAGCCACCGTTCTGCTTTCTGTTTCTGTGAGCTTCATTACTTTAGACCCTCATATCAGTGGAGTCATGCAATATTTGTCCCTCTGTGACTGGCTTATTCCACCTTGCATAATGTTTTCAATGTTACAGCATCCATATTGTGGCCTGTGACAGGATTTCCTTCTTTTTCTTCATTAATTTTGTATTAAGGTAACATTGGTTTATAGCATTATATAAATTTCATGTGTACGTCAGTGTATTTTGATTTCTGTGTGGACTATATTGTGTTCACCACCCAAAGTCCAGTTGCCACCCATCACCATACACATGTGCCCTATTACCACTTTTGCCCTCCTCCCTCCCTGCTTCCCCTACTCTCTGTGTCTGTGTGTTTGTTGTGTTTTTGTGTTTTTTTTTTTAATCTTCCACGTATGAGTGAAATCATAGGGTATTTGGCTTTGTCTCTCAAACTAACTTTGCTCAGCGTAATGCCTGCAAAGTCCATCCATGTTGTTGTGTATGATAGGCTTTCCTTCCTTTTTTATGGTTGAATAATATTCCATTGTATGTATATATCAGATTTCTTAAATTCATTCACCTGTCAGTGGACATTGAGGTTGTTTCCATCTGTTGGCTATTGTGAATAATGCTGCAGTAAACATGGGATTGCAGATATCTCTTTGAGATACTGTTTTCGATTCTTCTGGATAAATACCCACAAGAGGGATTGCTGGACTGTATGATAGTTGTATTTTCAAATTTTTGAGGCACCTCCATACTGTTTTCCATAGTGGCTGTACCGTTTTATATTCCCACCAATAGTGTACAAGGATTCCAGTTTCTCCACATCCTTGCCAGCAGTTGTCATTTTCCGGTGTGTGTCTGTTTGTGTGTTTTTATAATGGCCATCCTAGCAGGTGTGAGGTGATGCTTCGTGGTTTTGATTTGCATTTACCCTAATGATTAGTGATGTCAAGCATCTTTACATATACCTGTTGGACATTTGTATGTCTTCTTTGGAGAAATGTCTGTTCAAGTCTTTTTCCCATTTTTTAATTGGGTTGTTTGTTTTTTTTTTCTGTTGAGTTGTAGGAGTTCCTTTTGTATTTTGGATATTAGGCCCTTACCAGATATATGGTTTGCAAATATTTTCCTGCATTCTATAGGTTGCCTTTTGGCTCTGTTGATGGTTTCCTTTGCTGTGCAGAATCTTTTTAGTTTGATGTAGTCCCACTTGTCTATTTTTGCTTTTATTTGTTGTGCTTTTTTGGTGTCACAGCCAAGAAATCATTGCCAATACCACTGTTATGAAGCTTTCCTCCTATGTTTTCCTCTAGGAGTTTCATAGTTTAAGATGTTACCTTTAAGTCTTTAATCCATCTTGAGCTGATTTTTGTGTCTGGTGTAAGATAAAGTTCTCGTTTCATTGTTTTGCATGTGGAGACCCAGCTTTCCCAGCACCGTGTGTTGGAGAGACTGTCCTTTCCCTGTTGTGTAGTTTTGGCTCCCTGTCAAGAATCGTTTGACCCTATGTGTGTGAGTTTATTTCTGAGCTGTGTGTTCTATTCCATTGGTGTATATTTCTGTCTTCTGAAAAACTTGATGAAAGCTCTTTATTCTCGTGTAGAAAAATACACTTACACAGATGTGCCAATGTCTTCATACAATTCGGAAGGTTAATACTTTCTTTGAAGCTGAGCCCTGGACCTCTGATTCTTAACTTGCTAGGTTACAGACTTCTAAATTCTGACTTCAGAGATACAGCTAATTTCGTAAACTATACACAAAACTATACTGATGACTTTTTCTAATTTAGGGGGAAAACAACCCTGTAATGACTGTTAAAATTCCAATTGGTTTTGTAAAACAACAAGCCAATTCTAAAATTGTTACATACACAAAGACAAGGGGTCATGAACGGTAAAGCCAATTTTTTTTTTGAGGAAGATTAGCCCTGAGCTAACTACTGCCAATCCTCCTCTTGTTGCTGAGGAAGACTGGCCCTGAGCTAATATCCATGCCCATCTTCCTCTACTTTATATGTGGGACGCCTGCCACAGCATGGCTTTTTGCCAAGTGGTGCCATGTCTGCACCCGGGATCCGAACCGGTGAACCCCGGGCCACCAAAGCAGAACATGTGCACATACATTTGATTTGCCAACCCCATATAAGTAAGAGTTTTTCATGTTGTGACTTCTTGAACCCTTTCCCAAGCTTGTGATCTGTGGCTGCTACTTTCTCTGAAGGTGTGGTTTTTAATAACATGGTGCAAGAAGGATCATAGAAAAGCCAAAATATCCATTTCAATTATTCCATAATATGAAGGATCATCTTCCAAAGTATTGGTTTTGTATATTTTAAAAGTCTTTTAAATAATTAGTATAAAATATGCATCACTAAGAATTCTTTTCCCGCTACGTTTTCATTTCCTTAGCAGTCAACCAGATGCCGTGTCAGTAGCAGCTGAGACTCCAGGATCAAGCACTTCGGATTTGCCTTCATCAGAGGTTGGAATTAGAGCTCTGTGTGAGGTGAATGATGCTGAGAACAGTTGTACAGAAGGGAGACATGCTGACCTAAAAAATAAATCCCCGTAAGTATTTTACATGGTAGGATTTTTAAATTTATTTTCAAGATTTCGGTAATTTCTTATTTAAGAAGTGATAATGGTGCTTCTTCCTTTAAGGATTAGGAGGGGCTTGTAGACCATTTAATGTGTAATTGTTCTGTGGTCTGAGTGTGACATCAAGGTTTTTGACTTTATACTTCATTACAGAAAGATTCTCTTTCATATCTGATGTATTATGGTGATAGGAGTTTTAGCAAGGTGGTAACTTATGAAATTCTAAAATAATTTAGAAGCCTAAATATTTGCCATGAGATTGTAGTTTTACTTGGTTTGAGTTATTTTTCTTGCCTGTTGTCAAAGTAGTAGATTTTGATATTGGTAACCTTAAAGAGATTATGTTTTTTAGTATGCAGATACTGGTTAAATTAATATCCTCACTAAAAACAGAATAAAAGCACCAAAGAATCTCCCTTTGAAGAAATATCTCAAAAATTCCGACTTCCTTCTTGTCTCCCTCATAACTCCTCATATGGGCTTAAAAGCTATTCAGTTTACAAATTTTTTTATTTTCAGTAAAGAGTAGTCACATCGAGAATCAAACTTAGTTTTTGAAATGAAAATTTAAATTCGTCTTGGGAATAAGCGCTCTATTGTTATGGTTCAGACATCCAAAAGGACAAGATGGTGCAGAGTGAAGTGTCCCTCCCGCCCTGCCCCCTCACTCTGACAAGTAGCCGGTGGTACTTATTTCTTAGCTTCCTTCAGAGAGTTTTTAAAAGCTACATAAAGTTAACAGAAATATGTACTCTTTATGTTTTTTTTACCCTTTTTAAAAACCTAGTGGTAGCACGCTATACATACCATTTTGCAGTTTTTTGGTCTTACATCCTCATATCTTTACATAAAGACCTTCTACATTCTTTTCATAGCTACGTAGTGTTCTCTTGTGTGGATAAAGCGCAGTTTATGTCATCAGTGCCCTATTGAGAGCTATTTAGGTTGTTTGTACATGCATTGCTTATAACCTTGTCCCTCCATCTTTTCATCTATGTGCAAGTATATTTGTAGGGTAAGTTCCTAAAAATGGAATTGCTTGCTCAGAGGATGTATATATGTGTGTGTCTGTACATTTATACATTTATGATTTTGATAGATACTGCCAAAATGCTCTCCGTAGGAGTTATGCTAGTTTATATTCCCACCAACAGCATAAGAAAGCACCTGTCTCCCTTGCCAACTAATGGTGGTGTTAAACTCGGATTTTTGCCAGTCTTGACAGGTTATACAATAATATCTCAGTGTAGTGTTGCCACCTCACTGCTCCTTTTTTGGCAGGGGTATGTCGTTTTAAATTTTTTTCCCTTCAGTTTCTTACTTCAAATTTTTCTAACCTAAAGAAAAGTCAAAAAAACAGAACAGTGAACATCTGTATATAATTCCCCTTAGATTCTCTGGATTCCTAATGTCTTGTCACGTTTGCTTCACTCACGCTCTCTGTCTGCTTTACTTTGCACTTATTGGGAGTGAAGTTGAGCATGTCCTCGCATTTAAAAGCTATTTTTATTTTGTCTTTTGTGAGTTGTCCATATCCTTTGTCCAGTTTTTTAATGAGTTCTTGATGGTATTGTTTTGTGGGAGCTCTTTATATTTTAGGGAGGTTAGCCTTGTGGTATGAGTTGTAAAACATGCTTTCTTGGTTTCTCGTTTGACTTTTGACTTAGCCATGTTTTGACCATGTGAAAGTTTTTGATCCTTATATTGTCAAATTTCTCAATTTTTTTCTTTTATGGCTTCTGAACTTATAATCAAATTTTAGAAAGGCTTACTCCACCTCTGGGTTGTGAAATAATCCATCTGTATTTCTCTGTGGTTTCATTTAAATCTTTGATCCAATTGGAATATATGGGGAGCATGGTGCAAGGAGTGGAGCTAATTTTGTTTTATTCTCCAGTGTTCCAGTTTTCCCATCACCATCTATTTAGTGTAATATTTATTTTTTTAAATATGTTATTATGTATTTCATCTTATCCTCTCTGTTTTCAAATGCTGCGTATTGTATACTAAAATCCTGTGGATCTGGGGGTCCTCCTCTCCATTTTCTTGTGTTTCCTTTGTGTATCTGTTCGCTTGTTAGTACCACACTGTTTTAGTGATTGATGCTGACGAGCACATTTTTAACATTGGATATAACAAGTTAGTTACCCACTCATTGCTATTCTTTTTTAGTTTTCTTTGCTACTTTTCCTGTAAGTAAGCTTAAATGAGTATTTTCTGGCTCTGAGTGGATTTTTAAAGGATTTTCCAGAATTTGGTTTGAATATGCCTGCATGTTGGTGCAGTTTAAATAATGTTAATTTTTTAGGGAAACAGATCAAAGAGAAAATGTCAAACCAGTGGCAAGAGGACGACTCCAGAGACCTAAACCCAATTTATCAAGGGCAATTGGGAAGAAACCAGCCATTTCACAAGGTAAAACAGATGCAGAGAGCGAGAGTTTACACCCAGAAACTTCCATGGAAAAGGTATGGAGTAAGAGACTTTATGCAAATTAAAATTATGAAGATTTTTCCTAAATAGTTGGAAATAAAAATGTTTAGCTTGTAATTACAAAGTAATGTTACTGAAACTAAAACAAAGACGAGAATGTGCTCATTAATATTAAATTTGTTTTACTAATCTCCTGTTTATGCATTTTCTTTGGAACTGAGGAGATAATTCAGACCATCTGCAGTAGAGAGAAATCTGCCTTTTATTTTCTTGTATAAAATTTTTGTTCAAAATATTTTTAAACCAGCTGTGCGTAAAATTACATGCACAGCCCTTTCATCTGAATGCAGACACTGACCTTCCTCTATTTGTCCTATATACAGTTCGTCTCTCTTTTTATGTATGTAAATGTTTCTATAGTTTTTAATCATAATGTATATAATATTTAAAACTTTTTCTCTGAAACTATTCATTTACACTTTCTTGGGGTTAATTGATCTTTTTAATAGCTGCCTCAGATTAACATATTATTAATTTACCTTACCATTTCTCTAATGGTGGACATTTGCTTTAACTCTTGTAAATAAAAGCAAACAATTTTGTAAATAGGGCTTTCTTAAGGAAATACGCAAAGAATAAATTTCCAGAAGTGGTGGGATTAATGAGTCAAAGTATTTTAAATATTTTTAGGGCTCTTGTTATGCATTGTCAAACTGACAGTCCAAAAAAATGAATCTGTTTATGTTGCTACAAGCGTTAAATGAATGTTCTTGTTTCCTATCCTGCCAACATTATATTGTTATGAATTTTTTATTTTTGCTAAAATGCTTTTTAGAATGTTAGTCTGCTTTTTTTCTCTAATGTGAAATATCTTTTTTGTCACACTTTTTATGATAGTTATTATATTATGATCTTCTAAGATGTTTTTAAACTTTAGAAAATTGGGAAAATACAGATTCGTGTAAAAATTGAAGCAAAAACTACTTGTAATTTCGTTATCCAGATGCAATCAACCTTTTAGCCTATATCCTTCCAGCTTTTCTTTTACACAATTGAGTAGTAGTATTAATTCAGTTTTTTGTATCCTTTGGTACTTAGCATTTCATAAATATTTTTGTATATCATTAAACATCTTTTGAAAACATGGTTTTTAGTGACATCATAATATTCTATCACTGGGTATAACTGAATTTATTTAATCATTTAATCATTATTGCATGTTTTGTTTACTGTGTTTGCTGTTTTACATACTGTTCCAGTGAACATCCTTGTACTTAAATCTTTGTCTAAATATTTTCTTAGAATAAAGTCTTAGAAATGGTTTTACAGGATCAAAGAGTATGAACATTTTTAAGGCTCTTGATTTTAGTGGTAAAAGGCTTTCCGGAAAGGATATACCAATTTATGCTTCTATCAATAATGTATGAGATTATATGTTTTATAATATTCTCATCTGCATTTGTGATTTTGAGAACTCTGTTACAATTAGAAGTACAAAAAATTTTAATTTTCATTTATTACAAAGTTTGAACTTGATGTTAAGTAGATTAAATGTAAAAAATTGAATTTATAGAATCACTTGGAAAAGGATAAAAGGAACACATTTGACATTTCTGAAACAGAGAATACAGAGGGAGAGAACCCAGAAGCTGAGACTGTATCTAAGTAAGTATTTAGGAAGTAGAATAAAAATAGTACCTCTTACAAATGATTGTAAAACGTTTTTTCTATTTGATAATGTCTGAAGTTTATTTTCAGCTAGTGTACTTAAGTCCATTTTTAACTACAGATCTTGTTGAAACATTTTGATAATGCTCTTTATGCTTAATATTGTAGAAATAAATTATGGTTGGATCCATTGAGTTAGTGATTACATTTCTCCCTCAGCGTATTAACAAGATTTTAACAAAATCTAGTTAGATAAATTAATAGTTAAGATATATGTTTATCGATAATTTTACTTATAGCAAGAGGTTTCACAAGGGAATATCTAACTTGGAATGGAGATCTAGAATTGGCCTTGCTCCGTGTGAGTCTGAGCAGTGGCTCTGGACTGTCCATTTATGCCGAACCTGTGTGCAGTGCCCTGGAGGTGGACATTACACAAGAGTGTCCTCAGTGGGGAATAATAGTACATGCTTATCAGGTATAGGTTTTTCCAATTTTGTGATGAAAATTTGCTTTTAAAGTGCTTTTTATAGTCAGGCTTCCAGGATTATGTCTGTTCCAAAGAGTTAAGGTGCAGAAGTATGATGTCTTTGAGGATGTTCTTGAGTATACTTGGGAATTATTTTATATTACAAATGGTTTACTTACCCGTACCAGAGAGAAGGGAATAATGAAAACAAGCAAGTGTGTGGCTTCAGAATAACCATTGATTTTATTCTTTTGTAATTATTACAGTTCAAGTGAAAAAATTTGTCTGCAGGAAGATGATCAACCAAAGGCTTTCAGGCCTACACGGCTAACGAGGGGCCGATTGCGGAGGCCAAAGCCAAATGTTGGTAAAGCTGCCGAAAGAAAAGAAATTCTTCCATCACAGGAAAAAATTGGGGCCAATGTAGAAAACAGTGCAAATGAATCCTCTGTTGATAGAGGTGTAAGTACTCTGATCCCTCCCAGTTTTTTTGTCAAACCAGTACATAAGCCTCCTTTCACCCCACCTTATACAGCACACTATACAATTGTGTACACTCTTCATTAAATTTAAGGCCAACATCTTGCAGCCAGCAGCTTTGCTAATTTGTAAAGCCGTTTAATTCTCTGCGCTCCAGATTTTGAGCATTTACTTGATGGATCATCTGCATTCACTTGACTTCGAGTTTGGGCTTCCCTTCCCCATCACTGAGCAGCTATTTCAATTACACTTCCTTTTTGAAAATGTAGCTAAATATGTGAATTTTAATGCTGGCTTTAGCAGAATAAATGTTAAAAGCTCCCTACTAAAATACAATTCCAAGAACAAAGATTATGAATTTTAGATTATTTACATTATAACTAGTCTTTGTGATAAGGGCAAAAGTTGGCATAATTTGAGATTTGAGTTTCTTTTGTTATAATTCCCAAAGTCTAGAATGTGGATACAGTGATGAGGATTCAGAAAGTAGACCCAGAGGTAATTCTAACAGATGAGACTGAAGCAGGTACTTGCATTCTGATTGGGAGGAAAAGAATGGGGGCTTTGAGATGAGATAAAAGGTGTGGCTTCATGAAATTTTCTAAGATGTCTAAAGAAAAAACATTAAAAAGCATCCTTTGAATATCATTTTATAATTTTGAAGTGTGTACCATTTTCCTTGTACTCAGTTGGATAAATTTTCAATGAAATCTTTTATAAATGAGTGTTTCATTGTGAAACCTAAAACTTCTTTAAAAATGTGTTTGTTATTAAGACTCCGGAACAAATTGAAGATCAGTCATGTCAGAATGTTGAGTGTGAAGACATCACATCACAGTCTGAGGAAAAAGGTACTTCTTTTCAAAATGTGCAGCCAGATGAGCCCACGACTCTTAATGAATGTGTGAGGTAGGCATCATCTTATCCATTATATAATTTTTGAATTTTGTGTAAAGTTTTAGAAATTCTTAATCGTTTTTTTTTTTTTTAAAGATTTTATTTTTTCCTTTTTCTCCCCAAAGCCCCCCGGTACATAGTTGTGTATTCTTTGTTGTGGGTCCTTCTAGTTGTGGCATGCGGGACGCCGCCTCAGCGTGGTCTGACGAGCAGTGCCATGTCCGCGCCCAGGATTCGAACCAACGAAACACTGGGCCGCCTGCTGTGGAGTGCGCGAACTTAACCACTCGGCCACGGGGCCAGCCCCTTAATCGTTTTTTTAAAACAACAGCAGATCAGACTGACTTATCTGTGTATCACGTTACGTAATTATGTTTATGTACCAAATTTGGAGGGTACCAAACCAGAGCAATGGAATTATTAGTATACTCAAATTTTTTTTTCCTTTAGGAAATATTCAGTGTTCACAAAGCAGTGAGAACAGAATAATGGACTCCCATGTACCTGCTATCTAGTTCTAATAATTGTTATTATTTTATCTAGTTTCAACAATTCTTAGTGTTTTACCAGTCTCTGCATTTCAGGTCTGGCGTGTCGTATACTTCCTTACTGCCCACTGCGTTAGCTGTTTAAACGCCACCTGACCTGAGGGTGAAAGCTGGGTTTCCTGAGCTATCTTAAAGGTCTTTGTTAGAAGACGGAAATTCCCCTGTTCCTCACTTCTTGCTCTCCTCCTTTGCTTCATCCCTCTCTCCCTACCCCCCTGTCCCCACTCTACCACTCCTCTGCTGCAGAATCTCTGGGTAGAAGCCTGCACAACTACGTTACTTGTTATGTATCTGATACAAAGACCAATCACAGACATCTGACAGTAGGGATTTTTTTTTTTTTTTTTGGAGGAAGACTGGCCCTGAACTAACATCTGTGCCCATCTTCCTCTACTTTATATGTGGGACGCCTGCCACAGTATGGCTTGACAAACAGTGCCATGTCCGCACCCGGGATCCAAACTGGTGAACCCTGGGCTGCCAAAGCAGAACATGCAAACTTAACCACTGTGCTATCGGGCTGACCCCCTGACAGTAGGGATTTTTTCTTCCTGTATTTTTCAGTGTAAGCTAGACGCCATTAATAATTCATGTGGCTTTGTAGAAAATTGTTTTCCCTGAGTGGTCCTTGGGTTTTAGAACCCTGGTGGATGTTGTTTAGAAATAATATCCGGTCTGATCTCAACAACTTTCCAAAGGCAGTGTCCTTTCTGTTTTATCCTGTGGCCTTTCTGGCCTTTGGATCTCCAGCATTGTTAAAAACAATTCTGAGATTCTGTTTTCTCGAATCCCCACCCTCAAACACTTTGAACTGTTCAAGATGCTGTGTAAGAGAAAGAAAACAGAGAAAGTGACTCTGACATGAAGAATGCATTAATAGTTCTACTTGATTCAATAAATTGGTGACTGTGTTTTTGAAACTCTTCTGGGCTAATATTGCATCCTATCTCCTTCATAGAAATATTTTGAGGTTTGTGTCATGGTTGGTGAGCTATCTTCTCGAGGTTTATAAATATTTTGTAGATTCTTAAGCCCTATATTTTAGACAATCACATCTGTGGACTGTGGAGCCGATTTATAGTTTTGTGTCTGTTCCTTCTCCTACTTTCTTCAGTTGTGATCCTCTTTCTTTCTGTGGTTTTCTCCTTAAATTAGGTAATCTGAGGAGAGAGTTGTGGATCCATTGGGTGGCTTTTCTTTTTTTTGAGGAAGATTATCCCTGAGCTAACATCCGCCACCAATCTTCCTCTTTTTCTTTCGCTGAGGAAGATTGGCCCTGAGCTAACATCCATACCCATCTTCCTCTGCTTTATACGTGGGACGCCTGCCACAGCATAGCTTGACAAGTGGTGCAGAAGTTCGCACCTGGGATCTGAACCGGCCAACCCTGGGCCACCAAAGCAGAACATGCGAATTTAACTGTTGCACTGCTCGGCCGGCCCCTCCACTGTATGTTTTGGGTTGAGAGACAGTCTGGTTCAGTTGCAGATCTGATCTCCAGTCCCAGACACTGCCTGTCAGTTCCTTGTGCAGCCAGCTGGTGGCGCTCTGTGAGAAGAGGGCTGTCTCTTCACCGTGTCCCCAGTTCCTAGCTCACACCTTCCTGGTGTGTGATGGGTACTTAGAGCTATTAGGTGACTGGTTGTTCATGAACTCCAAGTAGTGTGATGTTTATTATTTATCCATAAAAGTTAAGCTTATCAAGTCCTTTTATTACTTAGGGACAACCTAAGCACATAGAATATAATCAGAATATTTCATATTTGTATCTTAAAATTTGAATGATATTGAAGTAATGAAATTAATAAAGCTTTTGCTTAAAGCATTTATATATTTTAATAATATGCTAGTGTTCAAAATATGTTTATCTTTTATAAAGATAGTTTATCTTTTCTCATGATAACCAAACCAAGATTGCTAATACAGGAACCTCACTAAAAGGTAGATATTTCTGGATAGAGATAAAAAGAATCATAAGTCAGAAAATAGAATAAAATCCACCAAGGACTAACCACATTCAATTTCCTTTATTGATCAGTACTAATTTTGCATTGAATGTTATCAATTACTAAAGTCAATGGTGGGTATAAGACTCCTGAGTTATATAAACAAGTACAATTTGAAAAGCGGTCTTATTCCTAAGAACCTGCCTTGTGTTATCAAAAGTTGCATTATAAAAAACAGTTGTTTCAACCAGGAAAGATAGATTAGAACCTAGGAAGTTCAAACAAGCAGTAGCATCGGTTTTGATCTTTTTTTGGAGCTAAGTGTAGACACTAGTTCAGCCTCACATTGCTGAATGAGTCTGGTGTTCTGTTTGAGCTGGCTTCTGCCCAAGGTTAATGACCGTTCTTAACCAGTCACTAAGAGCGCTTTCAGTCGTATGTTTTCTTGGTTTTACCATGTGCTCTGCTAAAGCACGAGCATAGAGTGCTGCTACTGCTCTGGAGAGCCGATCCTCGTTCTAGGTGGTGGCTGCTGTGTGCCCAATAGCACTGAACAGACTGCCAAATACTGTTGTTAGTTGATCTTTCCTTTTATTCCCGGTGTGTATCATGAAATCACAAGCTCTTAGAGAAATATCTGGACAGGAGATCTCCTTTTTAATTGTTTTTAACAAGTGAGGAGGGCCAAACTTCTTCTGAGTTATGACTGTATCTTATTCAAATCATACCTCCATCCAGCTATTTGAGATGCTGGCCAAGTCTGGCCATGTGAGTGAGTTCCTTAATTCTTATAGCAGGGTGTGTGTCTAGGTGAGGGTGGCAGGAAAGGGGTAGGGGTGGCAGGCGCAAACTGGGCTGGCTGCAGTGTAGAGGACTGGAGAGGCTTTCTCAGCCAGTACGTGCGAAGGGTGGTGTGGACGACAATCGAAGAGAGACTGTTCAGGGCCAATTAGCTGCTGTTGTCATCGACCTAATTGGTAGATTTCTCTTTGTGTGTCTCTGTGTACAGTCATGCACCAGCCGCATAATGATGTTTCACTCAGCGGCGGACTGCATGTGTGATGGTGGTCCCATAAGATTAGTACCCTTCAGCCTAGGTGTGTAGTAGGCTGTACCACTTCGGTTTGTGTGAGTGCACTCTGATCACACAGCAATGAAATCGCTTGAGAACACATTTCTCAAAACGTGTCCCTGTTGTTAAGTGACACATGACTGTAATAAAATTTCCTAGAATTTCAATTTAAAATTTCCTATATTATTTTTATAATTATTTTAATAAAAATATTTTTATAATTATTTTACAAACTTAAATTTAAAATTTCCCCGTAATTTCAAAAGATGGAATTTTTTTCTCTCCTTTAGTTTTTAAATTTTACACAGATTCCTGGGGCTTCCTTAAATTTTTAATTTGAGAGTTTGTAGTTTTTCACTAGTGATTTCTCAAACATCATCTCTTCAACTGGCAGTCTGGTTTAAAATTTGATTGTCTTTTTTATAGTATTCAAGAGGATAATAAAGCAAATACACTCAAACAAGTCCCAATGGTAAAGACTCGATTTCAGAAACCAAAGCCAAATGTAGGAAGAGGGATTGGAAGAAGAAAAATTTTCTCAAAGGAAGAGGTGTCAGAGGAGATTCTTACCTCTGGGGAAATGACAACAGCTTTGAGAGAAGTTGCAAGACTGGGAGCCTCCCCAAGGGAGAACGGACCAGTGGAGGCTAATACTACTGAGGAAATGAAATCAGATTTGACAGAGACTGAAAGAAGAGGCGTTTCTCCCATGGAGAAGACACCGGAAATGATTGACATCACTGTGGACATGGAGACGGGTTTGGATGAAACTGGAAGAGGGGTTTCCCTAAGGGACAGGGTACCAGAGGTGACTGCTGCCACTGAGGAAAGAAAGACAGATTTGGAAGAAAATGGAAGAAGAGAACTATCCCTAGAGGAAAAGGCCCCAGAGGTGGTCAGCACTGTAGGTGACATGGAGACAGGTTTGGAAGAAACTGGAAGAGGGGTTTCCCCAAGGGACAAGGTACCAGAGGTGACTGATGCTGCTGAGGAAAGAAAGACAGATTTGGAAGAAAATGGAAGAAGAGAAATATCCCTAGAGGAAAAGGCCTCAGAGGCGGTCAGCACTATAGGTGACATGGAGACAGGTTTGGAAGAAACTGGAAGAGGGGTTTCCTTAAGGGACAAGGTACCAGAGGTGACTGATGCCACTGAGGAAAGAAAGACAGATTTGGAAGAAAGTGGAAGAGAAATATCCCTACAGGAAAAGACCCCAGAGGCGGTCAGCACTGTAGGTGACATGGAGACAGGTTTGGAAGAAACTGGAAGAGGGGTTTCCACAAGGGACAAGGTACCAGAGGTGACTGATGCCACTGAGGAAAGACAGACAGATTTGGAAGAAAGTGGAAGAGAAATATCCCTAGAGGAAAAGGCCCCAGAGGCGGTCAGCACTATAGATGACGTGGAGACAGGTTTGAAAGAAACTGGAAGAGGGGTTTCCACAAGGGACAAGGTACCAGAGGTGACTGATGCCACTGAGGAAAGAAAGACAGATTTGGAAGAAAGTGGAAGAGAAATATCCCTAGAGGAAAAGGCCCCAGAGGCGGTCAGCACTATAGATGACGTGGAGACAGGTTTGAAAGAAACTGGAAGAGGGGTTTCCCCAAGGGACAAGGTCCTAGTGGGGATCAATGCCATAGGGGGAAAGGAGGTTGATTCGAAAGAAACTGGAAAAGGAGCCATTTCCCTGACAGAAAAGGTTTTGGGAAAGACGACTGCCGTTGAGGAAACCCAGGCAGATTTGGAAGAAACTGGAAGAGAAATTTCCTTGAGGAAAAGTAGATCAGAAGAGACTAGTACCACTGAGGAAATGGTGGCAGATTTGGAAAAAACTGGAAAAATAGACATTTCTCTAAGGGGAAATGTACCAGAGGAGACTGGAATCTCAAGACAAACTGAGACAGATTTAATGGAGAGCATTAGAGCTGTCGGTAGTGCTCTGCCATCGCTGAATCTCCAAGTACGTATTTTTCTGTCCTTTAAAAATTTTTTTGAATACTTTTTCAGGGAAAGATTATCAAAATAATTCCACAATTATTGTCCTTAAGTCAAACAACATTTAAAATCTTTAAAAGCCTGAAGTCTTTCTCAGCCCAAAATCCTGTGTTTCAGGACTTTAAAGAAACAATATATTCTTTTTTAAAAATAATTAAAAAAAAGTTTTAGTTGTGGAAAAGTTGCTATTCTTACTGTCAGTTTGAAGTTACTGTTTCAGATAAAAGGAATGTAGGAAGTGGACTGAAACTGTGCTAACTCTGATATGAACATACCTTGGAATTATTTCTTTTGATCATATTTAAATCAGGTTTTCTCTTTTATTTCATTCCCCACCCCTCTTTACTCCACTTTTTAAAAAATTCCTTTTAGTAGAAGTTTCCATTTACTTCAAGTTCATGCTATTCTACCAATTTCGAGGACTTTTGTCCTAACTTTTTTTGGATAAGTCATAGCATTTGTGGTTTGGAAAAATCATAGTATGCATTATAAAAAGAAGAATTCCCTGAATTCTATGTTTGACCATTTGTAAATTAAGTTTTATTTTATTTAAAAGTTAAAGAAACAAACTTGTAGATTTTTAAAGAGAAGTGTGTAGAGTATAGTAGGCTTTTGTTTGGAATGTGTGAAATGCTGAAGGAGACTTGTGTATGTGGCGGTTTGCTGTGGCTTTTCCTCCAGAACATCGGCAGTGAAGCACTACTGGTGGTGCCTGTACCTGGAGAAGAAGAAAGAAGTTCTGAAAAGGAAGGCTCAAGTCAGCTGAGTCATTTGAAGACGTCTTCACAGACTCCTGAACTTGGTGAAACAGAAGACCAGGGGATGCTATCTCCAGACGCTCCAGAGCGGTTTTCAGATGCTAATTTAAGGTACGAGTAGATACGTCTGTGTGCTTTTAAAGAAAAAGCATGTAAAGTTATATGTGCTGATGATATTTAAGTAAGTGAGGTTTCAGGACATGTCTCTAGCATAGTGTCAGAGATTTTAAGCTAGTTTTGGGAGGACTAGGATTGGGAGAGAGGATTGAGGTCATTCTGACAGTAGATTGTGAGAATTACTAACATACAGAATTGTCTGTAACCCATAGTCCTAAGCCACTACGAGTGTAACCAACCTGCACTTTCTTTCTGCTGAGATGGTATGATTCCTAGGCTTGTACGTGGATTGTACCACTCGTGTTTTTCAGCCTCTACCAAATAGTGTAATTTGTTTTTCTGTTAGGAATTAGAATTAAACATTTACCACCGGTGTCTAAGGTTGTCCTAAGACTCCACTCCCACTGCCCTTCAGTCCATTCTAAAGCTTGATCATCCTTCTTCCAAAGCAAATCTCTTCCTCAAGAACAGAAGCCACTTGAAGTTAAACCAGCACCTTTTGTGAGAAGTCGATTCAAAAGACCAAAGCCAAACTTAGCGAGAGCAGCTTTAAAGAGAGAGATGACGGAAACAGGAATGTCTGTGCCTGGGAAGAAATTGGAAACTGGTAAAACGGAGACTGGTGTGATACAGCAGAGCAGGGAACAGACAAACATGCTCCCTTCTCAACACGTGAGTGGCATTGGTGATGGAGGGTTGGTTTAGTTACTATGGTTACTAGGGTAAAACACCTGGAATTGGATTTTCACAAATATTTCCTCATATAATTTTCACTGCATGTGATAGGATTGTTGCTGTACTAATGGACCTCATTGTTCCATGAGGTTTGTGCAAGAATCTCACCCTCTGATGATGGGTGAGTGTGTCACAGGAAGGAGTTTCATAGGTTGGACTCTAGTTTGAGTTCTGACTATATTCGTTATGTGACCAGAGCCAAATGATACAGCCAGTTTCTTCATAGGAAAAGTGAGAATGACGGTACTTTACTTCACTCTGTCGTGCAGGTGAACTAGACAGTTAGAAGCTTGATGTGGGCTAAGGGAGACATTTTATTTACTTCGTTAACCTGGTCCATAACAGATTAAGATTGTGTGATATGGCATTAAAAACTTCGAAATGAAATGTTAACACTCATAAGTTGTGTTCTAAACATATAAACTACTGTTCTGAATTAAAATTCTTCTTTTACATCTTGAAATAGCTTAGTTCTTACTGTGCTTAAACATTTGTACTTTTTCCTCCTAATCTTATTTTAAAAAAGATAAATTGCTTTTTTTTTGTTGCTGAGGAATATTCTCCCTGAGCTAACATCTGTGCCAGTCCTCCTGTATTTTGTATATGGGTCACCATATACGTGCCGCCACAGCATAGCTGACGAGTAATGTAGGTCTGTGCCTGGGATCTGACCGTGGGAACCCAGGCCACTGAAGCAGAGCACAGTGAACCCAGTGACTAGGTCACAGGGCCGGCCCCGATAAAGTGCTTTTTAATTTTATCTGATTATAAAATTTCAAATTGGAAAACATATATAATCCAAAAAGTGAGAGTTCTTTATCATGTTCGATCTCTCCCTCTCAAGTTGATCATGTAGCAATTTTAATGTATCTGCCTAGGTTTCTCTAGATATTTACTTATGTAAATAATAAGATGTGCAGGTATTTTCATTGTTTTGCAAAAATGGCGTCATAGCTTACCTTCTGATTTTTCCACTTAACACCATACTCTGAACATCTTTTTGGATCAGTGTATAGAAATTTATCTTCTTTTAAATGGCTCTATCCTCTTGCATTATAAAGACGTTATAATTTATTTATTCAATCTCCTGTTAATAGAGTTGTCTTGTTTCCAGTTTTTTTGTTTTTTCTTTTTTGGGGGGCTATTACTGCTGTAATAAATATCCTTGTATATAATTTTCTAGATGTTTATTTTTATAAGATGCATTTGTAGAAGTAGAATTGCTAGGACTTAAACTTCTTGCTAGATACTCCCGTGTTGTCATCTACAAAGACTAGACCAATGTGTTCTTCTAATAATATATGAGAGTTTCTATTTCCTGATACTTTTACCAACCTTGATGAAATTTTCTTTATCTGCCTTCTAGGATGTGGCTTTCCTAATGACATCAAGAGAAAAAGATGGATCAGGTCCCAGGCCGGAGGAGGCTGTGGTATCACCCTGTGTGCAGATTGAAAAGGACTTGTCGTCGCCCAGCTTTTGTGAACCTGTGGAGGAGTCCCAGGCTGCACGAGCCCAGGGAGAGGAAGGAGTAGTTTCCGTGAGGTAAGCAGTGGTAGTTCCTTGAAAATCTAAAATAAGAGAGAATTCTTTCAAAAATTTTTAAATTTTTGTCAAGATGTGTTAATGTGAATATCAAGAGTACTTGACTTATTTTTATTCATATCTCTGACTGCCTAAAATAGAAAATCAGATTGAGTTCAACACCTTTTAACGCTTGCCTGCTTACATTCACTGTAAACTGCTAAAGAGCATATACAAGGCAGTGCATTAAAAAATATATGTATATAAAGTATGTATTCATTACCTTTTTAAAAATTGTGGAAAAGGACATGGAACATGAAATTTACCATTTTAACCATTTTTTGTGTCCAGTCCAGTGTCATTAAGTACATTCACATTGTTTTGCAACCATCACCACTGTCCGCCTCCAGAACTTTTTTGTCTTCCCAAACTGAAACTCTGTTCCCATCAAATGCTCCCCACCCCACTTCCTCCACTCCCTGGTAACTACCATTCTGCTTTCTGTCTCTATGAATTTGAATATTTTGAGGAACTTATGTAAGTTCATTACCTTTTGAGAATTGAAATAAGTATTTTGTTTTACAAAATAAGATATTTGTAATCAGAAAGTAATTTAATTTTCCTTTAATGGTACAGAATATCTTTGTAGGGAGTTTATTAGAGGAGATTCAAATTTTATATTTTTATGGTGGTTTTCATTTTTTTACAGTCAAGCTCCCTCTCTACTCCCTGTTCCCTTTTCTAGGACTCAGAATATAAACACTTTCCAACAAGAAATGAAGGAAAGTGTTACCCAAACTGCTCCATCAGTACGGGGCCGACTTCAAAGACCCCGACCAAACATAAGAAAGGCTGGACAGAGGCAGAGAGTAGAGAAAGGTGAAGCCGAAGGCATAGTCGAGGAAGAAAGAACGGTAGTGCAGAAAGATGAAACTGAAAAGAAGTTCCTGACTGGGGTGAGTTACCTTCACGGAGATAAATTGCACCTTTTAATGCATATTGAAATATCAAATGGAAGCTCAGACTTGGCTTAGAAAATAGGCATCTGACACTTATTCTTACTCAATAAATATGTAACGTATCTAGTTTCAGGTTTTCCATTCTGGATTTTTTCTTTTCTTTTCTTTTTTAAAGATTTTATTTTTCCCCCCAAAATCCCCCAGTACATAGTTGTGTATTTTTAGTTATGGGTCCTTCTAGTTGTGGCATGTGGGATGCTGCCTCAGCGTGGCTTGATGAACAGTGCCATGTCTGCACCCAGGATCCGAACCAGCGAAATTCTGGGCCTCCAAAGCAGGGTGCGCGAACTTAACCACTCGGCCATGGGGCCGGCCCCTTTTTTTCTTTCTTTTAAAGATTTTATGATTCCGGATTTTTTAAAAGTGAAAATAGGCTTATCTTTTTTCCTAATGGACCTCTTCATTTTGAAAATGTTCAGTCAGTACAAAATAATATAATAGCTCCCCCAAATCCCACCACCCTGAAACCTTGTGACAGATCTTAGCAATCTCCTTGCATGCACATGTGCATACTTACGTAAATTTAAATGATAAAATCATTGTGTACATGTTACTTTGTGACTTACTGTTTTTCACTTATTGTATTAAGTAGCTTTCCGCATCAAGAAATATGGAGGTACATCTTTTTTTTTTTTGGTAGGGAAGATTGGCCCTGAGCTAACACCTGTGCCAGTCTTCCTCTATTTTGTGTGTGGGATGCCACCACAGCATGGCTTGATGAGTGGTGTGTAGGTCCATCGCCTGGATCCAAACCCATGAACCCTGGGCTGCCAAAGTGGAGTATGCGAACTTAACCACTATGCCCCTGGGCTGGCCCCGAGATACATCGTTTTCAACTGCTGCATGACATTCTACTGTTCTGAATGACAGTTTAACCAGTCTGTTATTGATGGGTCTTTTGATATTAGAGACAAATCTAAGTAGTGTTGTGCCCATTTCAACAAATCTTGTTTTTCTGTCCTTATTTTCTTTGTCTACCAAGGGCAAATCTAGATTTAAAGTGATTGTAATCATTGTTTGAACCCCCCAAAAGAAAAAAGACCATTAAACTTTTTTAGGGGGCTTCACACCAGATGGCTGCTGTAGTCTTACAGTGTGTGTGAACATGCTGCTATGGTAACTGCTGACTCTCTCTTTCTGAATTAGGCAGTTTTGTTTTGGGCAACAAAACATGAACATTGTATACCAGTTTGAGTCTTCATTTTAAAAAACTAAATACTTTTCTTAATGATTGAAAGATTTTAGGAGATAGGTTCTATTGAAAAAAATATACTAATATGGTTTTGTCATTTCAGGCAAATTTTCAAATTGGAACTGAAGTTGAAGTTGTACCTTCCAAAGTTTCAGAAGGTGGAATGTCTGAAAATCAGAGTCATGTGGTTCTTGTAGGAAACCTTCCTGTTAACAAAGTCAGTGTTTTAGATGAAAAGACGAGGTGAGTTTACCTTTAATCAGAAAAGCAGAAAACTTTTCAAAGATGAAGGTCAATAATTACATAGTTATTTTATATAACTTCACATCTAGAAAACTTTAGGAAAGGATAAAGTAATATGAGACTAGAATATTTTAAATCTGCATCAAATACTATAAGAATTGCTTGACTAACATTTTCTCATTCGTAATTTCTCTGAAAAGCTTGTCAAGCATCCTCATTTTTTATTTTAAAACTAAACTTTTATAGTAGATTGAAGTTCTTAAACGCTTTACATCTTTAGGAATTTATGACCTGCTGATGGAATTCATAGGTAGGAAGTGCTAGTGAGGTGCCTACTGTGTGCTGCTTTTAGAGCTGTGTCCCGAGCTGGATGGTGAGAAGGGCGTGTTGTGAGTGCGGTGCACTGGGGGTGAAGGTGCTTTGGCACCACCACTTCTGTTACTGGGGTCTGCTTTGTCGTTGCCGACTTTAAATTAGGATGTGTTAGTTTTTTCTTTTTAACATACAGGAAAAATAAACCCACCTTTCCTTTTTTGAATGTTGTCCGTGGTCCATCTGATTTACTACAGTATCTTTGTAACTAGGATGTATTTTAGCAAAGTATTAATTTTCCTCTAGGATGTCTTCAGCATTTATCAGTTTACTTTAATAAAATTGATAAATTTTATCAGTTTATCAATCTATTACAGCTCCCTTAATTATATAGAATTAAGTTGGTTCTTTGGGAAATGCAGAAGAGAGGTTACTGTATCCCTTTTTCACCCTCTGTGGAGCTGTAGTAACAGAGTTTGGGCATGCTGTGTCGTCTGTCTGAACAAGTGGCGCTGTGGACTTTGAATAACTTTAAACAGTTTGCTCTCGTGTAGGCAGGTTTCTTATATGAAGCTTTCATTGTTTCAGTGTGAATTTCTTCATTTCTTTTGTTTTCCTTTCTGTTTGTGTATATGTGTCTTGAAGAGCCTTTTCATATTGCTTTTGTTTTAAGACTAAGGCCAGTTTTTATGTTAATTTTCAGTTCCCTTACTTAGCCATTTCTTCATTTCTTTAAACTGGATGTTTAAGTAAGTGGTGCTTAGAAATATTTTTCGCTGAAATGCATTACAAACACATTTATATTACAAGTGCTATATTGGATTAGATTGATGATTGATCCCATTGAGTAATTTATCTCTAAAAATGATTCCAGAGAACTCTTTCTGAGATCTTAATCCCCAGACATTAAAGATGAACCTTTCACATCTCTGGCTTTTCCTGATTACTATTTATGGATTTATTGTCCATGTATTATTTAATCCCTTTTGGTCTTACAGAATTAGACAGAATTTTGCCACTGAACAGAACCTTATACGTTCATTCATTTAACAAACATTTTAGCATTTCCTGTGTGCCAGGCATTGTTCTAGGTGCTGACAGTACAGGACAATATGGAACAAACAAGCAGTCCTGTCCTTGTGGAGGTTATATTCTACTTGGGGAAACAGATCATAAACAAAAGAAATAAGGTGAATAAATGAGTGGAGAGAAATAAAGCCAGTGGGGCAGTAGGGAGTACCATGATTGGGGATTTACTTTTTAATTTGCGTTGGTCAGAGAGAGCTTCGTTGCATGGGGACCATCGGAGAGAAGCCCTAAAGGAAGCGGAGGAGCAGGTCCAGAGAATGTCAGTGGAGGGAGCAGCAGCCGGAAGTACTTAGGCAAGAGCACGCCTGGCCTGTCTGAGGAGCAGCAGAGGGCCGGTGTGAAGGGGCCCAGGGGAGCAGTAGATGTGGGAAAGGCAAGGCTGAGCGGGAGAGGGCCAGTTATGTAGGACCATTGGGAGGGTTTCGACTTTCCTCTAAGTGAGCCTTGAAGACTGTTGACCTTTGAGGGCAGTCTCTCTTAATGCTCTCATTCGTAATTGACTAAATAAACCTAGGAGATTTAAATGGCTTGCTCAAAGTGACATTGACAATTTTGTTTTTAAAATTAAGTTTTCAGGATTTATGACTTTGAGTCTAGCAAATTCTTACATGGGTAGAGCTTCGTGAAAGAAACATGTTTCAAGAGATTTTATGCTCAGTCAGTCTTTGCATTTTTTAATGAGAGAGATCTAACTTTTAATATCCCTCTATGGAAACCTATACCTCACCCCACACCCCCTTTTTTAAAAAATTTTTCTGTTCATGAAGTTTATTCCAGCTTTTAGCTGTATCATGACCGATACTTTCTTCAGAGTGTGTGTTCTGTATAGTTTTAAAGTTAACTTATTCTTATGTCCAGCATTTTCTTACCATTTTTGGTCTCAGTAGCACAGTGGGCTTATGTATATATTTTATTCTTAAATACCTTTGTAGAATCACACTTGGTGGTAAATTGCTTATACTTAGGTTACATATTATTTATTTTCCCACTTGTTAGCCTCTACTGGCATGTATTCATTAGCATCCTAACCTTGTTAGGACTTCCTTGATGTTTCACTGCCAGAGGAGCTTAGCAGGTTGGAACATTTGGAAATGTGACTGACTACTTTGTGTTTTAAGTAATTTACCAGAAACATTACTTAAGATTAATCTTTAATGTAGATCTTTCAGAAAATTCGTGATAGGTACTTATATACCCACTTATTCTTTATAAATAACTAGGTTTATATCAGTTTTAAACTTCTTAATTCAGAATCCAAATCTTTGCCAGTTATTAAAATATTTCCCAGGAAACCTTAAGATAGCTGTTCAGGTCGCCTTGGGAGCTCTGGCTCCTCTGTCGAATGTTAGGAGCTTGTTTGTGTGTGATCTGGCAGATACAGATGGGTTATATTGAGATCCTCACGACACTGGCTGTCAGTGAAGCCTTTTCTGTGAACTGACAGGTGTGGTGGAAGGATAGTCTCCAGCTTTCAGACCTGCTCTTGAACCAGAAGGACAAGGTTGCTGTGACTGTTGTATGTTTGCTCATGCTTCAGAGCCCGGTTGAAGGCATTTGCTTAAAGTGCTGTTATGAAAACCATCTTCAACCACTGGTATTTTTTTTGGATCTAATTATTTCTCTGAAAATTACACAAAGTGACATGAAACCACACACTAGATCAATGAATGGAGGTAAAAAAAGATTACTATTGTAAAACTACTCCCAAGGCTATCTAGAAAATGGAAGTTATGAAAGCTTTTATATTCTTCCTTTCATGTCAGCATATGTGGCTTTATTTTACAGGCTTGGTTTTATAGCCAGTTTATATATAGTTCTTTGAACATAGAATTGGTTTGTGCCCAAAACTGTTTGCTTTGACAGCTGTGACATCACCAGGGAATTCTGATTCGGTTCTTCAACGTGATCTGTGCTACATTCTAGACACGAACATGAAACGTGTGTTCCTGGTCCAGCACAGTTGATAAGAAGGCGATTCCAAAAGGCTGGGCCAAATTTGGGAAGAGCTCATGGTGAGAAAGAAGCAGCAGCTGTAGAAGAAGACAGAGCAGAGCAGAGCAAGGCCAAGAAGCCAGAAGATGATTTGCTGGACCAGGAAGATTCTGACACCCAGCTCCTGCAGAAAGTAAGTTTGAAGAAGAGAATTTTTATCAGTGGGCTCTGTTTTGTCAGGACCATGGAAGAGAACATTGAAAGAATACAGTTTTACCTTTTGTACTGTAACTGTTTTCATGCAAATTGAGTGTCTTTCTAATATTATAAAAATTTAGTAACCAGTCACCTCTGTGTGTGTAAACCTAGAACTTTAGGCCAAACTCCCAAACCAAATTACCGTAGAGATTGTTTCCATGGTAATATTAGCTGTTTCTTCTTAAATTTAAGGAAAAGGCTGAGTTTCTGACATCTCTGGCGGTTTCAGCAAGAAAAGATTCTGTAGGTTCCAGAGAGGCTGTTTGGGCTAAAAAAGATGCTGAGTCATCACGAGCCGCTGGGGATAAGTCTGCGTCTTCAGGTGTTGAAGAGCAGCATCTCAGTAAACTCACAAGGTAAAGTTGTATTTAGCAAGCACTCTCAGAATAAGAAATAAAAATAACTTGTTCTTTATGGATGTCCTACCGTAACCTACGGATAGAGTAAAAAGATGGTTTGTTAATAGAAGTGTAGATTGTTTTTTATGGACAAGTCTGTTTCTTTCCCACTTTTGATTTTTATTTACTAAAATTTACTTTTTATGATGTTTTTAGCAAGATTTCTCTTTCCTACGTTTAAAAGTTCTGGGTGTTGAGTATATTAGACATGAGTAGAAGACTGACCAAAGAGTAGTATGTATTATCTAATAATTAGGGGGCTATTCGAATGGGGTCACAAACACAATTGAAGGGTACCCTTCTTCCACAGTTTTCAAGGAAAGTGGAAGGGAACCTGAGTTCTAAAAAACAACATTGTTCTGATGGATCTTCTGCCTTCCCTGTTTTAACCTGATCTGTTCACCCAGCAGGATAAAACAGCATCACTTTTTGATCCCATATTCTGTATTTATTGACCCAGTGTCTTTATCCCTTGTTCTAATAATTTCCAGTCTTGTATTTCATCTTCACTTAAATAACAGGGGAAAAAATGGCCCAGAATTAACAATTTACTATGGAAAATTTGTAGATAGATAACTAAGAATTAACTCTAAATGAGGAACTAAATAGTAGTAACAATAAATTCCTTTCTTCTTCGCACAGCATAAATTTTTGACAGAATGGGTGGTGTGAGTTTTTGTTGTAACAGCTTGAACTGGGATTTCACTCTGAAAGTTTGCTTTTCATTAAAATTATCCTTGTGTGTGTAATGACTGTGTTGTTGTTTTGATTGAACATCCAGCTGTCCACAACTGTTAAAAGAGTCAGACTACTCTAAAATTGCTCTGGATCAAAGAACAACTGTCTCTTCTGCCTCTGAGTGTGAGGGAGGTCGTAGTGAGAGGAGAACGCATCGGAAGAGCAAGCCAAATGTCACCAAAGGACGTGGATCAAAGCGAATCCGGACTAAGACCTCTAAGAAGGGACCCAGAGCTTCCAGGGCCGTGCTGGTGACTCTTCGGGCTTCCCAGGAAGAAGATGAAGACGACACTGAAGATTTTGAGTGTGACTATGAGGAAGAAACCTATCACCTTGCTCCAGAAGAAGTAAACAAAGCTCCAGTGTTTGTACCCGTTGGTCTCAGATCTCCTGAACCTGTCTCTGCTCAGATTGAGGAAACGATGGAAGAGGTAGTTTGTTTCTTGAATCCCTGGAACTTTATTTTACTTGTTTTTTTCTTTTTGTGGATCATTATTTCTTCTCTTAGTGATTATTAGGAGTTGAGAAAGTTCATTCTCTGAATAACCTCTACCAAGTGTAATTTGTTTTGGCCTGGTGGATAGCCTGAGACGCCAGGAGAAGTAGGCTTGTGTGACCTCCTGTGAATGCTCAGCCCCACAGCCCAGGTCCAGCACAGGGTGATCACTGTGACAATAAGGGTCGAAATCTGACTTCACTTGTATCTGGAGGCTGCTTAATCTGCTTTCTGATTATTTTTAATTTTGGCAGATGGTTTCTGTTAACTTTTTGTGATAGGCTCAGGCTGAGCTCTGGTTGGTAGAGAAGGTAGGGGAGATATTTCCTTTTTTTTTTTAATTGTGGTAAAATACACATAGCAAAATTTACCATGTTAGCTGTTTTAATTTTTTTTTTAAAGATTTTGTTTTTCCTTTTTCTCCCCAAAGCCCCCCCAGTACATAGTTGTGTATTTTTAGTTGTGGGTCCCTCTAGCTGTGGCTTGTGGATGCCGCCCTAGCATGGCCCGATGAGCGTGCTACGTGCGCACCCAGGATCCGACCCGGGGAAACCCTGGGCTGCCGAAGCGGAGTGCAAGAGCTCAACCACTCGGCCGCGGGACCGGCTGCCCACGTTAGCTGTTTTTCAGTGTACAGTTCAGTGGCCTTAAGTAGATTCATCTTGTTCTGCTACACCATCCATCCACAGGACTTTTCTTCATCTTGCAAAACTAAAACTCTGTACCCATTAAACAATGATTTCCCATTCTCCCTCTCCTCTAGCCTGTGGCACCCACCGTTCTACTTCGGTGTCTGTGACTCTGGATACCTTATATAAGTGGAATCATACGGTATTTTTTTCTTTTTGTGACTGGCTTATTTCACCTAGCATAATGTTTTCAAGGTTCATTTATGTTGTAGCATGTGTTAGAATGTCCTTTTTAAGGCTGAATAATATTCCATTGTGTATATATACCACATTTTGTTTGTTCATCTGCCAACGGACAGTTGGGTTACTTCCACCTTTTGGCTATTGCAGTGAATGCTGCTATGAACACGAGCAAGGGTTATATGGATAGCTCTTCTAATCCCTGCTTTCAACTCTTTTGGGGATATTCCTCAAAGTGGAATTGTGGATCATATGGTAAATTGTAAATATACTTTTAGTTTTTTGAGCAACTGCCATACTGTTTTCCGTAGCAGCTGCATCACTTTACATTCCCAAATAACAGTGTACAAGCTTCCACTTTCTCCACATCCTTACCAACACCTGTTATTTTCAAGTTTTTGGATAATAGCCATCCTACTGGATGTGAGGTGGAAGAACATTATTACTTCAACTTACTTTATCATAAAAGCTCCTTACTGCTTTGCCTCTTGGCCTAGTATCTAACTTTCTAGCTTCAAAGTTTTATTTCCATCTCAATTTGCGGTAACTTATTTGGCTTATAGGTCAGCATATCTGAATCAATTTTGTAGTAAGCATTCATGATAGTTTCTGAGTCATTTGAAACAGTCAGGAGTTAACCAGGTTAGTAGTGATGATAATAAGAAAAGAAGCAGGAAACAAAACAATTCAAGTAATGTTAAGTTAACCCAGAATTAATGTATTACTGAATCTGTAAATTCACATTTATGAATGGAAATCCAAACCCACCTTAATTTATTCGCTGTTAATAATAATGTGCTAGATTAAAAGTTAATGAGTTAGAATGGTTGAAGCTAAATAAAAATGATCCAAAAGGAAGTTTTCTTGTAACTGAAAGTTGAAAGTAAGCATAGTGACTTTGTTTTAGTTAAAACCAAGAAAATGCAAAAGGAAAGTTAATTTTGTGCAAGGACAGCTGGTTAACACTGCATGAGAATTCCTTTAGCTATATGTTTTGTGTTTTACAAATTTCTTTAGGTGAAAGGCAAATTACTGGTGAAAACTAATATCAGAAATTAATTTCTGAAAATCAGGTTCCAGGATATATCCCTGAATTAATACAGAATGCCTTCTTAAATAGCATTAATCATAATAATTGAGCAAGGAAAGCTTAAATTATATTCCTTATAGCCAGCTTACTAAAGCAGGGAAATTCATTTACATGTTAGAAAATATTTCCTTTAAAAAAAACACTGAAATACAATGGCATATTGTTAAATCATATAGGGGTGTAAAATATTGATATATACTACAACATGAACCTTGAAAACGTTATGCTAAGTGAGAGAAACTAGTTACCAAAAAATCACATACGAAATGTCCAACAAGGAAAATCTATAAAGACAGAAAGCAGAGTAGTGGTTGCTTAGGGGTTTGGGGATGAAAGGAGTGATAAGTAATGGGGGTGGGGCTGCTTCTTTGAAGTGATGAAAATGTTCTTGAAGTGACTGTGTTGATGGTTGCACATTATCTGTGTGTATTCCAAAAAACATTGAATTATACACTTTAAATGAGTGAGTTGTGTGGAATGTAAATTATATCTCAATAAAGCTGCTTAAAAAAATAAAGCTTTGAAACTGTATAGTGCTTAAAGAACCAACTTTCAATTATCTGGAATATTCTTGTTTTCTAGCCAGTCCCAACTCCTTAGAAAATATTTCGTTTTTTCAAGTCACTTGAACTTTTTAATTCGCCTCAAGCCTATAGGGTGTTAGCAAAGATTTTTCTTTAATGTTTGCATCTGAGAAAACAGACACAGAGCACTCAGGTGTTACTATAATAAATGTCTTGAAGGCAGATTTTTTTTTCTTTTAAGATTTTATTTTTTTCCTTTTTCTCTCCAATGCCCCCCTAGTACATAGTTGTATATTCTTCATTGTGGGTCCTTCTAGTTGTGGCATGTGGGATGCTGCCTCAGCGTGGTTTGATGAGCAGTGCCATGTCCGCGCCCAGGATTTGAACCAACGAAACACTGGGCCGCCTGCAGCGGAGCGTGTGAACTTAACCACTTGGCCACAGGGCCAGCCCCATTAAAGGCAGATTTTTAAACTTGGCTCTTTACTCAGTTTCTACTGAATTACACAGTCATTTATATTCATCTCTCTGTTAATAAGGAAATAGGAGCCAGACTGTCTTGTATAGGGTCTGGGAGATACATCTTAGTCCTTTTAGCCCCTAGATTCTAGGCATCTTTGACCACAAAGACTGCTAAATGAAGAGTAGATGTGAGCAAACCCATTTCTGACATGGCCATTGCCACGGCTGTCAAGAATCGTACAGTTTTTGGGGTTGTGGGAGAGGGTGGTTGCCTTGGTTGGGGGTGAGGGGTGATGAATCCTTTTAAGTGCTTTCAACTCATCTCTATGATAGCCCTTAGAACAGTGTATAGATAGTTGATGACATGTCTGTTTTCCTTCGCTTGTGAGTCCCTTGAGGGCAGGGACCACATGTGTCTTCGTCAGCTTTGCATCCTTGTACCTGTAGCCCTCTAGTTTCTAGGAATCACTCTGTAAGTGTTAACAGACGAGTGAGAGAATTTATGGGAAAGTAGGGACAAAGTGTGGATAAGGGAAAGTGGGATGCTGGATACTGAGAAGATCAGCCTTGGAAATTTTGCTTCCGGTCTGTAAGCATCACAGACCTCTCAGAAACCTTAAATGTTTTACTTTTGCCAAGTTGATATCAATCAGTTTAAGAATTACTACATTTTAGTTTTTTAATCATGTATGAATGTGGATTATTTCTTCAGTTTAACCTTTTATTTTACTCATTCATTTTGTTTTGCTGTGTATAGTATGACAAAATGAAATAATGAAACTTTTCACTTTGACAGCTTGAAATAACCGTGAATGTCCCTGATGTTGGATGCATAACTGTTGATGAACCTCAGCTCTTACACACGGATGCGGCTACTCAGGAAATGAAGCAGGGAGATTTGAACTCATTATCACTTGTAAGCATCCATTTTATTATGTTTTGTCTTACATTCTTCGTTTACTGTGAAGAGACTGGAAGTTTATTTTGAAAGCTTTAGGTTACAAGCAGTTCTTAGCTTGTTTTTATCATGTAGAGAGCTGTAAGCATGAAGAGTAGAAAGTACTGAAAAATCCATAGATTTTTTATTTGGCTTGAAAACCATTGATTTTTTTGTCTGTGGGCAGAGCTCTTTACGTTCTCGTAGACTTAGGTTAACCTTCTGTTGCATTAAATCTCTGCTGAATGTAAATTATTTAAATATATTGAGTCGCATTTTATTTGGTGCTCACTCTTTCTTATTGTTGGTGTTTATCTTGTTTTTGCAAATGAAGACCTGGAATTATAACTTTTTAACAGCTTTGTTAAGATAAAATTCACATACTGTACAATTTACAAATTTAAAGTGTACAATTCATTGGTTTTTAGTATATTTACAGATATGTGCAAATGTCATCACTGTCAATTTTCAAACATTTTCATCGCCTCAAAGAGAAACCCCATGCCCATTAGCAGTTGCTCCCCATTTCCTCCCAACCCTCCCCAGGCCTAGGCAACCACTTACTGACTTTCTGTCTCTCTAGATTTGTCTTTTCTGGACATTTCGTATGAATGGACACGTACAGTGTGGTCTTTTGTGTCTGGCTTCTCTCACTCAGCATAATGTGTTCAAGGTTCATCCATGTTGTAGCCTGTGTCAGTACTTCATTTCTTTTTGTGGTCAAATCATGTTGCATATGGGTATACTGCATTTTGTTAATCCGTTCATCTGTTCATGGGCGTTTAGGTTGTTTCCGTCTTTTGGCTGTTGTGAATAATGCTGCTGTAAACATGTGTGTACACCATTCTCTATGGACATATGTTTTCACTTCTCTTGGGTACATTGCTAGGAGGGTCGTTGGTGGGTCGTATGGTAACTCTATGTTTAATCATTTGAGGAAATAGCAAACTATTTTCCAAACCTGCTGCACCATTTTGCATTCCCAGCAGCACGCATGAGGGTTCTGGTTTCTTCACATCCTGGCCAACATTTGTGATTTGACTTTTTTGGATCTAGCCATCCTACTGGATGTGAAATGGTACCTTATTATGGTTTTGATTTGCATTCCCTAGTGATTAATGATGTTGAACATCTTTTCATATGCTTATTGGCCATTTTTGTATCTTCTTTGGAGAAATGTCTCTTCAGAGCCTTTGCCCATTTTTTTGTTATTGGTCTGTCTTTTTATAATTGAGTTGTAAGAATTTTTTATATATTCTGGATACAAGTCCCTTATCAGATATATGATTTGGAAATATTTTTTCCATTCTCTGGGTTGTCTTTTCATTTTTTTGATGGTTCCCTTTAAAGCACAAAAAGTTTTTAATTTTGATGAAGTTTAGTTTATCTATTTTTTTCTTTTGTTGCTCATGCTTTTCTTGTCATATCTAAGAATCCTTTGCCAAAGCCAAGGTCCTGGGGATTTACTTGTATTTTTCTTCTAGAAGTTTTATGGTTTTTACTATAATTTTACATAACATCTTTAATCCATTTTTAATTAATTTTTGTGTATAGTATGAAGTTAGAATCCTCCTCTGTTCTTTTGCATGTAACTATTCCACTTGTCGCACCATTTCTTTGAAAAGATTGTTCTTTCTCCCATTGAATAGTCTTGTATTCTTGTTGCAAGTCAGTTGGGTATAGATGGCTGGGGTTATTTCTGGGTTCTGAATTCTGTTCTGTTTATCTAGATGTGTCCATGCTTGTGATGAGATGTTCGATTGATTACTGTAGCTTTGTAGTAAGTTTTGGAATTGGGAAATGTAAGGTCATCCTACTTTATTCTTTTTTTCAGGATGGTTTTGACTGTTGTGGGTCCCTTGCAATTCTGTGTGAATTTTAAAATCAACTTGTCAATTTCCACATAGACGTCAGCTGGGGTTCTGATTGGGATTGCATTGAATCTATAGATCAGTTTAACAATGTTGAGTCTTCCAATCCGTGATCGTGGGATATTTTCTCATTTGCTTAGATCTTCTTTAATTCTTTCAAACAATGTTTTATAGTTTTCAGAGTGTAAACTTTACGCTCCCTTTGTTAAATTTGTTTTCAGGTATGTTGCTATTTTTGATGCTATTGTGAACGGAATTCTTTTCCTAATTCCATTTTCGGATTGTTTATTACAAGCGTATAGAATACGGTTGACTTTTGTATATTGGTCTTGTATCCTGCAGCTCTACTGAGCTCATGTGTTTGAGCAGTTTCTGGTGTTCCTCTGCATGTTCTACCTGCCCGGTCGTGGCGGGTGGGACAGAGAGAGTTTCCTCCTGCCTGTCTGTGTTAGTTTCCTAGGGATGCTATGACGCAGCACCACGAGCTGGGGGCTTAGAACCTGGGAAAGTCATTCTCTTGAGTTCTGGAGGATGGAGTTCCAAAATCCAGGTGCCGCCAGCAATGGTTCCTTCTGGAGGAGGGCTCTGAAGGGAGCCTTTCTCCTCCTGCTTCTTTCTCCTGTATCCCAGGCCTTTCGCCTCCTCCTGGCAGTTGCTGGCAGTTCTTCTCCTTTCTTGGCTTGTTGCAGCACTGTTCCAGCTTCTGCCTCCCTTGCCACATGGTGTTCTCCCTGTGTGTGTGTCTGTGTAGGGCCAACCCTAATCCAGCAGGAACTCATCTTAACTTGAGTGTGTCTAAAAGACCCTATTTCCACATAAGGTCACATTCACGGTACTGGGAGTTAGGACAGTCTGGATGTCTTTTTATTTGTTTGCCTAATTGCCCTGGGTAGAACATCCAGTACAGTATTGAAGAAGAGTGGTGAGAGTGGACGTTCTTGTCTCATTCCTGGTCTTAGGGGAAAGCATCCAGTCTTTCACTATTAAGTTTGGTCTTAGCTCTGGTTTTTTCATAGAAGCCATTTATCAAATTGAAGAAGTTCCATTCTTATTCCTAGATTGTGTGAGTATTTTATCATGAAAGGGTGTTGGAATTTGTCATATGCTTTTTCTACATCTGTTGAGATGATCATAGGGTTTTTCGTTTTTTATTGTGTTGATATTATGTGTTATGTTGATTGAATTTTGGATGTTAAACCAAAGATTGCATCTGTGGGATAAATCCTACTTGATCATGGCATGTAATTTTTATGTTGCTGAGTTCAGTTTGCTAGTATTTTATTGAGAATTTTTGTGTCCGTCTTCATGGTGGACCATTGGTCTATTCTGAATGTAACATCAGATTCTTGTGGTGTCAGGAGCTGAAATCCTGCTCGTCCAGGAAGAAGGCACTCCGGCTGGGGCCTGCAGGGCGAAGGACGGTGCTCTGGGCTGTAGCAGTCGGAGGTGGAGTCCCTGCCTCGCTGGCTTGGGAGGAAGGAGGGAGAGAACAGCCTCGGTTCACATACCACAGTCTCTCGCTGTTGTTACCGAGTTTTCCTCAGTTTTCTTAAATAGATGTTTCTTCCTCTTATCCCTTAGGACCATTTCCAGAGGCTTTAAGTGGTTGTTTTTTAATAAATTTCACCAGTTTCCCTGGGGAGAGGGTCAGCAGAGCTCCTCATGTTGTCATGCTGGACATCGATCCTGTAACTTCTAACTTATTAAAATCCATTCCAATTTTAAGCCACCTGGTAGAGTAAACAATTTACAGTATTCTTCAGACCTTGGTTTCCATTGGTCAAAACTAGTGGCAGATATGATTAAAGTTGAAGGATTATGAAAGTGAGGAAGTAAATTTTGACTCTGATCATATTGTACATTGCAAATTTGCATATAATTCAAGGAAAAGGTGAAATAAGGAGCAAGAGACAAAAGAATTTGGCTTTTAAATTGTTTCTCTTCTTGTTTATGAAATTTTATGAATAATTGTAAACTAAGAGGAAAAAAATTTCCGCTCCATTGTAATCCAAAACATGAAGACCTGTGGTAGTGCTTTTTGTGATACAGAACATATATTTGGGAAATACGTAAGATATTACTTATCTTTTCCATTTTCAGGAAATGACGACAGGTGGACATACCCCAGATGAAACAGGTAACTGTTAATAAGGAAACTGCTAAAACTTCCTGGTTAATACTAGCGTAGGGAGTTAGTGGTGTGCTTTTTAGTGAGTGAGGCAGCTTTCTGCACAGTTGGACACAAAGAGTCAGCTGTTGACTGGTTATCTCCTTGAGAGGCTTGGATTCTTGGAATGTTACTTTAGAAAGTGAGTTAAGAGTTAAATGTTTAATAAAGAAGTACTTATTTCTTCTTATCTGCATGGATGTGGGTATTTTCTCTGAAAGCACTAAGTTATTTAATGGGAGGGAGGCATTTTCAGTGAGTTAAGAGCCAACAACTGATGATTTACTTCTTTGTAGTATATAAGCTGAAAAAAACACTACCCTAGTAAGGGATTAGTGGTACGGAAGATATTGAAATTTGTTACTAGAAAAGAAACACCTTAGTTAAAAATCTTTTCTAAATAAACAAACTGAAATTTCCAGATTCATTCTTCTGTGTTTTTTTTTGAGGAAGGTTGGCCCTCAGCTAACATCTGTTGCCAATCTTCCTCTTTTTTTTCCTCCCCAAAGCTCCAGTACATAGTTGTGTATCCTAGATGTAAGTCCTTCTAGTTCTTCTGTGTCGGATGCTGCCACAGCATGGCTTGATGAGCAATGTGTAGGTCTGCACCCAGGATCTGAACCCACAAACCCTGGGTCACCAAAGTGGAGCGTGTAAACTTAACCACTATGCTACTGGGCCAGCTCCTCATTCTTCTCTTTTAATGTTGGTGTATTTTCTCACAAGGTGCCAATGATGGAAGCACTGAAGCCGCCATAACTTTACTTACAATGGGAGATTTAGTGTTGCAGTCGGAGATCAGTACAGAACAGAGTGATGGTGAGAGTGAAAGATAAGTGCTATGAAAAAAGAATCTTTTAAAATCCAACTTTAAGAGATTGTCCCTACACTTGAGTAATAAGTGAATACCTGCCTTTTATGTTTGAAGTTGGCATCGCTTTGTTGTTTCTCCGGAAGAGGCAATATGTGTGCCTCGATCCATCCAACTTAGCCCCTTTAGATGTAGGGCCACCATTTCCACCACTTGGTTTATTAGGAATAATTTGTATTCGTGGAATAGTTAATCTAGTGTATCTTGTACCTTTATCATCATAAACATCATTGGTTAATTGAGCTCTGGTTACTGATCACTTTATACGTGTTTGTTCAGCAAAGGAGCTGCTGCTTTGGATAATCTTCACAATTACCTGACAGTCGAATCAGGATGAAGGGGCAGTAGCAGTCATTGAGATCATTTGAGATAGACTGTTCTGTTAGTTTGGACTGAGCCAAAGATATGTGAAACAAGATTTTGAATATTTTAGGCTGACCTTATAGAGAAGCTATGGTCTTTACTATCTAAGTACCTTCTACGTTAAGTACATTAAATGGATGATTATGTTAATTGTATTCCTGTTAATCATTTTGACTGGTGATGAGTGGCCTGCCATTTATCTTAGGTGTTAGACTTTCAGGCCCGTAGCTGTTTATTTGTCAGGAGAACCCCTGATGTGTGTTGCCTCTTGGGCTCCTTTCTCCGTGGCAGAGCACTGCAGTGGAGCCTGTCACAAATCTCTGGAACATACAATACGAGTTTTAAAAATTGTAAATGAAGGTGATCCTATCTTGAAATTCATCTGAGGTTGTGGAGTTACTGAAAGTAACAAAAAGATTCATTTTTACTTATAATAGCACAAAAATTTCAGTCTATAAGAATTATTAAACTTAGAATGGGTCAGATCTCTGGCATGAAATATGAGGTGGTAAATTTAAATTTGGAGCCCAAAAGAGCAAACTTTAAAAATAATATAGAATTTTACAGTTGCTGAATGTAAATCCTTAAGAAGGGTTTATTTTCTTTGAACGTCTATTTGTGTTGAGTCTGTTTTAATTTTCTGTTTTTTTCTACAGTAGGAGTATGTGTACTTCCTGATGGTCATTCAAAGGATAAAAGCCATATTCCTTTTAGCCCAGATAATGTAGATCACAGAATTGTTCATGAATGTCAGGAGCTTCCGTCAGCTGTCAATAGTGCATCTCCTTCATTAGAAGAAAACAAGATTGTATTGGAGGAGCAAAGTTCTAAAGAAGAAAGTGGTTTAGTGGAGAATGTGAAGGAAAACACTGTACCAGCCAGGTTTACTTTGCTTTATTAAGTGATTATTTCTTTTGAGATTTACTAAAAAATACAGTATTCAATTAATATATTTCAGCCAACCATCAACTCAGTTAATAGCCTTGACTAATAATACTTATATAAATGTAAAGTAGACAGTGCTCGTTTCTCACCCTTTATGGTGAGGATCGGCTGATTTTGATTTTAGCTTAATGGTTTGCATATTAAAGTTACTGCGAGATATGCGTCTTTGACGCTTGAATGAAGCAATTTTATGTAAATGTGGTCTCTGTTTGACAAATGTCCGGATTCTCTTCCCTTTTTAAGACATTTGGTAAAATTACTACCACATAATTTTAGCATCAAGAGATGAATGAACACTTACAGACAGTGTGGTGCCTAAGAAGGCAGCACGTAACTGTATCAGTGCCAGATGGAACGTGTCAGTGGGAGGAAGAGAATTCTCACACGGTTGGTAAATTTCTCTCTCTTCCTGTCTCTCTTTTTCTAGGAATGCAACTTCTGAAGTGACGGGTAATTTGAGAATGAGAAGTAGACTTGCCGAGCCTAAACCAAATCTTAGGATTTTAGGGACCAGGAGGTTTGGTGCTCATCAGGAAGTTCCCGGTTTGTTTGTAACCAAAGGAGAAGAAGTGGACATTCAAAGAGGTAAATTTTACTGTTCCTTTACAGCTACACAATTACTTTGACACAAGAAATTGCATTATCATTTCAAATGGAATATTCAGTCGTTAAAATTATTTAAACTTATTAAGAAGTTTCAAACATATAAAAAGTAGGATAAGCTATAAAATAAATACCCATAAATCCACCAACTAGTTTCCGTGGTTATTGCCATGTTGCTCCCTGTACTTGGTCCGACTTTCTGTTCCTACGTTTTTTTCTGTGTGTTTGTTCATGAGTACTCAAGCAAACCTCTTGTAGAAAGGTATGTGTGCGGTAAAAATCAGACAGCGCTCAAAAGGTGTAAAAGTTTAAAACTTCCCTCCTTCCTTGGTGCTCAGCCCCTAATTCTACTCCTAGGGTAAACTGCTCTGCAGAGTTTTTATTGTAGACTTGCAGACGTGTTTTCCACATAAGCCTCTGACTGAGGGTGTGAGTGTGTATACACCTACATCCAAATATGTATGTGCACACATACATATTATACAGTATATTCCTTTCAGAAAGAACGGAAATATGTGCATACTCTGTCACATACACTGTTCAGCACTTTTCTTTTGAGGAAGATTGGCCATGAGCTAACCCCTGTTGCCAATCCTCCTCTTTTTGCTGAGGAAGATTGGCCCTGAGCTAACATCTGTGCCTATCTTCCTGTGTTTTATATGTGGGATGCCTACCACAGCATGGCTTGATGAGCAGTGCATAGATCCGCACCCGGGATCTGAACCAGTGAACCCTGGGCCGCCAGAGCAGAACATACAAACTTAACCACTGCGCCACTGGGCCAGCCCCTGTTCAGCACTTTTTAAAAAAACAGTTTTATTGAGATAATTCTTATTTCATACAATTCACTCATTTAAAGTATACAGCGGTGGTGTTTTAGATATTCACCAAGTTGTGTAGCTGTCACCATTAGTAGTCACTCCACATTTCCCCTGACCCTTCCCAGGCCCAGGCCCCCACTAATCTGCTTCTGGTCTCTAGGGATTTGTCCACTGTGGACATTTCGTATACGTGGACTCATAGAATGTGTGGTCTTTTGTGTGGCTTCTTTCCCTTAGCACGTTTGCAGGTTTGTCCGTGTTGTAGCATATAGCAAATGCTTCATTTCTTTTTCTTTCTGAATAATATTCTGTTGTCTGGATACACTACATTTTGTTTATCCATTCGTCTGTTGATGGGCATTTGGGTTGTTTTCTACCTTTTAGCTGTTTTAAATCGTGCTGCCAAGAACATTCGTGTATAAGCGTTTGTGTGGACATGTTTTCATTTGTCTTGGATTTATACCTACAAGTGGAATTGTTGGGTCATATGGTAATTCTGTATTTGACATTTTGATCAACTGCCAAAGTGTTTCAAAAGTGGCTGCACCATGTTGTGTAGTCACCAACGTTCTTTGAGGGTTTCAGTTTCTCTGCATCCTCCCAGACACTTGTCATTATTTGTCTTTTTGATTGCAGACATCCTAGTGGGTGTGAAGTGGTATCTCATTGTGGGTTTGATTTGCATTTCCCTGATGACTAATGATATTGAGTATTTTTCATGTGCTTATTTGTATATCTTCTTTAGAGACATGTCTATTCAGATCTAGGCTTAGTTTTAAATTGTTTTTTTTTTTATTGTTAAGAGTTCTTTATATGGTAGCACTTTGTATTTTTAAAGATTAATATATTGAAAAAAATCTTTGTTTGATCATGTAGTGCCCTATTTGGCTTTTTAATGGCCTCACCATATTGTGATGTCCATGTTGAGCCCTAGTCCCGCTTCTCTTTCTACTTCCCTCCCTGCCAAGGGCTCCCCCACAGGGGACTGGGAAGAGCAGGACAAGAAGTGCAAGTGTCAGGCTACCTAGATAGTGTTAAATCCCACATGTAGATGATCTCGGTAGTTAACATCATCTTCTCCCTATTTTGGGGTTCCTGATTTCTGGGATTTCCTTTCGACCAGCAAACGCCTGTGGTTCAGGTAGTTAATTCGTTACTTACTCTGGCCGGAGCAGTCCCCAGAAGCTCTCAGTATGCAGGCTCAAGTTACCCTTTTATGTGGAAGTCGTTTTCTTCCCCTTTGTGACATTATTCTTTGTAGAACTGCTCCCTCCCCACCACTTCCCTCAGGTGGAAGACACTACCCACCTCTAAACCTGTCTGGTGTGTGGGTTTGCCCTTATACTGCTGTTATCATGAAGTGGAGATACAGATGCTGTGGCAGCCAGGAGTGAAATGAGTGCAATGCAGAACTCATTAATCATCCTGTTACTGTTCAGACATCTCATTGGGTAGGAGCACCCTCTGCTGTGTGAATAAGCTTGCTTTTTGGATTAAGAGAAGTTTGGAAGAGCCACTGTGTAGTGATCTGTCTGTGAAAAGAGAATATGTTTCTAATATGGAGACTGTAGCTGTACTGTTTTGGACTATAACTTAAGTGTATTTTTTTTCTTTAAGAAACTGAGAAAAATGTTTCTAAAGCAACAGAATTAGAAGATAAAAACCTTGGCTCAGTTACAACAGCAGAGAGTAAGGAGCAGAGCAGATCGGCGCGGGTACATGGTATCGAAGAGAGCAGTGTTTCGAAAGAAGCCCAGCTAACTGGAAGGTACGAGGAACAGGTTCTGGGATTTGATTTCTGTTCTGTTCAACTATAGCCGTAAGCTGTAGCTGTAAGAATGTGATTGAAAAAGGGATTCTGGGGCGGGCCCCGTGGCCGAGTGGTTAAGTTCGTGCACTCCGCTTCAGTGGCCTGGGGTTTCGCCAGTTTGAATCCTGGTCGTGGACATGGCACCACTCATCAGGCCATGCTGAGGCGGCATCCCACATGCCACAACTAGAAGCACCTACAACTACAAAAATACACAACTGTGTACTGGGGCACTTTGGGGAGAAAAAGAAAAAAAAAAAGAAGGGTTCTGTTGCATTAAATGTATTTTAGAAGTTTGAAAACCATTAAATTAGATGACCTTTGATGCACCTAGCTCTAAACATCATTCTGCGATTGTCAGCTTGGTTTCAAGTATGAAACTCTTAATACCTGCTCTAAAACGCTGATGGATACTTTCCCTTTCAGAAATGAAGATCAGGAAGAAGGCTGTCATGAGGGTCGGACCTTGTCAGTGGCTCCAGTTGTTTCCTTTGAGACAAGGCCCCATGCGTTTGGCTTGGCTCAGGGTCTCCACGAGGGTGCTGTGGAGGAGGCCCTGAGGAAGGGTGCTGATGGAGATGGTGTGCTTACGCTCCGTGTGCCGCAGGTAAAGAGACGCAGGCGCAACCCAGGGTGGCTGAGTGTCTGTTCCCTGTGTTGCACATTGAGGTATAATTTACATGCAGTGAATGTCACCAGTTTTAGCGTGCAGTTCTACAAGTTTTGACAATGTGCACAGTCGTGTAAGGAATACGTGAACGGTCCCGTCACCCCCAAATCCCCATGCCCTTTTTCAGTCACCACCTCTCCCCATCTCCAGCCCCTGGCAACCAGTGGTCTGTTTTCTTTCCCTACAGCTTTGCCTTTGCAAGAATGTATTGTGATAGAATTTGTATGGGGTGTGTTTTTAGTCTTGGGAGCATAGAAAGAAAACAGCCAATACCTAGCTTTGCTGTAAAAGCTTTGAAAAAGGAAGTGTTTTGTATACAGAGAATTCACTTCTTGCTTCTTAGCCCCTGAATCTGAGAAGTTCATTCACAGAGCAAATGTTTTTGAGATGTTACTACTGCATGTTGGTAGTAGTAACCTCACTGTGTGAGGTACTGGGGACACGGAGGTGTGGGAGATAGATGAGTGAGTGAGTGGTTAGCCTCTGATGGGTGCTGTGGAAGAGAGTTGTACACGAGTCTGTAGGAGTCTGAGCCCGGCCGGTGAAACCAGTCTCTGGGAATAGGGCGCAGGCATTAGCTTTTTTTTTCAAGTTCCCTGGTTATTGTAATGTGCAGCCAGGATTGAAAGAATCCTCATCTGTAAGAACGGGTGTGAGTGAGGCAGTTAAAGGGAGAGGAGTGTGTGTAAGAACAGGTGTGAGACGGCATGACGTTTGCAGGGGCTGTGAGCAGGGAGGACTGGAATGTAAATGAAGGGAGTGGTTAGACGTGAGTTAGGTGGCTTGGGAACAGATCATAAAAGGAATTTTGGTGACTTGCTAAGGAGTTTGGACTACATGTAATGTTATGGGATCCTCCCCAACTTTCTTATTTTTCCTTTGAAGTAATTTTAAACTTAGAGAAGAGTTGCAAGAATATTACATAGAAGTCTCATCTACACTTTACTTGGAGTCATTAATTGTTAACCTTTTGCCTCATTCGATTTTTCTCCCTCTCTCTTGTGTTCCATCTCTATTGGTAGATAGACACTTTTAAAAAATGGAACCATTTAGAAGGCAGCTGCAGGCATGAGCCTTCGCCCATCAATACTCAGCTTGTATCTGATCAGAAGAAGGATGTTCTCTTACAGAGAGACGGCAGTACTGTTGTCACACTTAACATTGCCTGCTGTCTGACAGTGATTGAACAGTCATACGTCACTAGTAGACTCATCGTTTCTCCTGACTCTCAATCTAGAGTTCTCCTGTCTCCTCTTTTGGGAACCTGACGTTTTAGAAGAGTCCAGGCTAAACTACAATCTGGATTTTTTTTATTGCTTCCTCATTATTAGGTTTGGGTTAAACGTTTGGCAAGATTACTAAATAGGTATTGTTGTGCTCTTCCTTCGTGTCACAGCAAAGACACACAATGCCAGTCTGTCCCATTACTGGAGATGCTGAGCGATCACCTGGCTGGAGTCAGGCCTGCCTGACTTCTCTGTTAGGACAGCCTCTTTCCCACTTGGTCTTAGTACGTAATTTGTCAAATGAGGCCCAGCAACCCTTCTCCCAGTAGTTTTAGTATGTATTGATGCTTCTTGGCTGAATCAATTATTGACGTTATTGACTGCAAAGTGAAAGTTTTAGGATTTTAAGCGGTAGAGAATTACAATCAGAATTGCGTTTTAGAGAAAGCAATGTTTGTAGCTTCGTGGAAGGCAGCTTGGAGGGAGCCTTGCTGGAGGCAGGGAGACTCTTGATTTGCCTCCGTGTGGTCGTGACCCACCAGCAGTGCAGTGGCTGCTGTGAGGGGTGGGGGAAGGCTGAGGGCTTTGCATCTCCCTTCCTGTCACTTCAGAAATCGTTGCCTAGAGTACACGTATTTAACAATTTAGACAGAATTCCTTTTATATTTATGTTTACTTAAATGAATCAGAGGTTACTGGTACAACTCAAAGTTTCAAAACATTTGTAAAATTGTATGTGGTTAGATAAGTTGTTGAGTTTTGAAATAATAACTGTCACTATATCAAATTATCAGGAAAACTTTTTAAAACTAAGCTTTAGTCAACCTCTCTCTTTCATTTTAATTTTTTATGGCAGTGTACACCAGCTAGCATTCCGGAAGTCCAACAGGAGAATGTAATCCCGCCTCAAGACCTAACAGGTATGATAGTCAGCTTCAGTAAAGTGTCACAGAACCTAATAGTATGATTTTTACTTCCCATTTGACTGTGGAAAAGTGAAACAATTTTTTTAGTCTATGATGGCCTTAAATTAAAACAAAAACTTGAAATATTTTGTGTATATTTTGTAATTCAGAATTATAAATTCTCTCCACAGTGAGTCATCTCTATCCTTTATGAAATTACCTTTTATTTCTTTTTATAGACTTTAGAAATGGAATAAATTAATGATTTTCTGTTGTTTCATGATTCAGCTGTTCATTACTAACTTTAAACTTTGATAGTGAATCTAGTTGCTAACATGCATCAAGATGGTGAGGAGGAACAAGCGTTCATTTTAACTCTGGTGGAAATTCCAACCAGTGCAGTCGAAGAATTTACTGATCCCACCGTGCAGTTAACGCCAAGCCCTCTGCTGCCAGCGCCCATACTGGTCAGATCGGTGAGCACGGAAGAAAGGGGTGACATGAGGTAATGAATGAGCTCACCTGTGTTTGCTGAGAGGAAGGGCGCTTTGTGACTGAATAGTGTTCATTGAACAAGCCGGTCACCAACACCATTCGTAATTGTCCTGGAGCTCTTACTTAGTGATTACGTGGTAAATTAGAGAAGACATCACTGATGTTATATCTGATAAAGATGCCATGTAAATGTATAATAGAATCCTTTTGTATGAAACTTGTTTGGTTTTTTCTTTTTTAAAGCCTCCGTGCATGTGTATCCTAGTTGTTAGTTTAGTTCTCTGAGCCACCACCACAGTTTGACAACTGACAGACTGTTGTGTGGTTCTGCCACCGGGGAATGAACCCGGGCTGCAGCGGTGAGAGCGCCAGATCTTCACCACTAGATCACCACGGCTGGCTGCTTGTTTGGTATTCTAAGTGTTTTGAAAGCTGAAAAAACTTTAGCAATCTGGATCATAAAATGGCTTCTATCAAAGCTGTGGTTAGTTTGTAAACATAGATATTTTAATCTTTTTTTTGAGGAAGATTAGCCCTGAGCTAACATCTGCTGCCAATCCTCCTCTTTTTGCTGAGGAAGACTGGCCCTGAGCTAACATCCGTGCCCATCTTCCTCTACTTTATATATGGGACGCCTGCCACAGCATGGCTTGCCAAGCGGTACCGTGTCTGTACCCGGGATCTGAACTGGTGGACCCCGGGCTGCTGAAGTGAAACGTGCGCACTTAACCGCTGCACTACCAGGCTGGCCCCAATGTAGATACTTTAAATTCTGAAATAAATATATATTCAAGAAAGTTGCAAAAATAGTAGAGAGAACGCATTTCTGTATATCTTTAGTATTCTTAATTCTTTAGGGTAGAATTGTTAAGTTGTAACAGGCATTGGTTATGGATACTTAATTGTCTATCTAGTAGCATTAGATATTGAAACCTTTTGTATTAGGAAGAGACATTTTAGATTAAAATTTTAACTTTATAGACAATGAAAACTATTTTTTACATGTCAGATTTAATTCAGTATTATGGAATTTAGGTTGCAGCCTTTAAGTGTGAATGGAGCTCAAAACTAACATTTTTGTGGCCATGGCCATGTATATATTAGTTATTTTTAAGTCTTTCGGCAGTTTTCATTGGGACAGCTGAGCCTTTCTCCTCATTAAGTAACTTCTAATTCACTGATTTAGTTGTATGTGTTTTCTGCGCAGTATGAGCTTTCCAGTAGCCTCAGTTGGTCAGGACGCCATGTGTTTATCAGATTCTGGAAGAGAGGATTCTGAAGAGCCTCCTGCTAGTTTGGATCTTGTATCTAGGAAGAGGTTTCATTGTAGGCTTGATGACAGTGACCATGTTCCTCCTGCCAAAAAAAGTGCCCTCCTTTCAAGAGACACTTGTCAAAAATACACCTCCGAGGTAAGACAGAATCATTGAGCAAGTAAGTCGGCCATATTACAACGGATCTGTTTCTCTTTTTTCCTTTAGACTCTTTATAAAGCTTACTTCTAGTGCTTTTCACTACAGTCCAGGTAAAACCAGTATTTTGGATTATCACTTTTAACCAGTTCTAGGTAAACATTGATGGATGTTAATCAGGAAACCCATTCCCAGCTTTGGGTCATTGGCTAAAATTAAGGCTGAAAGCATCATGCAGATCTGGTCTTGGCTGTACCACTTTTAGGCAAGAGGCTTCACATCTCTTACCGAGTTTCCTGTTGTGTAAAGTGATGATAGTCATGTCACCACCACCATTATCGTACTGCTTACAGTTTCCCATTGCTTTTAGGAGTAGCCCCAGAACCTCCACGGCCGTGTGCTCGTCCGGCTCCTTTCTTTCTTGTCTCATCTGCTGGGCTCTGCCTCATTCTCGGGCCGTGTTGGGCATCTTTCCCTTTCTCGAATGCACCGTACTCCTTCATGTGCCAGGGCGTTTGTTTTGCTGTCTCTTCTTGATGAAACGTTCTCTTGCAAAAACATCCAGATTTCCTCAGCTCAGCCATGTGAGTTGCTCAGGGAAGCCTGACGGTGCCATGCAGATTCCATCCCCGGCCACCGTGCTGTGGGTTTCTCAGCACCCTCTTGTTTTTGTTTCGGACGCTCTTCGTGAGGTACTACTGTACCACCAACAACACTACAAAAGAGTTGGTTTAGAGTCTCTGTTCTCAAAGGGATGGTTGAGACCCTCAGTCCTTAGATGATGGTGGACAGCAGAGGCAGTGTCTCCTCGTGTGTCTGACAGATGAAAAGTGGTATCCCAGAATTGTTTTAATTTCTCTTATGATGAGTAAAATTGGAGATCTATTCATATGCTTAAGAAAACCATTTGTATTTCCTTTTCTGTGAAATGACTCTTTATATTCTTTAGTCATTTTCAATTGGGTTTTTGATATTTTTCTTGTAGATTTGGAGGAACTCTCTGTTATGTATGTCTGTGACATGAGTCACAACTGTTTTTTCCCAGTTTGTTATTTGTCTTTTGACTCTACTTTTTATGGTTTTCTCACGCAGACTCTTTTTGGTTAACTTTTTTTTTCTCCTGCTGAGGAAGATTAGCCCTGAGCTAACATCTATTGCCAATCTTCCTTTTTCTGCTTGAGGAAGATTGGTCCTGAGCTAACATCTGTGCCAGTCTTCCTCTACTATGTGTGGGTCACTGCCAAAGCATGGCCCAACAAGTGGCATAGGTCTGCCCCTGGGATCCGAACCATGAACCTGGGCTGCCGAAGCAGAGTGTGTGGGACTTTTAGCCACTTGACCATGGGGCTGGCCCCCTGGTTAACTTGTATTATGATTTTTATTTTCTAAACTTTGTTTTCAGCATTTTAACAATAAAAAATTGCTCATGAAAAGTCAAAGTTATAGTTTTAAATTCTAGACTGCACACATACTTGCAGAGATTTTTGTGTGTGTGTATAATCAGATTTATCAGACTTTTTATATGTGGCTTCTGGGGAGTGTGTTATACATTGAAAGTCTACTTGAGATTAAATATAAATTCTTCTAGTTAATATTATTGATTTGTTTAGAGTTTATTTAGGTGTTAGGAAGAGCGGAACCAACTTAGTTTTCCCCAGGTGGCTATGCCATTGTGTCAACACCGTTTATTGAAAATTCATCCTTTTAAAAATTCCACTTTTAGGGGCTGGCCTGGTGGCTAGTGGTTAAGTTTGCATGCTCTGCTTTGGTGTCACAGGGTTCGTGGGTTCAGATCCCGAGCATGGACCTGCACACTGCTCATCAAACCATGCTGTGGCGGTTTGATGAGCACACGTACAAAATAGAGGAAGACTGGTACAGATGTTAGCTCAGGGCCAATCTTCCTCACCAAAAAATAAATAAATAATCCACTTTTATTAGATATTAATTTCCCATATGTATTTGGGTCTATTCCTGAACCTTCTTTTCTTCTACCTTGATTCACGTATTTGTTCCAAAGCCATATCACACTGTCTTAATTATTGTAGCTTTTAAGTGCTGTACTATCTTGAAGGGATGGCCTCACCCTCCCCTGCATACAATTTTCTTCTTTTTTCAAGTTTTTCCTAGTTGGTTATATGTTTTAAAGCTTATATTAATTTTAGAATTATCTTGTTCAGATCTTTGGGAAAAAACCCCGTGGTACTTGTATTAGCATCATATTAACTTGACAGATTAACAAGGGAAAATTGATGTCATAATTGTGATGTTGGATCTTCCTATCCAGAAGCATGGTATGTCTTTGCGTTTGTTTAAGTCTCTTCTTTTGTGTCTCTCAGTGGTATTTTAAGCTCTTCTTCATATGAATTCTGGCATATTTCTTATTAGATTATCCCTAAAATTTTGTCCTTTTTGTTGCTATTATCATTGAATTCTTTTCTATCTAGAGGGCTTACTGGATTCCTCTCATTTTGCAATAAATTTTCAGTTGGTTCTCTTGAATTTCTAAGTAAACAATCATATCATCTGCAAATATAGTTTTAATTCTTCTCATCTACTTTTTATACCTTTAATTTCTTTCTCTTTTCTAATTGTATTGGCTAATACAACTCAAGAAAAATGTCGGAAAATAGTCCTGCCAGTGGATATCTTTTTCTTATGCCTGACTTTAATGGGAATACTTCTAGTGTTTGAAAAGTGAGATGCTGGCTTTTGCATTGCAATTGTTATGTTTTTTGGTGTTAAGAAAACGTCTATTCAATTAAGAGTTTTTTCTAAGAATGAATGATTATGGGACACTTTTCGCACAAAGAGGGAATATTATTTTTCTCCTCAGTTCCGTTGAATTAATATCAGTAGATTTCGTAATGCTGAAGTATCTCTGCATTCCTGAAATAAATGCTGCTTGATCGTGATGTGTGTCTTTTGATGTGCTGCTGAATTGCGCTTGGAATATTTCATTTGATGTTTTTGCACTGATGTGAGACTGGTTAGTTGATATCAGTATTATGCTTGATTTATAAAAGGCTTTCTGTCTTCCTTCTTTTTTTATGAAAGCTTTCCCTCTGCTGCTGTGCTCTGGAACAGTTTAAATGACAGTAGTAGTGTCTTGAATGTTTGGTAGAATTCCCATAAGAGACGTCTGACCCTAGAGCTTTCGGTGGATACGTGCTTTTTTTATTTAAAAGGAAAGAAGGAAATAAAATTAATTTTATTTGATAAATGGATTTCTAAATTTTTTTGTAAATTTTCTTAAAACAGGTGTGTTCAAAGGAATTAATAAATGTTTTTGAGGAAACAGGTGAGTGAAATAAATTTTAATGTGATTGCATTTTGCTAAGTACTCCGATTGTTTTTGATGCTGCTTGTTCAAATTTGAGATTCAAGCAGAATCTTGCTCACTTTTCTCTAAGAATCATCCTTTTCTTATTAGAAATTTTCCCTGCTAAGATCTTGGATTTGACACTGGTAGCAATAAGAAGCTACTCTTCTCCTGTAATTAAGAGAAAACCGTGTGGCTACACAATTTCCTGTAAAAGCTCAGCACCTACATTCTAGGAAAATGGAGAGCTGAGGATAAAGGAGGTTTTTATGGTTCCTTAGCTTTGCCCTGAGATTAAAAAGTGATCACTCTTTCATTTTGTTAGTTGAAGAAATATTTGTGGAGAAAGATATTCTAGGTCAAAATATATTGATACAACTAGTTTGTATCTGAATGCAGAAGCTGTTACCATAGCTTTTAACCAGTTATAATATTTTTCTTTTTTTTTTTTGCTGAGGAAGATTCACCCTGAGCCAACATCTGTTGCCAGTCTTCCTCTTTTTCTTTTTTTGCTTGAGGAAGATTCGCCCTGACCTAACATCTGTGCCATCTTCCTCTGTTTTGTATGTGGGATGCCACCACAGCATGGTGCCAACGAGTGGTGTAGGTCCACGCCTGGGAACCGAACCTGGGCCGCTGAAGTGGAGCACGCCGAACTTAACCACTAGGCTATGGGGCCGGCCCCTATAATATTCTTAATAGTCCGGGTAACTCTACTAATTTATAATTTGGCTTGTGTGAGGGTAGGTTTATGATAGAATATCATGAGTTTTTTCTTTAAATATTGCAATTCAATAGGATATTAATCCCAGTATGTGTGCTTACCATTTGTTTTCTGCTTTTGAAGGGGAGCCTTTCAGGGGACAAGGTGTCTTCCCTCCTTCAGGAAGAACACACACAACTCCAGAACCTCAGAAGGAGCAACTTGAATCCGCTTTCCAGAGTCTAGAATCCAGATGCCTTGATAAAGTAACAGATACACATATCGAAAAGAACACACCTCAGATACCTCAGGCTGAGAGGACTGTGTCTGATAAGGACGAAGGAAGTTGTGCTGCTCCTAAGTCTGAACAGATGGACAGCATCGCATCATCTTCAAAAGCCCCGCTCTCTAGGTACTGTGAGAAGTCTTGGAGACGTGTCTCTCTTAGTGGGTAACTGTAGCCTGCAGGGAGCAGATGTGACCCGTGCACAGACGGAGTCCGGTGCTGAGGGTGGTGTGTGAACCTAGCCCTGCCAGTGGTGCAGAGGGGGCAGAGGGCCGCCAGGCCTGTCACAGGACTCTTTCAGACAAGTACACATTCCACATCACAAGAGCTTGACTGTAAGTGCTGAAACATCCACGTTTTGGGTAGAAAATCGTTAGAATTGAGTATTGCACGCTTTCTTTTCCAGATCGTCCATGGTTAGTTTTTTGATCATTATTTATTGCACCATTTAGTAGCTGCCAGTGCAGATGTGGAGGGTCTGAGGCATGGAGCTAACTTCAGAGATAGCTCTGGAAGTTGTTTTATTCAAGTCCCAGTACTGTGTGCATTTTTCTCCCTGTGGCATCCCAAAGAGGCAAACCATGGCACTTCCCTGTAAGAGCACGTGTAGGGTTTAAGCCCACAGACAGCTTCTGCCGCGTTACTCTCCTCATGCTCTGGAAATGAGCCTTCTGGGTTTCGGATGACTCTTGTCTTGTCAGCAGCATACAGATTGTTAACGTGGTGGCGTGAGTTGACGAGTAGAGGACACGTACTAGCCTCCACCAGGAGAAGGGGGAGGACGCATATAGCTTGAAACGGCATGTTTAGTGAATCTGTTTTTCTTATTTTCTTACAGAGAATAAAGCTCAGTGATACCTTTCCTGGCCCTTAGAGATGTGCTGAAAACAGAATGAGGGAAGCATCAGCGGGGTTTGGGTTAAAAGTGGTTGAGAGGCAGTGTTCTGGAACCAGGAAACTGTTTTTGTAAAAGATCACATAGGATATATTTTAGGTTTTGTGGGCCATGCGGTCTCTGTTCTGGTTGCTCAGCTCTGCGTTTGTAGCGCGGAAGCAGCCATTGATGTAAACTGCGCAGCTGTGTCCCAGCACCACTTGTTTATGGAACCAGGTGGGCCGCGTTTGCCCGTGGACCATCGTGTGATCCTGCTCCAGAGCCTTGCTGCTCAGCGTGTGGTCCTGGGGCCAGCAGCATGGACATCATTTGGGAACTCATTAAAATACAGAACTCAGGCCCCAGCCCTACCCACCCCGTCAGAGCTTCATTTCAATAAGCTCCCCAGGTGATGTTTGTGCACTTTCCTGCTCTAGAGTGAGCTGTTTCTTTGTCGCAGACGTGTCATGGCAGAGCGGTCTCACTGCTTAGTGGATGTGCCGACACCACTCGTGTGGTGTCATGCGTGCCATCCAGCTTTCCTGTAAAGGCGCTGGTGTTAAGAATGTGTCCTCCTGGGTGCTCTCGGACACCTTTTTGTTTGTCTTTCTAGACCTGGCAGGAGACCCCTGGGATTTTTGTCCTTAATATGTTCGAAGAATGGCCTGGAGTCTGATGAGCCTTCTCAGGTTCATAGTAAGAAACGCTTAAAACCTCTGATACCTGTGTCAAGACAGAGTTTGAAAAGATCAAATCCACCCAGTGAAGGCCAGAAAAAAATTCAGGAGTCCTCTGCTCTGCTTCCATCTCCAAAGGTTGTGGTTGATACTCAGTCTGAGAACACTGGCGGTTCAGCAGCTCAGGTACGTGGCAACCACTGGGTTTCACTGTTTGTATAGAACGGGTTGGTATCAGACTCAACTAGGAAAAGCGTGGCAGTTGTTTTCACTTGATGTCAGAAGTTACTGCAGAGCAACTCCTGTCCGTCTCCTCCCGTTGTACCCACTGCCCTGGAAGGAGAGGTGTTGAATTAGGAGATGACAGCTCTTCCACACACAGCCAGTGAGCGAGCTGTAAAGGGACGCCTAATTGCCGTTCCTTTACTGCGAAGGCCCCCGGACCCATGGAGACAAAACAAAGCAGGGCTCGCCTTGTATGTGCCTTAGGAGAAGCCCCCTGGCACCCACGAGGATCCAAGGAACAGGAAGACGAGAGTGTGCACGTTTCAGTTCTGTGTTCGAAGCTGTCCACATGGCAAGTACTGGGCTGTGAAAATCTCTGAACCTGGATCACAGGCTTTGGCACAATGTTGGGATGACTTGAGATCCCAGCAGAGGAACGGCTAGTGACCATCTGTGGGCCAGCGTGAGCTCAGAGGAAGGCATGCTTTGTAAAGAACGTCTTCACATTTTTTAAATTTTACGTTATTTCCTAGAGTAATTTTCTGGAACCGGGGTAGTACAAGTCTTTACTACAGTTGCGGGTGACTCTGGGGAGCACTTATCATCCCCGCTGGGGGGCCAGGCCGGGCGCTCACACCCCTGGCAGCGCTAGGAAGCAGCTCTTCTAAGAAATGTTTTTTCTTATTTAATATAATGGTAGGGAGTTGGAAAGGTCATCCATTTGTTTAACTTACATTTCTTTACTTACTAGTGACTTGGTTTTTCCCATATATTTACCAGATTTTCTCTTTCTTTTTTCTTTTTTGTTCCTACCCTTTGCTGATTTATAGCTTTTGGGATCTTAGTGATTTTCTTACCAGTTTGTGTGAGATCTTTGTGTATGTAAAAAGCCATGTACCTTTTAGCTCTTTGCTGCAAGTAGTTTTTTCCAAGTTTATTTACTTTTAAAAATTCTGAATATACATAAGTTTTAAATGTTTAGTCAAATTCATTACTTCTTTCTTTGCTTTTTAAACTTCTTTTATAGGAAGTTTTTCTTGAGGTATAAAATCTTCAGTAATGAGTTTTAAAACTTTAACTCTATTCATGGTTATTGACTTTGATCTATAATGTGAAGCAAGAATCTAAACTAAATGTTACCTCAAATTGCTCTTTTATTTATCTTTTTGAGTAAGTAATATATTCCACGTTTTAAAATTTATAATCTACAAAAACAAACAAGAGTACAGTAAAAAGTTTCCCACCTCTGTCCTTTAGCTTCCTAGTTTTCCTTTCCTACAGATACATGGTATTATCAGTTTGGGGTTTACTTTTCCAGAGATATTTGCATATATACAAGTATAAACATTTTTCTTCTTCTTTTTCTTTTGGTCAGGAAGATTTTTGCTGAGCTAGCATCCATTGCCAATCTTCCTCTTTTGAGGAAGATTAACCCTGAGTTAACATCTGTGCCAATCTTCCTCTGTTTTTTGCATGTGGGATGCTTCCACAGCATGGCTGATGAGTGGAGTGGGTCCGTGCCAGGGATCTGAACCTATGAACCCCGGCTGCCAAACTGGAGTGCACAGAACTTTAACTGCTTGGCCACAGGGCCAGCCCCCCATTTTTCTTTGTTTTGCAGAAATAATAGCATACTGTTCTCTTCCTTGCTTTTTTCACCTAACAGTATATCTTGGAGATCTTTGCAGAACCACAGATAAAGATCTTCTTCCTTCTCCATCTTGCTCTCTTCTTAATTTAAACTTTTTATTTTGAGATAATTGTAGATTCACCTGCAGTTGTAAAAAAGCAATACAGAGAGATCCCACGTACCCTTTATCCAGCTTTCCCCGATGGTGACGTCTTGCAAAACTATAGTTCAGTGTCATAAGCAGGATATTGACATTGCAGCAGTCAAGATCTAGAACATTCCATCACCACAGGAAGCCTTTCACTCACAGACCCTCTTCCCTCCCACCCCATGGTGTCCTTGACGTCTGTCAGTCTCTTCTTCATTAAGTTTGTCATTCCAAGAATGTTTGCCAGTGGAGTCTTCTGTACAGTGTGTGAATGGAACCCTACACTTGAAATTGGCTTCTTTTCGCCTGGCGTGGCTCCCTACAGAGTCATCCAGATGGTTCTGTGTCAGTAGCTTGTTCCTTTCATTGTGAGTGGTGTTATATAGTATGGGTGTGCCAGTTTTGTTTATTCATTTACCCACTGAAGGACATCTGGGTTGTTTTCACTTTGGGCTGTTATGAACAAACATTGGTCTTCTGATTTTTGTGTGGACATAAGTTTCCATTTTTAGGAATAAGTGCCCAAGAGTGCCCTCTGTGTTTTTAATGACTACGTAATACTCCACTGGTTGGACATACTGTAGAGTGCTACTGGTCTCACACTGGTGGGCATTTAGGGTGTTCCTGTTTATTTGCTATTTCAAACAGTGTGGTAATAGCCAACTTATAAAATGGGCCACTTTGCACATTTATCTGTAGGTTAAATTCCTACAAGTAGAATTGCTGGTCAGAAGGAATGATGATTCCGTTGACAGTTCCTGGCTGTCCTCCGCAGGGACTGTGCGGCTGCTGTTCTGATCCGCGGCAGAGTAGGAGAATGCCTTTCCTCACATCCGCACTTGTCAAATGTTTCCACTTGCACATTCTTCATAGATTTAATGAGCACGTTTGAGTGAGGTTGAGCATCTGCTCCTGGATGTGAATCATTTATGCTTTTGCTGTGAAGCATCTGTTCCTATCATTTGACTTTTTAAAAATGAGGTTATTAATCTTTTCCATATTGGTTTGTAGAAGCTCTTACTATATTAAAGAAAACCCTTTGTGATATAGATTGCAAATATCTTTTTTTCTCTATCATTTGTCTTTTGGTTTTGCATATGGTGGTTCTTGCAATGCACTTTTTATATTTACATAGATGAATTTATCCGTCTTTTCTTTTATGACTTTCATGTTATTTAGACTCCCTGTCCCCCATTCTAGGATTATGAAAGTGGTTTCCCCCGGCGTTTTATAGTAGATATTTTTAAAATGTTTTTACATTGAAATTTTTTTTTTTTTTTTTTTTGTGAGGAAGATTGGCTCTGAGCAAACATCTGTTGCCAATTTTACTCTTTTTGCTTGAGGAAGATTGTTGCTGAGCTAACGTCTGTGCCAATCTTCCTCTGTTTTTTGTGGAATGCTGCCACAGTGTGGCTTGATGAGCAGTGCTAGGTCTGCACCTGGGATCCAAACCTGCAAACCCTGGGCCACCAAAGTGGAGTGTGTAAACTTAACCACTATGCCACGGGGCCAGTCCCATACGTTTAAATCTTTTGATCCATCTAGAATTTATTTTGGTGAGGTATAGGTCTGAGTGATTTTTCCTGAGATGGTTATACAGTTGTCCAGTGTCATTTATTGAATAATCCAACTTTTCTCATTTGTTTGGGAAATGTCATTTTTATCAGATACTAAATTTCCATCCATGTGTGTTGGGGATGTTTCTAATCTCCTGTTTCGTTGGTGTATCTGTCTGTTCCTGTGCCAATACCATGCTGTCTTAAGTTTTTATAGGCTTAACTCTGCTGGTGTTTGATAGGATTGCTTTGATTGGGTATGTTTCCTTTGAGTACTGTTCTGTGTCGTGGGTCAGTCTGTTCTTATGCTGGTTATTAACATGTTTTCATTATAGACTTAATGTCATGTTTTTCTATATTATTAAAATTTTTTCATGGAAATTAGGGTGAAGTAATGGATCATGTATACACTGTAACTTAGTTCTGTCTAGAGTTGAATATTTGTTGATTCCAATTTTATTATAACTAATGCTATAAAGTTTATCTTATTCATAAAACTCTTACTATATTTAGAATTATTTCCTTAATATAACAGCATAGAAATGAAAATATTGGGTCAGTGAGTATGAACATATTTAAAGTTACTGGTATTTATTGCTATATTGATTTTCAAATATCAATTTATACTACCACTATCAATCTATAAATGTTATATCACATACTTATTTTTATTACCTTCTTAGGTTTCTTGTGATCACCCGTTGCCCAAAGAAGAAGGTAAAAGTGTCCGAAACCGAGCACCTGAAGGGGAGCCAACCACAGTCTCTGAGTATTTCTTTAGTGATATCTTTATCGAAGTGGATGAAACAGAATAAAAGTTTTTTTTTTAAGTCTAGGATTTCCAAAGTCAGTTATATCAACAAAGCAGTATATACAACAAAGAACCCCGGCTCTTTTTCTCTAGATTGATTTTGAATATTTAATAAGCTTGACTTGAAGTTTTATCATCAGTGGAAAACATTGCTGAGATTCCTTTCATTCTGATTTATTCCGCATTCTGGAGACACCAAGCAGGTAAACGTGCTTTCTCAGACAGAAACAGCAGCTCTTGTTTACATGCTGGCTCTGCAGTGTCCAGCACATGTGGACATTTTGAAATATTGTGGATAACGTCTCTGTGTGAATGAATACCCATCGCAGTGCTGACGTGTTTGGAGGTGGAGTGTCCGGGACATTTAGCCAACTTCATCTGTGCAGGTTTTTCTGTTTGTTTGGGTTGGTTTTGGGTGATGAAGGCCTTCTCCATAGCCTCTCGGTGCATGAAAGCAGATTGTGAAGCTCCATGTCTGTACGGTAAATGGTGACACCTTCTCCAGTATCAGCTGTCTGACTGACTGAAAATAGGTATTTTTCTAATTCGTGTTGATGGAACATTAGTCCTAATTTGAAGAACTAGTATTTAAATTTATTATTTATAAAGACAAAACGTCAAAAAGCTTATTTATTTTTAAATTTTTATTTAAAAGAATATTCAGTTTTAATTATTTTCACCCCTCAGATTATGGGTAAAGAAGGCATTAACAAATTTATGTTTGTCTCCTTTCCCTCTTTAATTTTAAAGATATTTAAAGTGATATAACTAAAAGTGTTTGGATAGTGTATATGCTTTGAATACATTTTTTTCTCATTCTTTAGTATATTGATTTTGTACTGTGAAGTTTTTGTTTTTGTTTCTTGCATAATCTCAGGATTTGTATGGGAAAAAACCCTTTAACTTCATTTATGAGGCAGATTTCCATACAAAACTCAATCTCCTGTACACACACATACAGTTGCGCGCACACATTCCTCTTTTTAAAACACAATTTCTTGATAGTTGTTTCCCCCATTAACTTCTGCTTAAGGAACGCTTAGGCCTTTAAGCTTAGAACATAATTGTGATGTTAAAAACAGAAAATAAGATAGCAATAAGACTTTAAGTCAGTGATCATCATCAACATGAATTTGAGTTATTTTTAATTTCAAGATTTTGTGATTTACTAGGTGATTCTGTTATCCACCCAAGCAAATCTTTAGTTGTTCAAATTAAACTTCTCAAAGAGCAGGTTTATTCTTTTATTGGAAACCCTCCTGGGTTGATAATACATTAGATCAGGAGTCAGAAACATTTTATGCAAAATATTTTTGAGTGTGTGGGCCAGAAGGCCTCTGTGGCAACTACCCAGTTGTGCCATTTCAGTGTGGAAACAGGCACACGTAGTTCAATGGTAGATGTGGCTAGATTGGGCTTTTAGTCTGATCCCTACGTTGGACAGTAATGTTCTTACCTTCAGGTGCTGACATCTTTATCTGTGAGATATTTGTCATTGAAGTTATGCGTTGTGCCTAACAAAACTGTTGATTGCATTATGAAATGATCACTATTTTAATTGGGAAGATATTTTAAAAGTCTAGATAATTATATTTGTATGTTGAAAAAATTGGTGGCCGGTTTTCAAGTTCATTGGTAAAACAGGATGTGACTCGGCAAGTCTAACAGTAATCCTACTTTATTAAAACAGTTGACATTATAGCCTTTCTCACTCATTGCCCTACAGTGAAACTTACAGTGTAACTTTTTGTCATAAAGGAGGATCTGTGAACCTGAGTGGAAATTCTCTATAGGTATGCATTTATTTATTTTGTGTGATTAATGTGTCACAAAAATCATGGTAGTAAATCACATTGCTATTTTAATGCCCTGTTTTTATAAATTTTTTAAAATCCCATATTCTAAAAAGGTTTCTTTCACTTAATTAATGTTAGTTTGGATGTTAGGCTACCACAGTCAAACTATTATTTTATCCCTTGTATAATACTTATTTTTTAACTTTGTTAACATCCGTCTCTTGCACATCTACAACAAATTAACTTTATGGAAGGTGTAACTTCTTACTGTATAAAGAATCATGTTATCTTTGGGCAGTCGTTGCATTCGAGAATCAAGTCAGCCAGATAAATTATCTTACTGTTGTATCCTTAAAACTAACCATGGAAAAAGAGAAACTTAATCACTGTATTTACCTTACAAGGTGGAGAGACCTGTTCACACCTGTGTTTAATCTGATTCATGTAAAGATGATGTTGTGACGAATTTGCAGTATATAAATCTTTAAGGAGATATGATTAAAGGTCTTTATTTTTTCTTGGCTTTTCCTCCTGAACACTTACGTCTTAGCAAGTCATCAACATAATGGTTTAAAAGCCTAATTGTTGGTAAATGATTGAGGCACAGATAGAACTATGAATATCCACTGTTTACCACCATGTTATTTGAAATAGAAGTGACCATGTATACTCTCTTGCTTGAAGAAGTCTGACGAAAAAGCAGTATCTGTCATTTGTAAATTTTCTTGTTCTAAAGAAAGCAGTTATGTTCTATAGATATAAATTATGTAAATAAAAGTTATTTTATACTATTTCTGTTGTGCTGTTTCTTTTCAAATGAACTTAATAAAGACATTGGTGTTTAGCTAACCGAAACTAGTCAGTTTTTCAACTACAGCTTATACTTTGTCTCTTCCATAAAAATACAACTGGAGGAATTACCCTTTTCTTACATGCATGCTGTGAAGAATATTTTCTGATCTTGCAGAAATAAAGAAGAGACTTCCTCCCACATTTGGGATGTCAAGAGTTGCTTACTTTTTTGTTTTTTGCTCCTTCTATAATGAGCTTTTAGATGTAAGAACTCAATCTCTTCTCCTCCTTTCCCCCCACGTTTTCTGTGTAGAGGAAGACACATGGGAAACTTCAGTCCTGGACATAATGCAAACCCGCGCTTCTCAAGTGGGCACTGGCAAAGTCTCAATTGGCCCAAAAATTTAGCTGAGAGAAATATTAACTTTCCTAAAGTGTAGTCTAGCCATTTCTCCAGACAGACAAAATTTTTGTCTTGGATTTTGTCAGATCGTCCAAGAGCTATGCACGTGGGCTACGTTGTTTTGTCTGTTCATGTTCAGGCACATTATGTGAAGCAGTCCAAAAGCCTAAAGAAATGATTTTTACTGTAATGATGTAGACTGCATTATATCATCCAATGTCCTATTTACAGGTATCTCTAGGAGATATTTCTCTTTGGCTTCAGTGCCAGGAGTAATTCGGCTTCTGGTCCCCTGGTCTGACTTTTTTATGTGGGCTGTGTGAATCCTTGTGTTGTTTTCTTTTGCAATGGAAAGCTAAATTTGAGGCTAACCTGTAGCAAGGTAAAATACTTCGTATCACACACTTTGTGTACTAAACTCACTCTGACTTTATCTTTTAACCCTCATTTCCCCCTGCCCACATTTCTTAAAACCTGTCACTTTTTCAAAACAACAAGCTACCAAGCTACCATTTATTCTCCTGGCACTGTACTAACCTCTTAATATGCATTGTTTCATGCTTTAAAAAATTATTACACATGGCTTAAAAAGTGAAATAGTGCTAGATGGTTTCAAATGAGCTGTTTCTTCTGGTACCTATTTCTAAGTATAATTATTCTGTTATCTCTTGTTTACAAATGTTAGACATTGTCAACTGACTTTTTGTTACAGTACATAAGAATTTTAGCTGTCTTAGAACTCTCCTCCCCACTTCCCTCCTGCTTTCTCCGAATATGTTAATCACAATTTAGGGTTTATCCATGTTTAGTATTTTCGTTGTAATTATTCATTCCTGTACCACGTAATGTACTCAGATGACATTTCCTTTCTGGTACAACTTTTGTTTTTCTTTGAGTTAATAATTGTTTCACTTTTTCATTTCCTTTGGGTTTTGTTTGCTTTTGAACCTGTGACTTAACTTTCCATACCCTCCAGCAAGTCTGTAAAATGCCTCTGCTTCTAGTTTTTCACATGATCAAACTGTCAGATAACCTGTTTACTTCATTTTTTCCTGGAAAACTTTCTGGAGCTCTTTCTTCCTGCTTTAAGCTGGACTCGTGGCTTCATGGGTCTCTGTGTGCAGTACAGCTGTCATCCTAGACTTCCCTGTGCCATGGCTTTGTGAATTCCCTACCCCACTTTCCTGGTTTGCATTCCCTGTTTCTGGAGCCCATGACGTTGTCTTTCTTGGTCTGTTTTGGAGAAGCACATCTTCCTCTGTTTCCTGCAAAACTGAGCATGGATGACGACATTACTTGAGTCTTTACATGTTTGAAGGTGTCTATTTTACCCTCTCACTTAGTTGGGCTGTGAATAGATTCTTGAATAATTTGAAAATAATTTTCACTTCATTTCGAAGGCGTGCTCCGTTGTCTTCCTGTTTTCAGTATTTAAAAATTTGGTTCCATTGTGGTTTCTTGCCTTGGAATGTGGCCTATTTCCGAGTTTTCTGACACTGGGCGCTCTGCACCGCAATGAGCCTTGCTGTCAGCCTGCCCACTTTCCTGCCTCACATTTTTGCTCCTGGCACTTCATGGGCCTTTTCAGTATGGACACTCCTCTCCTTCCCTCTGGGAAGTGTGCTCAGATTATTGCTTTGACAGTTCCCTCCCTTCGTTCCCACTGTTCTCGTATCCAGAATTCCTAGTAATCCGGTTTTCTGCCTCTTTCACTGGTTCCCTAAGTTACTTTCTCTCCTGTTTTCCATTTCTTCCTTCCTCCCCTCTGTCCCTTCTTTTCTTCATTTTTATGGTTGTTTTGTTCCTTTTGGGAGGGAGATTTTCTCAATTTTGACTTCTATTGGGGAAAAATTCAAGTGTCTGTTTCTTCAGAGAAGTGACTTTGTTCGTCACAAAATCGGAGGAGAGAAGGCCAAGATAGTCTTGATGCTTCTGATGAACAGAATCAAGGCTCAGAGTGTGAGCCATCAGGTAAACCACCATCCTTTGACTTAGTTCATAACTTTGAGTCAACACGGCTTTCTACAATTAACGTTTTTAAGGCATAAATTACATTTGATAAAATACACAAATCTCAAGTGCTCAGCATGAGTATCGACAGTCTACACCTGTGTAACCACCTGACAAAATGAATATACAGCGTTTCTGTCACCCCAGGAAGTTTCCTAAGCCCCTCACTCCCACCCACAGAGATAATATGATAATTTTCTATCTGTTTTTTCCTACTGCATGGATTCCAAATTTTGGCTATTTTGAATAAAGCTACTATAAATATTCTTAAATCTTTTTGTAGACATGTTCTTACTTCTCTTGTCTAAGTACCTAGGAGTGGTACATCTTTCGTTAGATTTATTTCGGAGTACTTGATGTTCTTTGATGCCATTATAAATGGTGTTTTTAAAATGCTTACTTTCCAATTGTTTATTGTTGGGACTTAGAAAAACAATGTTTTTGTGTTACAATTAAGATCTCACAAAGGTATTTTCTATAACCTCCATTCACATAGTCCTAAGGTTTCAAACCAGCCCTTGGAGCTATTAAAGCAACCTTTTCACTATTAAGAGAACACTACTTGTCCTTAGCAAACAGACTTAGAAACTCAATTATAATGAGAAGATACACAGGATAAGTATAAACAAGTAACTTAAATAAGTATAATATTAAGTATAAACTTAATGCCAGCTGGGAAATACTTGCTAACCTCTCATTTATCTAATAAATGTAATGGCCAGCACAGTATCTTGTGTCCTTAGAACATCTGTTTTCCCATCCTTTTAATAATTTCTCATAAAATGGTTAATTAAAGCTTGTAACCTCTGGTTTCGGTTACATTTTCTAACCAAGGTTTAAATTGGAAATGAGGCTTAAAATTTTATTTCCACATTTCCTTCCCTGCTACAGATTCTTTAAATTCTTGATATTTTTATTTCCAAAAGCTTTTCTTTTTATTTTTTCATAATCCTTTTCTTGTTCCACGGATGCAATAGTTTTTCATTTCTCTAGGGATGTTATAGTTTCTTCTGTTCCTTGTACTGCTGGTTTCTTCTGAGGTTTTTTCGGTTTCCTCTCGGTGGTGGCAGGTATCTTTTTTTCATGTTGAAAGCTTTCCTCAAATGCCTGTTGATCCTTGGCTATCCACGCATATGTTAAAGTTTCTCAAAAGCTGATGGGGAGCTTGTACAAGCTTACTGGGGTGTAGATAGGACATGCCAATTATTTTCCAAGGAGCTTTTTCATTGGGAAACCTCAAATGTCACTCTGTAGATCTTCTCTGTGAAGAAGTAAGGTTTCTCTAGCCTCCTTCCTGTATAAGCCTGGTAGCCAACATTTTAGAACTAGGTGGGAAAAGGGAACTGGGAGGGGGGGTCTCTTTCATTTGGCCTCCGGACTTTCACTAAATCTGTCTTCTTTCAGTCTAGCACTTCACTCCTGCCTGGTGTCCCTAAATTTGGAACATCTCAGATTCAGTTTCTCCAGAGCATATATATCTCCTATCTCCTAGGCAAAGTAGGGGTGGAAACCTGGGATTCTAACTACTTCTTACACAGATTTTCAAGTAGTTCCGCTGTTTCTTGATGTCTACCGCCTCTCCCCATCCCCATTCATACCTTCCAATTCCTGTGCCTTACATGGATTTCTGGGAGGCAAGGTGATGTTACTTGTTTGTATCTTCCATTGCAAGCACTTAGATTTCAGCCTCCTTTATTCTGCTAAATTTATTATCCCTATTGTCTTCATATATCTCCTAGCTTAACTGATGGTGGTATATGAATTCTGTGTTCCTTTGTTGCTTTGGGATCATTTTTGAGAGAAGGAGGTAAAAACATCTTTATTTCCATTATAAAAGCTGAAGTATTCCCTTAAAAATTAAAATTAATAAAGAAAAATGTAAAATAAAAAGCAAATCTGAATACTATGAACAACTGTACACCAACAAATTGGATATCCTAGATGACATGGACAAATTCCTAGAAACACAAAACCTACCAAGACTACATCATGAAGAAATAGAAACCCTGAATATATCTATAACTAGCAAGAAGGCTGAATCAGTAACCAAAAAAATCTCCTGATGAAGGAAAGCCCTGCACCTGATGTCTTCACTAGTGAATTCTACCAGACATTTAAAGAACTAATACTAATCCTTCTCAAATTTTTCCAAAAAATTGAAGAGGAGGAATACTTCCTAACTCATTCTATGAGGGCAGCATTATCCTGATACCAAAGCCAGACAAAGACATTACAAGAAAAGAACCTACAGACCAACATCACTTATGAACATAGATGCAAAATTCCTCAATAAAATACTGACACTGAATTCAGCAGCGTATTAAAAGGATTATACATCATGACCAAGTGGGGTTTATTCCTGGAAAGCAAGGATGGTTCAACACATGAGAATTGATCAATGTAATACATCACATTAACAGAACAAAGAAAAAAAAATCATCTCAATTGATGCATAAAAAGCATTTGACAAAATTCAACACTCTTTCATGATAAAAACACTCAATAAACTAGGAACAGAAGGAAACTACGTTAATATCATAAAAGCTATATGTGAAAAACCCACAGCATACATCATACTCAGTGGTGAAAGACTGAAAGCTTTTTCTCTTTGATCAGGAACAAGCAAGGATGTCCACTTTCAACACTTCTCTTCAATACAGTTCTGGAAGTTCTAGCCAGAGCAATTACGCAAGAATGAGAAATAAAAGTCATCCAAATTGGAAAGGAAGAAGTAAAATTACCTCTGTTTGCAGATGACATATTATATATAGAAAACCCTATTCCACACACAAAAAAACCCTGTTAGAACTAATAAACGACTTCAGCAAAGCAGCAGGATACAAAGGCAACACACAAAAATCTGTCACATTTCTATACACTAATAATGAACAAGCTGAGAAGGAAATTACAGGTCAATACTCCCCACCGTGGTCAATGACTCCATGCAAGCCCTATAAAGATCCCAATGACGTTTTTTGCAGAAACAGAAAAACCCATCCTGAAATTAACATGGAATCTCAAGGGACCCTGCAGAGCCAAAAAAAAAAAAAACAATCTTGGAAAAGAACAAAGCTGGAGGACTCCCATTTACTGATTTCAGAACTTGGTACAGTAATCAGAACCACGTGGTGCTGGCATACAGGCGGACACAGATGCAAGGAACAGAACAGAGCCCAGAAGGGAACCTTGCACACGCGGTCCAGTGAGCCAAGACAATTCCACGCGGACAGGGCAGTCTTCTCAACAAGGGTGTTGGGAAAACTGGAGATCCACGTGCAAAAGAATGAAGCCGGACCCCTTCCTTAGACCGTACGAAAAGTTAACTCAGGACGGGGGGAAGACTTAGACGGACTAAGCAGGTCACCGCTTCTCCCGGTCCGGCGGGTGAGGGCCGCGAGGAAGCCCATCAGAATTGCCCCGAGCCGTGGCTCGCCACAATTGGCATCTGTATGTCCGCCCCCTCGTCTGCGGCGCCCCGTTCGGAGGGCGGCCCGGCCGGGTCCCGGGCCACAGAGGCCCGCCGGACGCCGAGGGGCGCACGGAGGGCGCGGGGCAGCCTGGACACCGCGCGTCCGGCTGCCTGCTCCCATAAGGAACAAGCTTCTGCAGCCACGCAACCCCCGCCTCAGGCGAAGAAAGACACAGCGCGCAGCCACGACCCGGGCCGGGCGGGACAGGGCGGGACAGGGCGGGACCGGCGCGGAGACGCGGGGCGGGCGACCACGCGGGAGTCGCTCCGCCCCGCGCCCCGCCGCGTACCTGGGCTCACGATGGGACCGGATCTCGCGGGGCCGGTCTCTGCCCTTTATTGGCTGAGCCCGGGGGCGTGGTAGGCAGCGCCGACCAATCAGGGGCGGCGCGCGCAGTCACGTGCCCGGCGGCCCGCGGCTGGTGGGTTGCGGGGCCGGAGAAGAGACGGGTCCCCGGGCGCCGCCGCCGCTGCAGCCGCCGCCATGGGGGCCGCGCTGAGGGGGGCCCTGCGGCCGTGCGCCCGCGCTGCCGTCCCCGGGCCGCGCGCCTACCACGGGGACCGGGTGTCCACGCTGGGCACGCGGCCGGACCCGGGCTCCGCCGTCTACCAGGTAGGCCGGAGCGCAGGGCCGGGCCGGGGCTGCGGTCTCCCGCCCGGCGGCGCGGCCTGGACGCACGGGGGCCGTGAGGTTCGAGCGGGAGCCGGGTCCGGACCACCTGGCGCCGGCGCTGGGCTCTGCGTCCTGGACGTCAGGCCTCTCCGGACGCGCCGCGCGTGGCCCCGGGGTCGTGGCGTCCGCGCCGTCTGCGCCCCGCGCTGACCCCGGGCCCCGGTCCGGTTGTTGCGGGAGCCCCGGCCTCGCGCAGCCGCCCCGGCCGTGCCCACCAGACCTCTGCCCGGAGCCGCTTGTGTTAGTAGCAAACTCTGATCGCACAGGATCTCTGAGTGGCCTTTCTTGAGACGGACCTCAGGGTCTGAGAAACATCTCACGGAGGGGGAGGGTTTCAGTCTGTCCCGCGGTTTCTAAGCCCAACAAGTAACGTTTAAACTGTGCAAGTAACTTTCAGAGAAGACGTTGTAAAGAGTTCCCGCCTTTGGGAAGACAAGGAAATTGAAAGAAAATCAGCAGGCTGAGACAGGAACAGTGTCCGCTGTGGAGCTCCCCCCATTCTGTACGTCTCCTGGGGTCAGGAGGGTGCGTGATGCAGAGACATCAAGTGGACACTGTGGTCCGGGCGCTGTGTTGGGTGTTTGGGTAGAGGTGTAGGACGGGAATCGCTGGCGAGGAAGATGGACAAGAAAGCAGGGAACCCTCGCGCCTTGTGGTGAGTGACGTCCAGCTGCAGGCGGGTTCCTTCCTCCAGCCAGCTTTTCAAGCTCGACGTCACTCACCACAAGGCACCGGTCTAGTATTTCACGTCTGTTAAAACCTAACAAACAGCATGTTTCCGTAGGGGGAAAGAGCTGGAGGGAGATGCGCCGCGGTGTTCGGCGGGCAGAGGTGGCTGTGTCGCATATCGGCTTAAGAGCAAGGTTCTGGAGCTGGTGAGCTGGGTGTAGACCCTGGCTCTGCTGCTTGTTAGCGCGTGCCCTTGGGCTGGTTCCTCGGCCTTGCTGTGCCTCGGTTACCTCAGCTGTGCAATGCATTAATAACTGTGCGTGTCTCAGAGTTACCAGGACAGTTAGGGACTGCTCAGGACTGCCTGGTGTAGAATAAGCCTGCAAGAAATATCGGCTCTGGCCGCTTCTTCCTCCTTTGCTCGAGGTCATCTCACCGTCTCTCGCGGTGCAGCGGACGGCCTCAGGATCTCACTGTCCGAAAGAACAAATACTGTCTTCTGCTCTTGGATCCGTGTGTGGCCGAGGCCGTTCTGCTGTAGGCAGTGTGTCTGATCCGGGTCTGCTCCACTTGTCTGGTTGCAGGACGCAGACTGAGGGGCAATGGCCACTGGGGGCGGAAAGCTGGGGTACAAGAGGAGGGGAGCAAACACGTTGTCCCTCTTAAACCCTCTGCTTGCCCTTGGTGCACTGTCATTTTTGTCCACATTCCCCTGGTCGAAACAAGTAATATGGACAGACTTACAGACTGTGGGGTGGGGAAGTATAAGTTCACAGTGAACCTTGGCAAGGATGGGAGGGAAGGGAGAATTTTGAACAAGTAATGCAGTCTACCTCTTGGGCTAAGTTGGCTGCTTAAGCTCCAGCTATTATGGCTGAGTTTCCGGCTACAAAGTAGGAGGAAGAGTGAGTAGGCAAAAGGACACCCCCACTTGCTTGTCTTCTTCCTTTTTTTTTTTTTTTCTTTTGCTGAAGAAGATTAGCCCTGAGCTAACATCTGTGCCAGTTTTCCTCTACTTTATATATGGGTTGCTGCCATAGCATGGCTGACAAGTGATGTAGGTCCGCGCCTGGGATCTGAACTTGCAAACCTGGGCTGCCGAAGCAGAGTGCGCCAAACTTCACCACTAGGCCATTGGGCCAGTCCCCCTGTTTGTCCTTTTTTTAAGGAGCATTTCTGGAAGTCATACCTAACAACTTCTGCCTGTGTTTCATTGGTTAGAATTTAGTCACATGGCTACACCTGTCTTCAGAAGGATGCAGGGATGTGTTACTTTTCCAGCTGGGCGTGTTGCCACCTTGAATAAGATTGGGCTTTGGTCCTCAAGGAAGGCGGGAGGAATGGCTGTGGATAAGCAGATGACAGTGTGTGGCGCAGAGATAAACAGCATGGAGAGAGTGGGGGTGTCCTCCTCAAGTTACGTTGGCTGTTACGTTCATCTCCTGGGACCTCCAGCTGCAGCTAGGAAACTTGATGCAAACAGTCACAAACAGGGAGTAAGAGATGCAGCCCCGCCCTGGAGGGAGATGGGACGTGGGGCCCGGCCGCTCCTCTTCCTCTCCCCGGTTCCCCTGGTCACCCACGTTAGACACCGATACGCAGGGCTGCCTTCCCCTCCCAGCGCCAGTGGCTTCAGGAGCCTTGGCCGTTAGTGACAGTCCCTTTATTTCTTGCCTGGGAGGCTGGCGTAGCTGGGGTAAAGCTCCTTGTGGAACCAGCTGTGGCTTTGATGACGATGTTCTCACCTGGGCGGGTCACTGGCTGCAGGGCGTGTCCCTCTGGTTTGGCTGGGCTTTAGTGAGGGTTACTTGTTTCTCTGTGTGCATTTCATCAGCTCTGAACTTTGGTGCCTGTGGTTGGCGGAGCTGGCAGAAGACCAGGAGGTGGAACACAGGTGGAGGGAGGTCAGCCGGATCGGGACGAGCTGGGGCGACAGAAAATGAAAGGCACCCAGCGTCCTGTCAGCCTCTGCGTCTGCAGGGGAAGAAGCACTTGTTGAAGGAGACCGCGGGAGAAATCTGTGGGACAAACAGAAATTTCAAGACAAAAAAGATGGGAGAACTTAGGAAGCATTTCAGCCGATTGTGGCTATATAGACCGTGCGTAGGATCCTATTCAAAGAAGCAGAGTGTAGACAACAAATCTGTCTGGCATTGGGGAGATGTCTTCACTAATTGGATGTTTGATGATATTAACAGGTTGTTGATATGTGATGATGGTCCTTGTCTTTTGGAGATTTGGAAATATCTAGGGTTTTCTTCAGAATTATTCAGGATGGGGCATAAAGGAAACAGTTAAGTACCTTGGGTACATTTCTTTATACTAGTCTTTCTGTTTCTGTATATCTTTGAAAATTTCCATGGAAGAGTCAACAACAGGGACAACAACCCGCACCGAAGGGGAGCTGACGTGCTAGGGATAAACTCTGAGTTTCAGACATAATTAGCTGCCTAAGTGTTGTTGTAAAGTAATGTTCTGATCAAACAAAATCTACGGTAGAGGATAGTGAAAAGGTCAACCCTCTCCCCTTTTCCCACTTCTCACTGTTTATATTTTCTGGGATTTTGCCCTAGAAAATCTCTAAACATATGCAAACACAGTTTTGTTCCTTTTTTCGAGGGAGATTAATGCTGAGCTCACATCTGTGCCAGTCTTCCTCTGTTTTGTGTGTGGGTCACCACCACAGCATGGCTGACGAGTAGTGTAGGTGTGTGCCTGGGAATCCAGACCCACGGACCTGGGCCGCTGAAGTGGATCATGCCAAACTTCACCACCATGCCATGGGGCTGGCCCCAGTTTTGTTGCCTTTTTTTTTTTTTAAATTAAGGGCATAATAGTTTATAACATGGTGAAATTTCACTTGTACTTTATTATTTGTCAGTCACCATGTAAGTGCTCCCCTTCACCCCTTGTGCCCCGCCCCCCCACCACCTTCCCATGGTAACCACTGAACTGTTCTCTTTGTCCATGTGTTTATCTTCCACATATGAGTGAAATCATGCGGTGTTTGTCTTTCTGTGTCTGGCTTATTTTGCTTAACATAATACCCGCAAGGTCCATCCATGTTGTTTCAAATGGGATGATTTTGTCATTTTTTTTTTATAGCTGAGTAGTATTCCATTGTGTATATACACCACATCTTCTTCATCCAGTGATCAGTTGATAGGCACTTGGGTTGCTTCCACGCCTTGGCTATTGTGAACAATGCTGCAATGACCATAGGGATGCATGAGTCTCTCTGAATCGTTGATTTCAAGTTCTTTGGATAGTGAGATGGCTGGGTCATATGGTAGTTCTATTTTTAATTTTTTGAGAAATCTCCGTACTCTTTCCCCTAGTTGCTGCACCAGTTTGCATTCCCACCAGCAGTGGATCAGAGTTCCCTTTTCTCCACAGCCTCTCCAACATTTGTTATTTTTTGTCTTGGTGATTATGGTCATTCTGACAGGTATAAGGTGGTATCTTAGTGTAGTTTTGATTTGCGTTTCCCTAAAAATTAGTGACGTTGAACATCTTTTCATGTGTCTATTGCCCATCTGTATATCTTCTTTGGAAAAATGTCTGTTCATATCCTTTGCCCATTTTTTGATCGGGTTGTTTGTTTTTTTGTTGTTTAGTTGTGTGAGTTCTTTCTGTCTTATGGAGAGATTAATCCCTTGTCGGATATATAATTTGCAAATATTTTCTCCCAGTTGGTGGGTTGTCTTTTTGTTTTGATCCTGGTTTCCTTTGCCTTACAGAAGCTCGTTAGTCTGACGTGGTCCCACTTGTTTATTTTTTCTTTTGTTTCCCTTGTCCAAGTAGACATGGTACTTGAAAAGACCCTTCTAAGACTGATGTCAAAGAGTGTATTACCTGTAGTTTCTTCTAGGAATTTTATGGTTTCAGATCTTAGTTCCAAGTCTTTAATCCATTTTGAGTTAATTTTTGTGTATGATGAAATATAATGGTCTACTTTCATTCTTTTGCATGTGGCTGTCTTGTTTTCCCAGCACCATTTTCGAATAGACTTTCTTTTCTCCGTTGTATGTCCTCAGCTCCTTTGTTGAAGATTAGCTGTCCATAGATGTGTGGTTTTATTTCTGAGCTTTCAGTTCTGTTCCATTGATCTGTGTGTCTGTTTTTGTGCCAGTGCCATGCTGTTTTGATTACTAAGCTTTGTAGTATGTTTTGAAGTCAGGGATTGTGATGTCGCTAGCTTTGTTCTTTTTTCTCAGGATTGCTTTAGCTGTTCGGGGTTTTTTCTTGCCCCATGTGAATTTTAGGATTCT